GGGAGGTGCCATGATTTATGACTTACTTGCTTCACGTGATCTTCTTCCAAAAAAATTCGTTGGTCTTACTCTCCTTTGTTGAAAGACAACAGAGATATTTTTTTTGTCTATATCATGCAGTATTGATGTGGATTTTTTTGCAAGATATCAAATCCAAATTATTTTTTTGATTTGCTAGGTAATAGATTATTAGTTTTCAAATGACATGAAAAGAAGAGTAGAACGTGAAAGAACTTGGCATTTGATTTTTGAATGAACAAGCGGTGGAAATTCTAGCAAAAAAATTATTGCTTTTTATTGTTGAATTTTAAATTCAAATGAATACAAGCAACCATACAATACAAGATTACAATCATGAAGAATGGAGGTGCTGAAAAGAACATTATTAAGTACGATGAAGTTTTATATTATCTTTTCTTATAACAAAAGGTAAGAAATAATTCCTTAAAGCTACAAATTTTGAAAAATTGATCATATCAAAGACTGATATGATGCTAGAAGATGGATGGATAGAAATGTAAGAAATAACTTTAAACACAGTTGTCTCATCATACTTTAAGCAGCTGGATGATTATATGAATTATGTAACGCTCTTTGATTTACTGCAACAGAAGTAGTATATAAAAACAGCTGTCAAATCTTCTCTACATCTATGAAAGGCTTCAAAAGTGAACAAATGATGGAAAAAAAGATCTAAGATCATATCTGTGTCAAGGAAAGATCTCAAAACCAAAACCTAGTGTTGTGTAGAAAATGTGGCAAAGTAATTTCAAAAGAGATTGTTATGGCTAAACAACAATATTTTTGAAAATGTTATAGATACTATGAGTTTGATTTTCTCAGTAAAAGAATATGTTTCATGATGTCAACAATGTGCTCTATAATATTAATAGTATCCTATTAGCATTTCATTTCAACAAAAAGAAGATGAATGAATTTTGCTTTGTGCATGATCATATCATGTGTTAAAAGATATTTGATTCTATAAGTAGAAACATGTGAACTTCATTTCCTACTTCATCACACCACATAATAGAAGATGTACAATGCATCTAATATCAATGATTGTCAAAAATATTGAGAAATTTTATTTTTCTACCCAAGAATCGTGACATGTCATCACGTGTAAGAAGTGAAAAGTTCAAGTTGAAACTAAATCTTACCATGAGATTTTGAAAAGTAGATTTAAGTTAAATTTTACTTCCAAAAATGTAAAGAGTGATGTAATATTGATAGTAATAGTTTTGATGATGAGTCACAAATGTAAACGTAAAACCTCAAAATCATAAGTGACAAAACATTCAGACGAAAGATGCAAGTGTATAAAGTGGTTCACCCTCAAGGGCTACGTCCACTGGGAAAGCATCGTGATAATATACTGAGCGTTATGTTTGATAATACACATACCTTGAATTTATGGACCAATTTTAGCTATAAATAGCTAAATATGAGGTTACTCCTCATGTTAACCTCAACAACAAAAAATTGCTACTTTAGAATATCATTTTTTTCTAGTTGAGCAAATTTAAAAGCAATAAGAGATTTGCCAACCTTGGTATATGACTACATATCAAGATATAGCATATTCATCAACAAGGAGTATATTTAGCAGGCTACATTTATGTTTTTGAACAATATGAAAAAATAACTGATTAAATCTAGTTAGAAGATAATGATGTTCAAAATACTTCCTACAAGTTAATAGTATATTATCATGTTTTACATGGCTCCTGCTATCTACAAAACTAACATATACATATCAACTCCAAGATTTTAAATATATTGAAAAGCTATGAAATGTATTTTTAATCATGTCATGAAATCATGATATGAAATTAATTTCGTATCATAAATTTTGATCTTGTGTTTGATGCAAAAGCATAGAATTTCAAATCATTAATTTGTAATGTAGATGCAGAATGAAATATGTATGAGATGAATTTGTGACTTGATATGTGTTTGTACTTGGAGATAATGTATAAGTTACAAATCTACTTTGCAAAACTATATATTTTCCTTAAGTACAAATTGAAGATCCACATAGCAAAAGTTACTAGCTTAGTTCATAAAAAAGTTGAGTATGTGACGGCACCTACACAATCAACTCCGCGGTAGCTAAAATGTCAAAGGATGCAATTTAGTTGCATATGTTTATGACTAAAATAAGTTTAATTTTTGATATTGTGAATCTTTAGCAACAAATTTGAACTTTCTTACATCTAAGTGTAAATTAAGTGATGAACTCTAAAATAAAGCACATGGACATCAAGTATCTATCTGATAAAATAATTGAACTAGTGAAGACTAACAATGTATTCAATCAAATTAATGTCTTATGGAAGTGAAAAGATTTCAGATTTGTGAAGTAAAATTTATGCTGTTTTGATCTATTACAAGCCTATATAATTTAAATAACTTTAATTTTTGTGTATTAATATATGAATAAAAATTTAAAATCCTTGAGATTTAATATCATATATCAAATAATGTCTTAATCACATCATAAGTGAGATAACATATGATATGATTTTTTATATAGCATGAAATATCAATAAACTAGACAAGAAATCTATTGAGATTTAGTCTTCAAATTATATAAAATAATAGTAAATTTTATGTGAAATTTGTATATCTTCAATCTATACATAAATCGTTAACACTTTCTTTATACTTCACTTATAGATTGTTGATATTGGAGTGATACAATACATATCTGAAAAACTTAAAACTTTACGTACAAGTTTGATTGAATTTTATTACAGACTTATGCTGATTTGCAATTTTGAATTTTCAAATTTCAAGTTGAATTTCATATAACTTGTATAAAGTATGATGGAAATAAATGAATAATTCTAAGTAACAAATTTGGAGGATGGGGAGATACTTTTTGGTTGAAAATTTACTGAATATAAGAATGACATTTATTTTTTTTCAGAATAAAATGGAGTAAAGAAAGATTATCCTCAAAATAAGTTTTTATCTTAAATAAAATATTTTGCAGTCAATTTCCATATGTAATGTATATATATAATAATATATATAATTTTCTTGTAATGAAGTCCAAATCTTGAAGTATGTAGGTAAAGATAATTGAAAAAAAAAGAAAATTTTCTAAAATTTTACAAAATTTATAAATTATTCAATATTAAATTTACAAAAAAAATCAGTTAAATATTACTAGAAACAAAGGAAGTTATGGTTGATGTAAATCACTTATGGTTACAATTGATTATATATGATCATAGCTTACTTTTTCCTAAGGTTAAACATCGGTGAATAACTATTATATTTTCCTTATTATAAACCTTATGATAATTACAAGGTGGAAACTATCCAACGTCGAGGCTTTATCTATTATTTGGGCGTAAAAATTTGCAAGGAGCACAAGTCCATTGTGAATAGCTTTACAGTAAGTGGTTGATGGAGATTCAGCAATTTTCAATGGTTTTAATGAGCTTGATATTACTTCATAATATATATGATGCATAGAAGGTATTAAAAAGGTACACAAGATGCTAAAATTTCACACACCTGTATATCAGTCGATTTTGACCGAAGAGTTTATGTTCGAAGCAATTTGGATTGATTTGTTTTCAAGATATGAACGAAGAAGTCCAGATCTAATGCTTATCCTGCGGCATCAATTTATCGACATGAATGGCAGTAAACTTTGGCTCTTGCAACGCCACACCAGATACATGAAAAAAAAATCAGTGTTCATGTTATGGTCTGAACAAATCCTGACGGATAAACACATCCAGTTGTTGCTGAGGAGTTCCATGTAATGAGGACAAAGACAATCATGACTCATGGGGCGCTGCAATCGTGATTAAGGTCAGGCAGCGAAGACGGTAACTCGGCCAATATCATGTGCAGCATTTTGTCGCACAAGGCGCAGTGGAACGAAGCATACGAGCTGCGAAAGCGATCGAAAGGGGTGGGGCCGAAGGCAAAAGGCATGAACAGGAAGTGCAGGTGAAATGCGGGAGGCCGAAGTTCACCCGACCGACCAATGTTGGAAGCATTGGAGGGACTGATGGCGCTCACTGTAGAAGATGGAACCCACCTGGAGAAGCCGCCGATGAGATGACAGGGCACAAGAAATTTGGAAGGAGAACCCAGATTCTCACGATGCGGCCACAGCAACATCGTTCGAGAAGACGGTCGACGATATGACGTCAAAATCGCCTCTCATCTACAGCAGAGGACGAGCTCATGCCCGCGGGACGGGGGAAATCCGACCTCTCATCCACATAAGGAGCACTGTGCTGCCAGTCCGGTTCCATCAGCCAGATTGGCCACAGATCGAATTGCAGGGCGACATAGCCTGGCGAGGATCCGATCGATCACCTATCAATGACTCACCGCGGGCCATGACTCGAGCTTCCTGTATGGCACCGCCATCCGCATTCCGGCCTCCACGCGGGACAGCGGTGCCGCTAACTTAGCGTCGGCGCCACCCGCTGCTGCAGGCTCGGGACTCTCCAGCCACCGCGGGCGCCGAGCCCCGAGGAGAGAAACGGTTACCTGCGGACCCGAGCCGCTGCTGATGCATCGGAGGACGGCCCTCGGGTGCGGGACGAGATCCGACTGGTTCAAATTTTGAATTCGAGTCCTTCGTCGTCCTCGGGTCAGAAGAACAGCCTTCCCCTAACAGTTGTGAGGGTCGCCGGTGGGGTAATGAGAGCCGGTGTTTGCCCGAGCCGAAGGGAGGAGCGTTGGAGTAGCGGGGGTGTGGGGGGGGGGGGGGGGTTCCGCCAGGTGTTCAGAGGGCTCAAGAGGGCTCAGAGGGCACCGTACGCACGCACTCACTGGCAGAGAGCGAATACTGTACACCAGCGAACGAACGAACGCGGCCGTATGACCGTTTGGGATTTGGCCCTGTGGATCTGAGACGATGTTGTAGTACCTGCAGCTGCCGGTGGGGCCCGCGCCGGAAAGCTCCTCCAGGGCGAGGTTATTATAAACGCCGTGCGCTTTATGCTTTTCCGGTGCCCACTTTAAGCCCGCACATCCACCTGGACGATCCTACGCTCCGACGATGCGTTGGCAGCCCTGCCCGGACCGCCTCCGCTACGGATACCCGAAGAAGGTTCGGAGCGCGCGGGTCGTACGCGCTGCGGTCGCGCATGCCCCCCTGCGAACCGCAACCCGATCGGCGATGGTGGCTCGGGATCGGGCTCGGGATTTCTTCGGCGGCAAGTGTGCGGGGGCATCTCTGCGGCAGCAGCTGCCGCACTCCAGCACCAGCGATTGGGTGCGGGTGGGGCGGCCATGGCTGTCGCTTGATGTTGATGTTGATGATCTGGGCCCGGATCGGCAGTGGAGTCGCTGCGGCAGCAACACAGCAGCCATCGAAAGAGGTCGCAGATGTTGGTGTGATGTCGTCCGCGAGTTAAGACGCACACTCTGCACATCACTCTGCCATGATTCGTTCCTTCGAGCCCTTGACTCTTGACGGTGTTGGGCCGAGCGATGTCATGAAACATGGCTCTGTGCCCCTCGGACGACTCACGCTTAGTGAGAGAGAGAGCAGAAGCTCCGCCTCTCTTTCTCTCTCCCGACGTCGCTTGTCTGCAACAGTGAAGAGGTCCTTGACTGGGGACTGACTGACCTCTCTTAAGGGATCCGATCGACCAAACGTGATTCGAATCACGTCTGAATCTAGCACCTTCATCATCACCCGGGTCCCATCAGTCCGAGTTCAGTTCCAGGACGCCTTCTGCTTCAAGCAACAGGTCTCGGTATGTTAGTCATGCTGATTGCTCTTCGACCTCGCAATCAGTGATTGCGATATGTGAGTAAGTTGTCTGAGCCGGGGAGCAAAGTTGGCTCCAAGGCGGAGAGTTCAAAGAGACCATGTTCTGTCATCTCCAGTCATGCCTCAATTATTCTGTTCACTTCCATCCCCTCTTACCGATCACGTGTGGAATTTTTGTCTCTGTGCTGGCATGGGGCGAGTACTGCATCAGACAGTAGAACTGAAATAAAAAGTGTGACGGCTATACCCTCATTTATCGCAGGAATGCTCCTCGGCGCACATAAGGAAGACGAGTATTTCGAAAACTTGGTGCACTTGGATACCAATCAAATCTTCCAAAATTCCTTCTGATTCGTACATTTGTAGAAGTAAAAATTGGAGACTCGAATAACAAGTACCCTCGTAGCAGTCACAGCTTATATTTGGACAGCACATGGCCAACTGGTAAGAACTGACTGTGGGATAAACAGGGTAAGTGTTGATAGATTGCTGCAGAGGGCTCTGCCTCACAGCTGAAGATTCTAGGCTCAACATCCTCTTACGAACTTTTGTAGGGGTGGGCTAATACCACCTCGACCCCATTGTCATTAAGCCCCCGGAGGCCGTACTCTGGGGTGATCAATGTGAAAAAGACATGGGCAACGCAGGTCGAGAAGGCTAAACGCAGCAATTGACTGTCCAAGAGATTTTGAGTTGTTGATGGGATCAGATATTGCCTAGACTTGACTGCAATGGAAGTAAGTTTCAGTAAGCATCCTCAATATTGCATGTGAAAAAATCGATATTTCCAGACAACTATTATGATATCTTTCATAACTTAAAGAAATACTCGTATGTAGGTATGGAACTTCTCCTGAAAATATACCACTGCTGAGGATCCATCATTGCACTTATGAGTGAGTTGTATTAGATTCTTTCCTTGATAGATCACAGCTCTGCCCCTTCTTCATGGTTCACTTAGTGATCTTGGGTTCATCACAAAAAAAATAACCCGTAGTTTGTAGCTTAAATAAGACCATTGAAACTAGTACTAGAAAGATAACACTACAAGTTGATCCAACCAGCTCTAAAGTCAAATTCAGTCCAGGTATTTTAATGATCTGGAATAATATATGGTCTTTTCGGTAATTCTTGTTTATAAAATGAATTAAAATAATCTGAAGACCCCATCAATCAATAAAAGGATGAAACGTAACGGCTAATGGGGGCTAGGCTCCAATAGTTACCATAAGTGTTATCTTCAAAGTGATCTTATGTTCTATATGTAGTATATGACTACATATAGAACATAAGACGCTTGGCACCTTTGGGTTAATATGAACAGAGTATGGGACATTCTTCCCTGAGATTTTGGGAAATCTTAGCATGAGGTATATTCAGAGCCCTCCAAACATTTGTTTAAAATTTTCATCTGTTTTTTGCAATATGGAATCGCCTTTTTGAGGCCCAAACAGCATTTTTGGAAAAATTAGAGCAAACATAAAATGGATCGGATTGTAATGACTGTATTTCATCGACTTTGACTCTACTTCGTGTATGACTTGATCCGAGTTTTAACATATATCGCATCAAAAGTCAAAGCATATAGTGTAGGATATATTTCAGGAAATTTTATTTGACAATTAATTTTCATAAGTGTCATATAATCATATTTCTCATTTGACTAGAAATTATCATCCGACCCACTTTAGCGATTAATGCTTGAATATAATGATTATCTACTCTAAGGCAATGGATCTAGGCTTGATTTAAGGATAAACTGATTCCATTTTATGTATTTGAGTCATGCAATAACAGGTCCAATCGATTCCTTCTTCGATAGGCCGTAATGCAATGCACTCGTATCGAGTTCTGGTGCAGAGTTCTTTTGCAACATTCGTCGTTGGATTTTTTTTTGTTCTGATTTGGAACGAAAGGATAGAATTAAAGAACGCGAAATCGAAAATAAATTATCATAACGAGATGGCAGCTTACATGATTGGAGGTATCCAAAACCTAAACCTTTACGAAAGCTTTTTGAACTATTTCATGAGCATGTCGTCGAGCTGTTTAGGGGTATGGCGGGTGGTGAGAATGAGGAGAAAAGCGACATGACAAGAGCATGATCAGATGATTGTAGATTGATATCATCTTCATGTCGAGAAGGAAGGTCTTGATCTGCCCATCTTCATGGCCAGAGATTCTTTCCTTGTCATCTTCAATCCGAGAGATTCTACGGAATCAGACTGGATCCTGGCATACGCCAAGGAATGGCCGATCATGTGATGAATCTGTCGATGAGCAGCAGCGCCACGTCTGATAAAGTCGGCAGACTGAGATGGAAAACAACCGTGCGCAAGGCAGCAAGACAGAAAAAACAAAAACGACTATTACTCGATCCATAAACAATGAGGATGAGCACAGTGTTCCAAATCCTATCATCATGTGATCTGGAAGCTGTTTGCGTTGAGCTGGGAAGTGTTCGCCGCTGGCAAGCCGAGCCACTGACGCTCGTACGATCAGAGGCTACGATGACAGAACGATCACCGACTCGTCACTCCATGAATACGATCTATGGCCTGCCGTCATTAGCCCCGAATCGCTCGCCCTGCTGCTAATGGCGTTACGCACTCGCGTAATCCATCGACATCTCTGCGACGCGACCTCAACGTGACCGAATCAGATACGTACATCTCGCCTCACCGAATCATACGACGCGACTACAGTCATACAATACGGGCTTAAGGTATGAATTGCCCGAGGGGGGGGGGGGGGCTGCCGGCGGCGGGAAATTCTCGCCGTGAAAATAAAGCCGGCGCCGGAAGTCCCTTCACCGGTCGAGGAACCCCGCGGGGGCCGCTCTCTCCTCTGCCCTGCCGTTCGTACGTCCCCGGGGAGCGGAACGACCAGCCCTCCACCGGCTCGTGATCCCCCCGAAGAGAGCAAAACATTTGGCCCCAAGTGGGAAAGCAGTTCTCGTCCGCATTCCGTAACGTTCCGCGGACATAGGCCGGGGGCCGGAAGGAGGAGGGCCACGACAACGAAGCCGGGCTGGCTTTGGCACCCACCAACTGCGCGAGAGTATAAGAACACGGGCCTGGGCATGATGACCTGCGATCCCCTGCCCTGCGTATAAACATAAAATATCTGGCTCTGTATGCGACGAGTATGCGAGATCCGTGTCTGCCTGTACGTAGGGCGGCTGTTTCTACGTATGCTGTCAGGATGATGAGCACCATGTGTGGCATCCATGGACGTAAGCTTGATTGAATCCGACTGACTGAATGAATGAAGTGGTTTCTGGGGCTTGATGTCGCTGTTGGTGCATCTGTAATGCGATGCGATGTCGATGTGGAGTTGCGGGACACCTCGTGTTCGATTTTTCTGCGGCTCGATTGCGTGTCTGTCCCACAAAGAGAATCTCGTCGGACGTACACTTCTGTGCTAAAGCTGTTATGTGGAGAATTTGAGGAGGTCGTCATTTTAGCTCCGTGATTGTGAAAGTTGCAGCCACGGTCAACGACTCGCATGCGTTCTTTCATGGCCGATGAAATCTGTGCGTGATATTTATCGTTTTATATCCCTCAGATGTTTTGTGGAATGTTTGACATTATCATAGCGTGGGATCGTGCGAGCTTTTCGATTAGTAACAGCAATTCGCATGAGAGCTTCCCATCTTGCCTTGATGTTTAATGCACCTCTCCGACCCAAATTTGTCCTTTTAAACTGATTCCAGAATTCTGATTTTGATTACTCACAAAAAATGTATGAAATATACCCCCAAAATGTTTTTTTGTTTTTTCATGATATCTATTTGAAAGATCAAATGGATGTCAATGATATAACTCTCACTTGAATATCAAAGTGATTTTCTTCCAGGATTATAAAAACCAGAAAATATAATACTTGATCATGTTACGAAGGTGAGTTTTGTATAATAGGCATGTATGAATGGTCATCAAAATAAACTAAACCCAAAAGAGATTAAATTGATAGAGTAATGTTGAATTCAAGATAGTGATTTCACACAAAAACACCAAACATATTTCTAATCAAATTTGTGCGAAATGCAAAACCACGGTATTGTAGTTTACTTGATCAAAGTTGTGATGAAATATGCAAATATATGTTTATGAATATGTGTTTAATGTGTCAGACACCATTCCAGAATGAACGAATTTATCAAAATTGAAAATATAATTTTTATCATACCTCAAAAAGAAAAAATATGTATCAATTAAAAAAATGTGAAAATGTGATTGCTGAAAATTTAATTTTTTATTTTTTATAAACATGACATAAATCAACAGAGATTATTTTCAAGCTTTGAATACTTCATTTGAGGAAGATAGTAAAATTAAAAGATGCTTAAAAATAAAAGCATCATTTTTTCCATAAAAATGAATCACATGTTTAAAAATTAGCTTTTGAACACAAAAATATTTCTTCAAGTTGTTCAAAAGTATGTATTCCAATATCGGATTTTGATATTATAAATTTATTTCAAAAATAACAAAGAACCTCTTTAAATGAGTGAAATAATTTTTAATTTTTTTCCAATACAAATCAACTATTTCAAAACTTAAAAATCCATGATATAAATCAAATTTTGATTTATTTTGATTTTATAATAGCAAGAAGAAATCTACATGTGATATGGTTGATTGCAAGGAAAGAATGCAATATAAGAAGGGAGCAACTAGTTATACCTCATTTTGTGCTAATTTTCATCACCTTACCAAAGATGATTGGATAAGTTGTTGCGATCGTACCTAAGTATGTTTCTGCAACATGAACTTCTTGCAATTAGCAGGTTCGACAACTGTAGTAGCTATGTCTGCTACTCTTCTTCTCGATGTTGCCAAATCATTTTTACAGTACCACTCACAAAACTCCAAAAACTCCTAAGGCAACGGGCATCCACACCATGTAGTGTGAGGGATAATTAGCCGAGCTTGGCTATCCAGTGCGGTCTCTTCCACCCTAACGCCCAGAGGGTCACAAGTTTCGGCCCTCCAGGCCGTGTAAAGGCAAAGAAGTCTTCGGACTCATAGGCACGAAATGAGTGTTCGGATGAGCGTCCAGGACTCGCACATGATTTTGACATTGTACCGGAGAATCCTTTCCTCTCAGCTTCAAGAATTCCTTGAATCACAATAGCTTTCTTCCCTACTCAGAGAGTATTGGATTGCAATATCTATGGGAAAAGTCCTAACTATTATGTCTTCAACAAAAACTCAATATTAACCTCTGTAGGACCTCTCATATCGTTAACCCAAGCAACGTAACAAAATCATAATAATAAACAAATCCACTTCAAAGCCTACTCTCTCCAGGAGTGTTATCCCTCACTTTATGCTAATTACCTCACTTTATGCTAATTATGGGTTGCCGCGTTAAGAGGTGTAGAATTGATACGACGGAGGCGGAGTTGAGAAGAATAGGAGCAGGCAAGGCTGCTGCAGCTGCCAAACCTGCTGATCGCAAAAAGCTCTTTCCGCAAAAACATACTCTGGGCAGTTGCACCAACTTGCCCAATCATCTCCAACGTCTCTCGTAATGTGAGTGATAATTAGCACAAAGTGAGTGATAACTAGACTCTTCCTATAAAAATTATATGACCATGTATAATACTAAAGTGTTTTTTATTCTCAAAGTCGAATTGATAAATTGGCCATAGAACCTTCAAGAGTGTAATGATTTCTGTAGCATAAATAATTCTCTACTAGAGACATAAATTAATGGAATTATTATTATGAGTGTGCGATGATGGACTACATTTTATGCTTTTTCTCTCATAATATGTTTGTATAAAACCCAATATTCTTTTGAATGAAAGAAAGATGCATGGGACAAATCACGTTTCTTATCACTCAGTAGCCCACCATGCAGTTCAGATCCTCAGTTTTCATAGATCCAGACAGGAGAATTTTAACCACGGCAAACCGCTTCCTCGATAGGGAGGGATAATGTATATCAAAGAAGTACGAAGACGAGGCGTACTATCTATGAATAAAGAACCGAAGAGATGCATAGAATGGAGTGCAAAATTATTGTACATGAAGAAAGAAGACGAACGAAATTAAAAACTGGCAGAAATTACGTCCGCAGCCGAAGCTGGGGACCACTCGACGGTAGGTTTTCGCACGCGTTCGCACTCTTTCCGTTTTGTCCGTCCGTCCGACCGGCGCTTTATATAGGCCACCACTGTGCGGGGACTGTCCGTTCGCCTTTCGATGTCACCTTAGTCAGAGAGCAAAGCGATAAAGAGGAGCATGAGCGCGACCAAGGGATGCTTATAGTAATCCTCGCACTTACATTATTGCGCTTGCGATTAGTCAAACATTTGAATCTCACGTGTCACATCATTCTCCCAGCACGTTACACAATTATATTATAAGAATATGGCGAGATTCGAAGACGTCGCCCAGCAGAAGGGCAAAAAAGCGAAAACGCATGCACAGTGTGCGTTTTCCATAGACAAGGCCCGGACGACCGAAGCTGGAGGCACCGATGCATAAAATATGGGCCTCGAAATTCCCCGATTCCTGGCACACATCCCTTTTATCTCCGCTTTATTAATGCCCTCTCTCTCGTGTCCGGGCGCGTGAAGAACCCGCCCATTGAGCATGTTATCTCCCTCTGCCTCCAGTCTCTCGTATGAGCCGAGCGATTCCTTAGAACAGACTTCGAGCTCTAGAGGATCGAATGACTGATTCTCGAGAGCTGTTAGCAATTACTGGCTCACTTGAGCTTCGGGATTTGTCGATGAAGGCCTTGCTGCTTCCGTAAGCCTCGACGACGTATGCAATCCCTTCCTGATCCAGATGTGGCTCCCCATGGCAGCCCGGCTACACGTCTCGTGTGGCCCGATCGAAGGTCTCCAGTTCAATTCATCTCGAGGGTCTCAAGGTAATACAGGCAGCGTGTTTCTTCTGGATGTGCAGTCTACTCTTGGCTCATGCTCCCAGCTTCGATGGAGCGAGAAGAGTGGAGGTTGTGACAGCAGAGCATCCTGTGTTGTCACATGAAGGGGCGCTCCCTTCACTTGACATTTGCCTCTTCTGTGCACGAGAATGGAGTCGGCGCTGCTTTACAAGATTCATGGCATGTTCGAATTTTTGGTGCACACATTCCAGGGATTCTTTAGTCTCGAGCTCATGCACTTCGGTGCGTGGTTTTGCGCACAATCTCCTCTCACTTACCCCACAAAGTGAGTGGAGGTGGAGGATTTGAAGGAGTGAGGACAGTTTTGGTCTGAACGCATGTGTGCTGGACAATGATAAATATTTACTAGGGCATAATAACGTTTGACTCTTCAACATACACCCATTTATGGCATGAATGGAACATTTCGCATGGGACAAAGAGCGGCAGGAAAGATCAGGCACGCATGTGATGAGTGATAGCTGGGCATTCATGAACAAGATACAAGGGGGTAAGTCATAGAACAGCAATGAGATACACTCTCTATCTTTACTGTTTCGATCGAATCACCTAGACTACCACCTTTGAAAGTGACATCACTCAGACCTGGCGCTTCATCAGCCAACTCATGATTTACGGAACATCCTGAACTTCACTGTGGTACACTACAGCTGAAGAGTCCACTACCTTCAAACCTTGACAAGATTTGAGGGAAAAGATCTTAGCACGAACATGCTCTAACAAAATATGAGATACATGCCACCCGGCCTACCCTGCAAAAAGCCGAATATGCAGAGAACGTTTGTTCAAATGTTCAAATGTTGGGTCTTCGAGATGTTTGGACACCTTTGAAGTTGACATCGTCAGTAAGTCGATTCCAAAATTAATGAACAGTGCCCATATAAATTAATATTACCAGACCTCCGTGATTGTCGTTTTCTTTGTCGTAACAGGAAAGTTCACTGCATTCCAGACAGAGCGTTTCGATTCACTCTAAGAATGAAAGGAGAAATGGGTTGTTCATGGAACATGTTGTAGATTTTATCAATCTATGTTTGATGACTATTTCGTCCTCTCCACAGCCTCATCAATGAGACTAAGTGTTAGTTCTTTCGGCAGACCCATTACGCTGTCTATGGTACCTACCTGCAGAACATGGAACACAATAAAACTACAAAATGAATCGGTGGTCACTTGAATGCTATTTGGAGAGGGTTGGATACAATCACAAAGACTGCTTCGGCAGTAGACAATCCAATCAGAAACCAAAACAATAGTAATTTACATGAGCAGGAGATGACTTCAAACCGACATAAGTCTAAAAATCTCACCATTGCATTAACAAGAGGAGAAACTAGAGGATGCTCCACAAGTAGACCGCCTGCTGCCCAGAAAACTGAGCCTTCTTCAATCTGTTTTGTATTCACGTCGTCAAAGAGACATCGGATCAAAGTGAACACAATGAAGCTTAAGAAAATTGACTCTCTGCCTTAACTTGTCAGAAACCCTCGGACCGTAAGCGGCACCATTGCTTACAGCGGCATTTAAGAAAGATCAAATGGTAAAAGTACACTGTTTGCTCACCGCGGCATTTAAGAAAGATCAAATGGTAAAAGTACACTGTTTGCTCACCAAAGTAGTTATCACATGCTCTGGTATACTGTGGAAGTAAATCTGGATGGAAAGCCAAGTTTCAAATTAATACCGAGTCTGATCATCGAGTCGCGGAGGACAAACAACTCCACTTACTCACAGATGCTGCTATTTGAAAGCTTCTACTTGAGTCCTTACCAAAATTTAAAATCCCTAGTTTCTTGATAGAACCAATTCTTTCCTTCGGTAGGGATGTATATGATCGCAAATACCTCAGCAGTATCAACACCGCCCTTGGAAACCCCAGTTGATAAGTTGGTGACGAGTACAGCTCCTACTGTTCTGGCTGGTGATCGCGAGTACCCTGTGAAGTGTAGAATAGTTGGTTAAGCTGGAAAAACTGGCATGTCTACATGTCTTCGAGCAATTGACGTTGAGAAACAAAACTTTAAAACCCATTTGTTTCCTATCACGCACCTTCAATGAATCGTCGAGCCTCCTCAGAAGTGCGTGGCTTCTCCAGAATGTTACCTTCATGTACGACCACCTACCCTTCCACTCAATCACTTAACCCACACGATCAAACTCATGCTTCAGGCCAGTCATCGTAGTTACTGGTATCGAACAAGTTTTGAGATATCTAAAACCATCCGCCAGACGTGGGTGATTTCGAACCCCTGGATTCAGGACGTTACTTCGAAGGCGAGACGGCCTAGTGCAAAGTACAAGAAGCTCAAATCTCTCACGGCAATACCTGATCAGCTGTTATGAGCAGAGTCTGTTGAGCCGAATCAGCATCACTCTCCTTTGTTGCCAATCTTGCGAGAATCGCCTGAGCCTGAAACAACCAGAGTTTGTTGGAACTCCCAATGCTTGAAGGTCGAACAGAAGAAGCAAAATACAACAGTCCTTTCCGGACTAGCAACGTTACCTTGGCTTCAGCTAAAGCCATGACCAGGTCTTCAGGCTTCTCTCTTCGAATTGAACTCTCATCGATGTCGGCTGTCTATACCACTCATACACAGAAAACCGTAAAAACATGCTCTGTAGTCAGTAAAGAGGTACAAGATTTGGGGAAAGGAGAGGTGCATAGCACTCGACCAGAGGGGGAGCGCTTTACAAACAATAGTCATGTAGGATATAGGTTCAGAGTTCCTGATATCACAACATTAAATACATGTCTCGGGACTGACACGAAATTTCAGCAAGGAGCTCTTTTACACATCACACTACCAGGATTTCAAATTCGAGACCCATCTCCTTCATAATTGCTCGCCGTGTTTGAGAAGAAGATCCGAGAATGATCTGCAAACCAAACAAAAACAAAAGCAATTCAGCTACAGCCTCAGAAACTGTTGCCGCCCGTCCCTATCCTTGAAATCTGAGAGACTTTTCAAGCGCTAGCTACACACGACCTTTTTCTACCTTCGTGGACGCTAAACAACATTCGTAAAAAAAGTTCCGAAAAATAGCTAAATGATCGAACGGCGTCATCGCAATCACCTGCCACGTTTCAGAGCAATGTCTTTTGCCATCCTGCCAATATGAAATCGGAATAAAAAAACTCTATCCCATCACACTGCCTCAATCGCTGGTATCATGACACAGCCAACCAAATTTCCAAGTGCGCTCTTCTGGTCATACCTTGACATCTGCATGGAGACCCATAGAAGATATCCTGCACGAGGATTCGAAGGGCGGAGCAGTAGACTCAGGCGGGATTCGTTCGCGCTTCCAGATGACTCAGTCACGTATGTAAGCTCTTCGGACGAGGGTGATGTTACTCAAATAAAGCTTCCCCAGGGACTTGTTTAGGGGAAGCTACCTCTCATGGCTTCACCGCTTCTTGCAGACCCGGAAGCTTAGGGATCGGGCGCTACAGGACTTTGGACATCCTTCGACCCTGGTGTCACTTCGAACCTAGTAGTCTTCCGCGCCACATTCTAGATAATCTTTCAACTTTCTCAAGACAAGTTTATCTAAATGGGGTTGTTAGAGCTCGGTGTGCGAGCTCGTTGCCCATGAAAGTAGCTTCATGAATTGTACATGTCAGCCTACACGGCCATGTCTCAGATGGTGCCCATCATGCTGTGTTTGCTAGGTGGATCGATGCACAGATGTTTCGTTCTTTCCAGGCTTCAAAGTCATCAATGCGAAATCCCTTATGGCAGGCTTGGTAGGCAGCTCACTGCCCGCTCTCCTGCGTGCGCTGAACCCGCTGTCTTTTAGCGGCGACCCAGTTTCCAGAGAACGAGAGTAGGATAACTCATGAAACTTCCTTCTTGCAGTTTCGTGCTACGGGATTCATTATAGGTGTGTTGATAGCCCTGATGCGTTTTCTCCTCCAGCCTTTTCGTCGGCTCAGTGACACGTACATCGTCGAAGGGATCACGTCTGGGTCACTATTCCTGGTGGCGTCTCTGCTTATTAAGCATGGTCATAATTCATCGTGATCTCATTACGTCTCAACGTTCGTTTCGACATCTCATCGTGATGGCGAGAGCTGCTTCAACTAACTCGAGTACAATTTGCCTATGCAATTCTGTAAGTTCAACTTTTCTCTTAAGTTGTAAGACAAATGAAGGATGACGTTATGGAATAATTTTACACCGATAGTCAGGAGTTTTGCAGCCAGCAAGTTCATGGTCTAAACAAAGGTACTGCGCCCACAGTTTGAAGTGAGGCAACTCAGTCTGCGATGTCCTCTTTCTCATAAAGAAAAGGCATCCACTCAAACTGGCGAGATGAACATCAACGAGGCATGCAAAATAGGTTGTTACCCAGCCATATTGCACTCAAAACTTGATTTTCTTCGTAGGCGAAGAGATTTGCTATACTTCACAATGGTGACCGAGATTTCAGTATCCTGCCACCAGGTATAGGAATGAGATGATGACTAAGACGGTGAGACCCATTACAAGCCATCACAGTAGCTGAACAAAAATGTGTCGTGATATACTATTCCTACTCTTTCGACTAGACGTATACTCCCGTCCATAGCAATAGAAAGAGAGATCCGAAACCCTGCAAACACGGAACAAACTTGATCAACGTCAAATAAGGCACGAACCTGACGAGTGGGCCTTGAGTCCACATCACATTCTAGCATCATTACGATCCTTCACTGAGTCTCGAAGTTATCAAATGAGTTTTGAGAAGAAGCCACTTACCAAGAAAAGCGATGCCAAACCTCCAGTAGCGATCTCGCGGCCAAGACTTCGATTGAACTTCGATGTCGTCACCTCATATCTGAAAATTTTCCGCAAAGTGGACTTTACTGCCGTGAGTTGAGAAAACTAGAGCTCATCATCGATCAAGTACAGGTGAAAACAAAGAAAGGTCCGAGAACAGTCTACCGAAGAAGACCACACCAGCAATGTGGCTTGCATCATCTGAAAACGATCAGATACTGAAATAGAAGAAGCTTGAACAGCAGAGCTTACATGAAGAAAGAAGCGGTCGAGACAAGGCCAACTGTTAGGAGGAAAACCGCCAGAATTGGATAGAATGATTCTGAGACAGGACTGCCAATGGGGATAACAGCTGACGCCTGTGGTGCAAGTAGTACAAGAAGAGTTCGTTAGGCCCAAGATTTTCGAAGACTGTTGTGGAGAACTTTGTTCTAAGAGTTAGTCTTCACTCTTCATGAGAAACTAGGCCCCTGAAACTCCAACTTGTATGATTTCATCTTCCCGACAGCTCTTTTCGTAAGACGAGGATCTTCATTAACTATCCTAAAGTGAAGCCTATCGATAAGACTAACATGTGGAATCAACTGATGCATTGATCCAAGTGGCGTGCCGGAGTGCAGTAACGTCGCCTTGTAGAAAGTGAAAAGAGCTAACAGTTGAAGCAATGTATGGATCTCGATATCTTCTGCCAGCGATACATCTTCCATAACACATCGTCTCTTGCAAAAGGGATTGAAATCCTACGCCTGTGCTGGCTCAAATCAAATTTCTTGCAACGCCACACTTCTTTCGATCCACGCAGAGCGAAGGCAGCAGACACAGAGCATCAGACACTCTATATGGAAGAGTTAACGAGGGAAAAACTAAACGAAACTGAGAACCTAATCCATATCCGCGTCTCCGATCCGCCCTGTAGCCATCAACCAGCGCCCACCGTGCGGCCCTGCGCAATCAATTCTTCGAGCCAACATACGGACCGAGCGACCAGAAAACGCCTGAAACAAGCCGATCAGAAACATCCGTCCCGATCGATGCAGCTGAACGCGTCCGAATTGCACCGACGACCATCGAGCTCCACGTTCGTCGTCTCCAGCAGGCCCGAATCGACGAATCGACGAATGCAAAGCCTAATCGAAGCAGCGAGGAAGACAGAGCCAGAGCCAAGCAAGAAATCAAGAAAGCTAGATCGGGCGAGTACCATGATCGGTCCGAAGGCGCTTCGCGGTCGTGCGAGGTGTCCCGCGCCAACTCCAGCGCCAATCTTGAGCGTTACCGTGCGGCGATGGGCGCGCGGGTGATTTTCGGATGAAGCCCCGAGAGAGAGAGCGAATGCTGCAGGCGCAAGTCGGCAATGCGAGCTCGCCCTCCTCTCTCACACCCTTCTTTCCGTTGCTGCGGATGGATGGATGGACGGACGGACGGACAGACGGATGGATGGGCTCTCGGTTGTCGCTTGTGGAGACCTGGCCGAGATGTCCCGGTGTCCCCGTCACCGGGAAGGAAATGCTGCCTGCCATTCATAAAATCGATACAGTAGTAATCCACGAGGAATTCTGATTTCCATAGTAACAATAATAATTAAGAACTTTTTGTTTGACGATTGGTTGTCAGTTGACACGCGCGCGTCGTAAATCATTTCTTCTGCAGTTTCATTTCCTCGCACCGTCGGCACACGATATTCTAATGTTCCGAGGTAATATCGACCTGCATTTGAGCTACAAACGTCATCATGATTCCATTTTGCGATGGCAACTTGCCGAGTACTGGGTAAGTAGGTTGCACATCATATGAGTTAGAGAGCTCAATGTCAAGGGTTTTGGATTGCATTGGGATTGTCACATAATTTTCCAGTAGAACTTGTTCTCTGCCTTTGCATAGCTTATGTTCTCAGCTATGCTCGAAGGATGTCCAAAGTCCAGTAGCGCCCGACCCCTAAGCTTCCGGGTCTACAAGAAGCGGTGAAGCCATCAGAGGTACTGTACCTGCCCTTAAACAAGTCCCTGGGGAAGCTTTATTTGAGTAACATCACCCTCGTCCGAAGAGCTGACATACGCGACTGAGTCATCCGGAAGCGAGAACGAATCCCGCCTTAGTCTGCTGCTCCGCCCTTCGAATTCTCGTGCAGGATATCTTCTATGGGTCTCCATGCAGATGTCAAGGTATGAACAGAAGAGCGCACTTCGAAATTTGGTTGGCTGTGTCATGATACCAGTGATTGAGGGAGAGTGATAGGATAGCGTTTTTTTTTATCGATTTCATATTGGCAGGATGGCAAAAGACATTGCTCTAAAACGTGGCAGGTGATTGCGATGACGCCGTTCGATCATTTAGCTATTCTTCGGAACTGTTTTTAACGAATGTTGTTTAGCATCCACGAAGGTAGAAAAAGGTCGTCTGTAGTCTCTCAGATTTCAAGGATAGGGACGGGCGGCAACAGTTTCTGAGCTTGTAGCTGAGATGAAACCTAAACTCAGTAGCCTTTGCATAGCTTATTTCGGATGGGGATGCATGCGGTACCTACTAGGACTTCTTCGGAACATGGTTGCAAGCTGAGAAAAGAGATGATGAAACCAGATAATATATGATTGCTAGTATACAAATTATCTGCAATATCTGTGTAAAGTTTTTCTGTTATATTAATGCTTGCTATGCTTGTACTAGACTTCAGTTGCATTGTTGCTGGTTTTTATACCCTCAACAGTATTAAGTAAACTCTATGGCAGCATTTCTCATATGTAAATCTTTCCTACTTGCTGTGTTCTGCTCACTCGATCTCTAACAGTTCACGGTTTTTGTTCATTATCATAATTCTCATGTTTGTCCATATTTATTTAAGACAGGACAATCAAAGTAGCATATGTAGTTCTTCTTGTAGACCTTGATGGGATGCTCGTTGTGCGCCAAGTTGGTACTTTTGAGTCTCCGGACATAGCTCGTTGGGTGAGAGCTCAAGGCAAGTACATTAACCATCCGGAATCATTGTTCAGACAACTTCTAGTCTAAAGTAGTGGAGGAATACCAGAGTTAGACTTTTGGGTTCTAATCACAACACGTCAATGCATCTGTCGCAAATTATGCTAATCTTAATTTAATCAATTTCACAAGAGTTTAAATTTAATCTATTAAATTTTTTACATGTATGTTATTGAAAGTTCATTATCGTATCCATATTTACAGATTGTACAATAAAGTTCATTATTCATTTCAATATCAAAATTGAAGAAGGCTGTAGTAGTACAACTCATTGCACACATTGTGGGGAACAGGTGCTCGTTCGACGACGTCGCTTGTTCTTCTGAACACGTTGAGAAATAAGGAACGAGAAGTGAAGCTCGAGGAGCATCAAATAGAGTGGGAGATGAAGGTGGTGTCGATTTTCCGCGTCAGAGTGCAGTACTATCGCGAGGGACAGGAGAACTGCCCGAAGCCTATTTGAGAACGAGATTTTGTTCTTCTCGATATATCAGTCGCCGATACGTGTTTCATGAAAATCATTCACTAGCTTTTGATTTTGATGAGCTAGAGCGGAAGACCGACATTGGAAGATGGGGAAACAAGAACCTGGATTCGTGAGACATTGGTGAGAAGACAGCTGAGAAGCCGACCGCAGGAATGTCGTTCGGAAGCAGGGGACGGCCCGGATGGTACAGCAGTGGTGAGGAGGATGAAGACGATGAGGACGAAGGGAAGAATCGAAATGTCAAAGGCGGAGAAGAGAAAAATAGTGCCCCTGGAAGTGGTGGTCTTGTGCCGTCGAAGTCCACGGTATACGTCAGCAACTTGGATTTCTCCCTCACCAATAGCGACATTCATACCATCTTCAGCACTTGCGGGAAGATTGGCAAGTAGGTCATCGACTTCAGTATTTATGGAGTTTTTTCTGAAGTCCTGGGGTGTGTAAGGAGAGCGTGGCAGCCTTTAGTAACTTTCAACAAGAAAGTTTTTGCCAGAATTGGTCACTCCAGCGTACAGAATGCTTACATTGCAGTGTTCTTTCAAGGACGGAGGATATGAAACTCGCGGAGAATCTTCATAATTGGAACTGATATTTTTTTTTCCCCCTCAGGGTCACTGTTATGAAAGATAAGCAAACCAGACAAAGTAAAGGTGTTGCGTTCATAATGTACACAGATCGTGAGGATGCGCAAAATGCGGTCTGTTTTCTCATCTCTTCCTCTCTTTCGTTGAAGGGAAAAGAACTCTGGTATTTCTCGTCTGCTTACAGTATCTTTCAAGGGTGTTTAGCTTTCATGACCCACTTCAAGCCATTCAACTTATCACAAGCAAAATAGCTGATCTTGATTACCTGGTCTATTGTCTGAATTCACAAGCTTTTCTTGCCATTTGGTCTGACACGGAAGAAGACTTCAAAGGTATTTCATGCTGGCCAGTGGTTGCTATCCAGACGTATAGAGGTCAACAAGTATCGGTTTTTGGATGTACGGATTGTGCAGGTAAAAGTAATGAATGGCAAGATTTTGAACAAAAGAACCATCAAGGTGTCAATTGCAGCTGACAATGGACGTGCACGGGAGTTCATTAGACGCCGTGTATGTACCATATTACTTGCAGCGTGTACTGTAAACTTGTAATCCTCTTTGGCCAGCCCTCGGTCAGATTGTAGCCTGTTGTGATGCTGCAGGAACTGCTTTGCATGTTTAAGAAAGTACATGCCGTGCCTTTTGATAATCTTATTTCGGATGAAGTTCTTATTTCAGTATACTTCTCATGCTATACCTTGGTTCGTTCCGCTTTGCCGAGTGTGCTAATGCGTTGAAGTTTTCAAATCAACAGATTTATAAAGACAAGAGCCGATGCTACGAATGTGGTGAGGAAGGGCACTTGTCGTACGAATGTCCGAAAAATCAGGTCAGGATGTCCAAATTATTGCAGTCTAGAGTCTCCTCGTTGTTCCTAGTCCGATATATTCTTTTGACTCAAGGAGGAAAGTTGTGTTGTAGGTGCGTCTGGGTTGTAGAATATATATTCATTTCTCTACAGAGATATTTCAGAGCAGCCAGAGCTGTAACTAACTTCCGTGTGTTTCAGTTCTCTAGGTCATTAGTTGATGATTTTCAAACTCTACAAGCTTTTTTGGACATCATCAAATGTACTAGTTTCATTCCTTCTTCATTTTCTTCGATTATGTAGCGGATCGCCTTGCATCACAACATCTTTATTGGATTCCATATTGCAGTGCTTATTGATCAAAGCCATTGTTTCTAACAGCTAGGAGCGAGAGAGCGACCAGTCCCGAAAAAGAGACGCAAGGGTCAGTACCCCGAAGATGGTGGATTTGCCAAGCAAGCAGCGGAAGAAAGGTGAACAAGTTGGTGCCCGCTACGTCTCATGTTCTCTCGGCAGTTTAGGATACACATTTGTTCTTGCCCTTCAAGAAGTTGTCTTGTCGGAGTATTTGGCTTTACTTTTGGTTTTATTTTACCTGTGCACGGGACGTCGTCTTTTCTTTTCTTTTCTTTTCTTTTCTTTTCTTTTCTTAATGATGTGTACCTTGTGATCGATATTGCAGTGAGGAAGAAGTGGATGAAACACAGTTTGAAGATGATGATTGGGCATCTGTTGTAGCTCCAAGGTATGTGAATGTAGGTGTAATGAAGTGGATCCTTAAGGTATATCCACCAAAATGGAGGTGCATCGATCTTCACACCGTGTACCAGTTTGTGGGAATTAAGTCTCTGTGGAGAGTTTTCATGAGATCATATCCTTAATGATAAGTCGGAATGCAGGGGAATGCCTGGTGCTGAAGCAAGTGGAATGAATAAGGAAACACCACCTTCAAGGGGCTTGAAGGTAGAAATGCCTTCTGTTATTGTGTCCATCTTCTTATAGAGGCTTCATTTCATGAATAACAGCATCGAAAGTTGTAAAGGGTAAGGCTAAGCTGTCTGACCTTATTGATCGATCAAATCGATTGTGTGAATTCAGGGACCAAAGAAAAGATCAGGCTACTTCAGTGATGAAAGTGATGACGATTCGTAGAGAGTCATGTTATTGCTTTCGGTCGTGACATCAGCTCTTTTTCACTGGGGATAGGTACAAGTGTCTGACAATGTTACTTCAAAGGCAACAACCAAGATGATACCGCAGCCAGGATGACATCTCAGGATACCAAGCCTCCTCATACATGACAGCCATAACACAAATTGTCTACTTGTTTGAGAACTTCGGTGCATATATCTCAACTTGAACAATTGAGGTAGGGATGTGACCCTAACAAATCCGAGCCAAGTTCGCAACGGTAGGTCTCGTTGTAGTTCATAGAGTGTATACATGTTCACGTTGTGAACAACACATCGCGATAATCAGTAAGGTAGGGCAAATTGTCCGAAACTCTCAATTATCCACTTGTAAACATTATTATGCTGCTTTCAAAAGTCCTCCTGTACCGTTTCTGCACTCCTCTTGATTCCTGGATTGAGCCTATCTTGCGAATTTAATGGTCCATATGACCTGGCCGCCTTGAACTGGCCCACCCTGAACTCTAAAAGCTTAATTGATTCCACCTTCCAAGCTGGGCAAGCTACAAGGTTCGCTTTTGCGGAGTGTCGCTTGCAGATTAACGTAGTTAGAAGCAGGTTAGAATACAACCAGTTCTGGATGTAAACTCAGATGCTCTAAGATCCTTGCGAAACTGTCTATTCAGCCTCGTACTTATTCGTGACTGTGACTCATGCACCGGCTTTTCCCAGAAATCTGTATTTGGGCTTTGTAGAACTCCTGCTTTGTTTCCGGCCCGTGGATTCGAATAAGGAAACTCCTACTACCGGTGGAACATGGACATGGTCAGAGGAGCCCAGCTCTCAAGGAATAGCTTTAATACAAAGTGGGCTTTTGGGGCTCAAATGTACAATTTTATCAGACGTCAAGAGCGTTTGGAGTCGTCGGACGAGATTGTGTTCCAGCTGATTTTATGCAACAATATGTTTTCTGCGGAAACATATCACGTCTCTGAAGAATTAAACTAGAAATGTGAATTTGTGAATTTTCACGTCAAATTTTGGAGACCACACGAGGTTTGTTTAAAAACAGTCGTGACAAGCGTATAGAGAAATGGCAAGAATAAAGTCATTCGTAAAGAGCTGTGGGACGCGAAATTTTTTACGATGTTTAGAAATGATCCAAAAGTTTTGCGACGAGGACACCTGGTAGTATAGATGCAAAAGCATCAGAAGGCCGCGGAGGGTCAAATCAAAACCATCTACATCACTCTGCTGAACTCCGCGTTCTTGGGCTCTGTAACAGATTCCACCGGTGTGCTAGTGACATGCATGTTCTGCCTAAGGAGTGTTGGAGTTCTGCAAGATTTCACAACATTGGCCTCTGAATCAATGGGCTCCATTGAGATCTAGTCACCACCGGCACAATCTTGAACCATCAAATGTAATGATTGCTTGGGAACTCGGATCTATCATAATAGTCTGCGTGTTCTCCTGAGGGTAATTCTAGCGAGTTCCGCCTACAACCATAACACTGATATCAGCTTTTAAACACGGGCCGGTTGATACAAGCAAGACAAGAGGTTTGAGTGCGTCTCCTTTGTCGAAGTGCCCTGTCTTCGAGATTCTCATTCTTTCAAAAGGCCGAGACGCATCAAGAGAGGCTTGATGCGTCTCGGAGCCCGGTGGTCACAAAAGATCCCCGAAATCACGATAACCCATGAATTTTGAAAAACTCTCTAAAGCCATACGGACTCATGTCGTAGTTGAACTGCGTCATCCAACCAAGCTCTTTCAGTTCTGGAACAATATGGCCTCCGGCACATGACACAATACTATGAAAGTAATACCTGTACGCCCATACATCAATTTGATCACTAGACAAGATATAGGCGTATTCTTGCATATGGCCTTTGGGGCCTGCAGTCCAGGCACGGGTCTAGACTCACCGGAAGAACGTTTACGGAGTACCGGGTGACAGAGCCTTCTCTGGCACCACCTTCAGTTTCTCCCTGGTTTACAAAAAACAAATGTTCCAATGTTGGTCTTCGTAAAATTGTTCAAGGCATGCTCATTCAATATGGGCACTAGTAACTACAGAAAAAGAAACAACCACAAACAACAAGCAAAAACCACTGATAGGACGAGAAGAAGATCACTTGTTTCGGGCTGTGAAATATCTCCACGAATGGATAGTCCTTCCTTTGTCGGGCTATACAGAAGCCAGGATATTTAGGACACTCCACCTGTGCTGGCAACACTAAACGCTCTGAGTACAATGCATAAGGTCCTACATCGACGCACAGAGAAAAGAGGAATGTCACGTTTGTACATCTCAGGAGATCGAATCAGTTAAAAGTGATACATACACGCATGAATTTGATATGAGGATACCACTCTGATGATGCATCCTCCATTACTCTGTCAAATCGTTTGGTCCAAGGACATCTGAGACCATACAGTAGAAATTATGTGAGAACGGAAAACATTCGTTGGGTATTTTCTCAGTCCTGCACAGCATTTCGTTCTGTCGCCTATTTGTGAGCCTACAATAAAAGCCCACTGCCCCGGAATTGGACCTGACTCCTTCCTATAAGCTCAATTTTACCTAATCATTCGAACGATTAAAAGTCCACCATGCTTCTGAGCATGTGTCCAGCGAACAGAACGCAGGTAGTTGGAATACATCTACCAATATCAAATAAAACCAAACCTCCCGAGTCCAAACTCTCACTAATTACATCACTTATCTTACTACGAGTCTCATTGGTTACATGCTCACAAGGAAGGCTTACCTCAGTGTAAAGGCGACCACCACAGGAGCTCCTTCATGCAGAAGCTCCACAAATTGACGTTCTGATTTGAAGTCAATCACTTTCGATGGTTTCACTTCCCTCGGATGCCCCGTGTAGTATCTCAAAACCGAACACAAATTTTCTGTAGAGGGTGTTTCCATTTTGTCGCTCATTACATATGCTTGAAGTCACCTTCTCTGCGATTTTAAGACAGAAGGAACGCAGACTTGAAAGATGCATCCCGATCAAAGCCACAATAATAAACAGCGATAAATTCTAGGAACTAGCACGAAATAAACCCTAAACCCTAAAGGAATTGACATGGAACCAAACTGCACCAATGACTCCCACGAACGCTGACCTAATGGCATACCGATCAATCAAACGCATCGTCGCGAATAGTAGCTCTATCCATCTAATCACACAATTTTGAACAGGAATTTTGGACTGCAATAATACCCAGAAATACTCATAAATCTCGACCTCTGCCAGGAAAATCCATACCTGCTCTTCGACAGTAAATGCAAGTGCACAGCGAGACGGTTCTCAGCGGCCTGCAAATCTGCGAATCGACCGAATCCTCGAGCGAGCAGCTCTGCTTCGCGAGCCAAACCGAATCTCCATTCTTCTAACTCTGGTCTGCTGTCAAATGACAGAGAATCCCGCCAGCTACGCGCTCGCCGGGAACCGGGAACCGGCACGTCCGGTCGTGCTTGGCATAAGATACCCGGCAACTTCTTCCTCATTACCCGTTGACAATCTCATCAATTATGAGGTTACACTTGATTGCAAAGTCAAGACCCTCCATTTGATTGCTAGGAGACATTTATTCCTTCGCTCCGTTCCAATAGAAGTATCATGGACTTATTTGTCTATATCTGGGGTGCATTGGAAATTTTGGCATGGAGGTACATATTATCTTTGTAGATTTCATGTGAACGGGTAGGGTTCATTAACGGGAGGAGAACAAATATTGTAGCAATTAGTTATAAATGGCACAACTTTTTCATCGCTATGTTTCTTGTTTGCAATTGCGGATTTTACCTTGATTTGTGTGAGAGTCATGTGGAGGGGTTGAATTACCTTAGCCTTCACACTTCCGCTCTTCTTTATCCAATGATGCATGAATGTCTATGAAATTCATTTCTTTTTAGCCCAAATATTTCATTTCTATTAAGATAGATCTTAGTTCATCTACAATTTCTTAATTCGTCTACAATATCTTTTGACCAGTGTCAAAATTCCTCTTACTATTAGATATTGTCTACTCTCGTTGCGATTCTTCCTCTATCAACATCTCGTTATGTGGACACAAACCACCAGGAAGTGTGGACAATTTTTGAACTTAGCATGAACTGCTAGTGTTTCTACAGTAGTTTATCTTGGTGCACTCTAGGCTAAAAAGAAAATCAACAAAGCATATATATCATGTTGCATATAGCTTGTTGATTTTACATATGCTTAACTACATGTAGTATATTAAAATTGACATAGTTTTTTTTTCTTTAGTGGTGTAAACAATCATTATTTGAGTTTACTCATATTCAATCATGCTTACATTAATCAGTCGCCTAAACAACCTACATTAGGTTACTTTAATCTCATTTAAAAAGTTAATTTAGACTAATCTAGAAGGCTGAGAGAATTCAATCTGAATTCAAAAGAAGGTGAAGCGGCATTTCTTCGTACCTTTGCCCATGGCGTGAAGCAAGGAGGGTAAACTCTTCACTATGTGGCGTCATAACTTCCAAGGTGGGAAGTATGCTTCCCACCTTGGAATTATTTTAGTTCGGTCTAGTAATGGTGCTTTTTTTTGCATATTGATTGCATGTTTATCGTCACTAGGTTTTGATGTGAATGTGTATGTTTAGAGACTTTGATGTGAACGATTGTTTCAAAGATACATTGAAAATTATGAACATTGATCTTTCGCAAATTGATAAAAAGAATGTTGGAAGTAGTACGTTACATCTTTATTAACAAATGGTTAGATTGGGTATAATTGATTTGACAAAACTTGAAAACTTATTGTTTCATTCAAATTTGATCTACCATCCATTCTGCAGAAATATCCCACGTCTTCATCCACGGATGTAATTTTTCTTTATTTCATATAAAAAAACTCAATTTTTTCTCTTTGTTGTAATGTAATGATCCAGATTAAAGCCCAATAAAGAACTGATTGTGATATTATTTACTTGCTACAATTTATTTTTATATTTTAATAGTCATATTTAATAATGGTTCCTCTGAATCCGATTGAAATTCAAAATAATTAATCGCCTACAAAGCCAATAACACTTGAAATTGTGTAAATTTGCAATCATTAGAATCATAGTTTCTTATACACTTTGAAATGATGTTTGGAATTAAAGATGATAATTGACCTTTTGAAGATAAAAATATGAACAATTGACATATCTAAGATCAATGCTCCCATGATAGACTTAAGATAGTCTAATTATATGATTAGATATAGAATGAATTAACATGATTTACAGATACGTACAAATTGCAAACAATGGTTCAAAAATGAACTGGTGATAGTTCTTTTTTCTACTCATTGATTGTCAAATTCACTATAATCTAGGTGTCAAAACGCGTCTTAAATTATAAATAAATTGTACGTTATCGTATATGGTTGATTACGCTCATATTTGATTTCACCACTCTTCTACGCTGATATAACTTATCATAGTATGATATGCGCACTCTCCATTGGATGATGAATCGAGTTATAAAAATCACATTTGCAATTTTTTTCTCATTGATATATATGAATATCTGAATATAATATCACTTATCGATTCTTCCATACTATCAATCATGAATTTCAATTTAGTATCACAAGATGCAGTAAAAAAAATGTAAACTATGTGATTACAATATCACTATATCATTTATTTTACTTTAATATTATTGTTATGTAATTTGTCTACCTACATGAATCTATAATTCTACAAGAAAATTATTGTTTTATGTAGATAAGTGTTTTGCTTAGTATAGCATTTATATAAGCTAAAAATCTTTTGAAATTTCTAATATAATGTAAAATATTTCATCTCGATTATGATCACATATTATGTATTAAAATTTTGTATTCATTTTCAATTCAATATAACTAAAAATGTGTATTTTGACTTTTTAGTATCAAAATATTAATTGCAAACTTAATCGTTTCTTCATCAATACTGAATTTAGATTAAAAAAAATTTATTTCATTTGTTCCCCTTAAATATAAATATGATTTGGAATTTTAAACATTTGTTTACCTTGAATAAAACACAATCATCCATATGTAATAGTTTATAGTGATGATGTTTGTAAATATTCAAATTCAAAAAAAACTAAATATATTTCATGCATAATTACGTAAATTTCTTTAATCTCAAAATTATATTTATAGAATATGATGTTTTATTACAAACATGAAGAGTTGTAAACATAAGTAAATTGTAATGAACATATGCTTCAATTTTATGTTAAAAATATTCAAAAATATTCATATTATCATGTCATTTCAATTCTTGTGATCTTAATGTAGTTGATATAAATAAAGATATATCTAAAATTTTTATATTTTATTTATTATAATACTTTTTTATGGTATTGATTGGCTAAATAATGTTTTCTAATCTTTTCCAAAATTTTGTGACAATTTTTTCTTAGCTTGTTTGAAAGCAAGAGTATTTATGAATTTTAATCTCATATAAGTGTAAAATTAAGATAATTTTACATCTACTTTGATGATATGATTTTTTATGTATAATGATTTAAATTGAATCATAAAATAAAATTCTTATAGTTCCTATTGAAATTATTTTAATAAATTTCAAATTATGTAGATTTATCAATGAATAATTTTTAGTTATAATTATTAAATAAATAAATAAATAAATGATATTTAAGAATTTCGGATTTGATGATTTTGAATATTTGAAATGATTGAGAGCATATTATTATAGACAACAAGATGCATCAAGATTTCTTCATCATATTAGATAATGTTTCCAATCCTCTGTAAATAGCAATAACCAAACTTAAAATAAATATAAATAAAATCAATCACATAAGATGATGGATCATTTTAATTTCATGCTGTTTATGTATTATCTGATCTTCATTTATCATATATTTTAGGTGTTGTACGACAAATATCTTTTCATAAGGGTATCATTTTGTTGAAAATTAGTTCTTACCACAAATGTTGTGTCTTTACTTTTTTAGTTTGAAGCTTAAAATAAGAATGATTATAATGATGTTAATGTATCAAAAATATATATTAATGGTAAACCTAGTACAAACTGTCATGTTGTATTTTTATAAAACATTGTAAAAAAATATCGTATAGAAAATAATATGATTTATACAGCCAAACTCATGTATAGCATCCGCGATTGGAATTAATGCAAACAAACTCGTCATACACTCGTAGTTAACTGAATCCAACGAAGTATTGTATATGATCTGGATGATGTAATGAACATTTCATAAACTGATTTGAATGGGATGAGAACAACGTGTACAACTAGCGCAACTCCCATACTAGAACTAAGAGGTGCAATCCATAAGCCATAGATACTTTGCCACATTCGACAATTGGTCCAACATGTTTTGTGGGTTTTGTTGGGAGGAGATTTTGAGACCAGAACTCGATATCGTCCTCGAAAACCTGATGAAAGTAACCAGAAAGCTGAGGGCTGGGCTGTCGAGCAAAGCATCATAGTTTTCAAGGCCAACCAGAAATCCATATGGCAAGCATCTGGAAGTAATAACGTCACAAGTTCAATGGAAGGATGGGATAAGACGAAAAGCATCTACATTTAATCCTCCGGCACTCGTTGGAGGATTTTAGTCGATTCATCTTTCGCCTTAGAAGTTAGAATATTAAAATAAAAATAAAAATAGAAATTTGTCGAACCCCTTCTTTCGAAAAGCCCACAGTGGTACCCGATATCGACCCGATACACCCGAACACCGAGAAACTGCACAGAAGAAAGCGGACCCGGAAAGGAATGTTGGGGTGCTCATCATGTTTTGCCCCAAATCCATTGCGGAACCGGGAATTCGGCCCTCGAACAGCAGCAGCCTGGAGACGTACACACACAGACATGGCTCCGCTTGTACGCCGGGAAAGTGCCCTCGAGGACTTTGACCGAGTTCACCGCCAAGTTCGACCAGAGGGCGCTCCGGCTAAAGTAGCCGGCCAAATGGCCGCCTGTCTGCGTGCCTGCCTGCGTGCCGGTCCGACTGGACTCGTCGTCGTTCGGGTCAGAGTGCGGAGTGCCGGTGCGACCGGAACTATTCCCGACGGAAGCGGTCATCGTTGCGTCTGCTCTGGTGTTGGTGACAGTAGTGACAGATTTGCTTCGCATTTGTCGTGCCGCTGCTGCTGCTTCTGCTGCTGCTCTCGCTGCAGTGAGCGAGCTTCGGCAAATAGAGAGAGGGAGGAAGAGTGAAGGAGAACGAGAGGGGAGCGATGGAGATTTGCGCTGCGAGTGAATCGAGGAGTAGGAGAGGAGAGCAGTAGGCAGGGCCAGAGAAGAGAAGAGAAGAGAAGAGAAGGCAGAGGGTTGAGTTTGTCGAGGGCAGGGGAGGAGAGGGGAGGGGAGGGGAGAAGGGGAGAGGGGAGGAGGAGAGGCTTTTCTTCTTTCTTTCTTTCTTCCTTCTTCGGCGAGAGGAGGGAGCCCCGAGGAGGGGAAGTGAGTGAGTGAGTGATTGAGTGAGTGAGAGTGGGAGTGAGTGTGAGAAGGAGAGAGGGAAGGGAAGGGAGGGGAGCGATGGCAGAGTTTGCGGAGGTAGAAGCGGTGGATGGAGTGCGGATGGCGTGGAATGTGTGGCCCGGCACGAGAGTGGAAGCGAGCAAGTGCGTGGTGCCTTTGGCCGCGTTGTTCACCCCGCTGCACCCAGTGCCCAACTTACCCGAGGTCCCGTATGCGCCCCTGCGGTGCAAGTCGTGCCGGTCGCTGCTGAACCCGTTCTCGCAGGTCGATTTTGTGGCGAAGATCTGGATCTGTCCCTTCTGCTATCAGCGCAACCATTTTCCTGCCCATTACGCGTCAATTGCCGAAAACAATTTGCCGGCCGAGCTTTTCCCGCAGTACACCACGATCGAGTATGCTCTGCCAGGAGAGACCTCACTGCCTCCCGTCTTCTTGTTCCTTCTTGACACATGCTTGATTGAAGAGGAACTGGTGTACCTGAAAACCGCGCTCTCGCAGGCCATAGGGCTGGTGCCGGCCAACTCTCTCGTTGGACTCATCACTTACGGTACACAGGTGCATGTGCACGAATTAGGATTTGGAGAGTGCCCTAAGAGCTATGTATTTCGCGGATCTAAGGATGTCACCAGGGAACAAATCCTCGATCAGTTGGGTCTTACGGCTCCAGGAGGATTGCAGCGAGGGTCTGCTCAACCCGTTGGTGTCATTGCCGGAGTTCGAGATGGAATATCCGCCAGTAGCATTAACCGCTTCCTGCTCCCAGCTGCCGATTGCGAATTCACCCTTACTACTGTGAGTACTCTTGAAATGTGGTCTAGTTTTCCCGAGTGATTGTCTTGGATCTGTCTGGTGCCAGTGCAGTCGGGATGTTCTACGTCGAAGACTGGACAAAGCAATGTATGGGAAGATCGTCCCCACTCGGCGATTGAAAATTGAAAATTGAAAACTGAGTTGGGTAGTTTCTTCAAATGGGCGTGCCACAGTTAGTACCTGGGGCAGTTTGGTAGCTAGAGTTTCCAGTATTTCGTCCGGCTCAAGCACAGCGGATCAAAATCTGCGCTGGTTGCCTGTATAGAGACACCTTTCTTGCAGCGATCGAGCTGAATACTTAGCTCACACACAACCATTATAAAAAACCCTGAGATCTATTGCTAGAGCAGTGAACACGCCACGGTCTGAAATGCAGAAACGGTATCGAACGTATTTTTGCAAGTAGGGTGAATTCACCATCTTCTCGTTACGACAGTCATAAGGGTTGTCAGGATATGGAGGGATCAGACAAGGCCGCTGTTGGCCACTAGAGTGGTCAGCTACGTACCTGGTTGGAGCACGAAGGTCAGCAGCTGCATTTGTGGGTCAATTGTAGGGTCAGGAATTGCTCACGCCGTATCATGTGATGAAGCATATGACATTTTTTAAGACTTCCACATCTTTTGAGATCTTTGCACAGTCCCGAGGCTTCGACTGAACGGTTTTAGGGGAATCACACATTGCTTTCTAAAGTCACCACTATTGGGTCTCGTTTGGAGTCGGCAATTTGTGGTCATTGATTAGCCCTAAATTGTGGTGTGCATCTTTACGTAGAGGAAGAAGTCTAATTTGTCCGATGCTATGTGGGGTTTTGCTGCAGCTTCTTGATGAGCTCCAAAGGGATTCGTTCCCTGTCAAGTCCGATCAGAGAGCAGCTCGTTGTACCGGCACAGCTCTTAGTGTTGCCACAGGGTTGTTAGGGGCTTGTGTACCTGGAACTGGAGCCAGGATTTTGGCCTTTGTCGGTGGGCCCTGTACGGAGGGTTCAGGAACGGTACGTGTTCTGTCGATTCCAAAGTTATACACGTCTCAGCCACCGAACTGGGTTTCCAGCTGTGCAGTAATAAATCTTCATAATAACGAGGCAATCTGCTTATGGGTGTGCGTCATTGTAGAGCTCCGTTTGTTTACCACGCCGAGCGAGAGCCTATGCTGTTTGCTGTCAGTTAAAAGAGATCAAATTGTGAGCATTTTCTCGGAGTGGAAACGCTGAACTATGCAGCCGGGCTTCTTCATTCAGATGTTTTTAGCTGGGTCATCTAGGGAATGAAAGTTGATGGTGCAGTTGATCGGATTGTTATCCCAGTGGCAAGCATAATAAGTTGATCCAGTGTATTCTTTGCAGATTGTGTCAAAGGATCTCTCGGAACCTATCAGGTCTCACAAGGATTTGGATAAGGACACCGTTCCTCAGTATCATAAGGCCGTCAAGTTCTATGAAGCTCTCGCCAAACAGCTTGTAAACCAGGGCCACGTGCTCGACCTCTTCGCTTGTGCTCTTGACCAGGTACGTTCCGTTTTGAAGGAAACACTCAGTTTTTGTCATATGGTTCGATGGATTCATGCTGTTGTATGTTGCATATGTCTTTATTGGGGATGATTGCAATGTCGTAGCCGGTGTGCCTTAAAGCCTACCATTTACCTGGTGCTGAAGGTTTCTAGACTACACGTTTTCCGTTGGTCGGCACTGTAGGTAGCGATTGTGATCGTAATCGCAAAGCTCATGCAAGTTTGTCTCCAAGTAGGCCGATTCATGCTGATATTTTTCAGTTGCAAACTGTCGTGTCATTAATCCTGACTCTGAACTTATTCATCCTTTGTGTTCAGTTTTGATTGCTTCTTATAAAAACTGAAGCAATATGTATATAAAAGCTGGGATGGGTCCTATAATTGCTTTGTGTACCCCATTTTTGCCCATCTGGGTAAGAAAGTTGACCTGATCTAAGTGCGGCCTAGTGTTCCATTTTTTCTCTTTTCAATTCAGGTGAATCGGAAAGATCACTAATACTGAGATACCCTTAGCAAGTCTTTTGAGGCCGACTTTGTCACTTGCCTTCTGTGCATGATACAGGTCGGAGTCGCTGAAATGAAGGTAGCGGTCGAAAGGACGGGTGGCCTAGTTGTTTTAGCAGAAAGTTTTGGGCACTCTGTCTTCAAGGATTCCTTTAGACGTGTCTTTGAAGCTGGTGAACATGCTCTGGGCTTATCCTTCAAGTAAGTCTTTATCATTGTGATATAAGAGTTGTTCAGCCTTCTCAATGAAGTAGTAAAAGGCAGGGCACCGAAAGGTTACTCGAGAAGGTGTGAGACGGACGGTGCTCTAATTACTCAATTTATTCAAGACCTTGTAAGAGAGAAGCTCAAAATGTGACTGAAAATGGGATGACCTATATAGAATATATATGCGGGGGGAACTCCTTGTTTGGGGCATCGTATCGGACGTATCATCTTATTGTTTTCAGGCACTTGTCTTGTTGGCGTACCGATATGTGTAAGTATGATCCCTGCACAACCCTGTCAAATTTTGAAATCTATCTAATGGCTAGGGATGGTTGTATTGCAGTGGTATTTTCGAAGTTAATTGCTCGAAGGATGTGAGGATTCAAGGTACAATCGGCCCCTGCGCTTCTTTAGAAAAGGTGCATGACTCTCTCCATTTCTTGTTATCTTTTGGGTTTTCCGCAGTGGGTTCGGTGTAGTCTTTCCACCTGTCCTGTCTTCGGGTTGAGCAGGTTGTGTTGCTGTTTTCTAATCTCTCGATTTCGATGATTATGAGTACGTTACATCTGGTACCTACGTAGATGTCTATGAGGAAGCAGCAGTCTTTATTCTCATCATTTGTACTAGTCAACAACTTTGTAGAAGCTCAGCGTAGGGCCTGGTATTTTCACTGTTTTCTAGCCATTCTCACCCTTCTGTTCAAAGCCTGACCTTTTTACCTTTTTCCGATGTATGCCAAGCGGCTTGCAGAAAGGGGTATCTTGTGCAGATACAGTCGTAGGGCAAGGAAACACATCTGCTTGGAAGATGTGTGGACTCGACAGAAGTACAACATTGGCAGTGTTTTTTGAGATTGTTCCAAGCGTGCAGTCTGGCACTCCAGCACAACCGATCAGCCAGCAGTTCTTCATCCAGTTTCTCACCCAGTATGGTCAATCTTTCTAAATTTGTCATTCTTCATGTGGAAAGATCATAGTTTTCTAAAGTCACACCACAAGACGATGTCGGGTCTGACGGGGTTGTTTTTCTGTTCTTTACGCATGTATTTTTCTGCATGCATGTGAGGTCTTTATGAAGATTTTACAAGTGTCCTCACAGCAGAGCGGGACCCGGGGACTAAGCTTAAAGTTTTTTTGTGGTGTTGCAGCTACCAGCATACTGATGGTCATATGCGATTGCGAGCTACAACCGTTCGGAGACGCTGGGTGGATGGGTCTGCCAGTACTGAGGTTTGAGACCCTAGAAATATCACCTTCTGTATAGTTTAGTTTATTAGCCCGCTTGTGTAGTCTTGGAACGTTTGCTAGATCCTCCAAGATAGAATTCATTCGCTTGCTCACGAGATCGAGCCTGCTGCAAGTGCAAGCTGGCTTTGCTCATTCTACTGGTAGCGACGCGTCAGTCATAGAATCGTAAGTTTTTTAGCAGATGGGGCATAAAAGTTTGGCATCGAACTCCTCGTGTTCAGGTGTACAAAAGTTTAAGAAAGCGCTAAGCGTAAACATCAGGCTAACACCAACGAATATATTGGAACCCCTAACTAAAACGTGGACTTGATATGACAATGTTCGTTATTGAACTCGGAACGTACGGCTCTTATTGAGGCATTCTTACGATTTAGGCGTGTGAGAGAGTTGTCCCATGAAGGAGCGAGAACGATACTTCCTTGTTTAACTGTTAAGTTCTCGTTTGTACATGGAATGTGTTTAGGAGTTAGTTGCAGGATTTGATCAGGAGACGGCGGCGGTGGTCATGGCTCGTCTTTGCTCCTTTAAGATGGAAACGGAGGTAGGATACTCCCTCAACGCTTGCAATTGTGGGACTTACTACTCTTGCATTACTTTCTCGATGTCATAGCACCGTTTATGTACCAGCTCTTGATAGGACTGTACTTAACACAAATTGCAAATGCAGGAGGAGTTTGATGCAACTCGGTGGTTGGATAGGTCGCTCATTCGACTATCCTCTAGATTTGGAGACTATCGGAAGGATGACCCGTCATCATTTAGTTTCACACAAAGATTTGCTATCTTCCCCCAATTTATGTTCAATCTGCGACGATCTCAATATGTCCAGGCACGTTCTGAAATTACCCTAAACTTCTGAAGTAATCTCCTCAGCTTTCATGATTAGTATGTTCTATCTTCTTTGCCACTACCGGGCCTCCTTTTTTAAAGGAGTTGCTCTCATCTTCTACTGTGATTGGCAATTTTTGGTCGCCGGCTATCTACCTCTCGGTATCTTGGAAACAATGTCTGCTGTAAAATGAAGTAAATAGAAACAAGGAAAGTTTCCAAACGTTTTGAACATTTACTTCTCGATAAGTGAAGATGAGACGAAAGCAATGCTCTTTTTTGTAAAAATTAATTTCCTGGTCCGACAAAGTTAGCAGATATGCAAAACTAAAAGAATGTATCCAATCTTAGTGGATACTGAACTGTTATGTAAATGTAACTAATTCTTCCTATCTTCCTCTGGGATGTATGTCGATCTCAACAGGTCTTCAACAACAGTCCTGATGAAACAGCCTACTTTCGAATGGTTCTCAACCGAGAAAATGTTACGAACTCCCTAGTGATGATTCAACCATCACTCATTTCATACTCATTTAATTCTGCCCCAGAGCCAGCTTTGCTCGATGTTGCTGCGATTGCCGCAGACCGTATTTTATTGTTGGATGCCTACTTCAGTGTCGTCATTTTCCATGGAATGACGATTGCCCAATGGCGAATAGCCGGTTTTCAAAATCAACCTGAGCATCAGGTATATACAACCGTCATGCCTCTTGCTTAAAGCTTACTACTTGCCGTATCCATATACACCGTATGCAGAGGATGTCCTCCTTGAAAATGCTTAAAAGTTCCGGTTTAGTGATTATTGATCGACTATGCGCTGCTTCAGGCATTTGCACAATTGCTGCAAACACCGAGAGAAGATGCACACGCTATCATTAGAGATCGATTCCCAGTTCCTCGGTTGGTTGATTGTGACCAACATGGATCTCAGGTGAGCTATTCCTATGAGTTCAGTAATCATGTCTTTTCTTGACGTGCCTCTGACCCAGATTTTGTCCTGCTCTTAAATTTTGAACAAGTCATTTTTCTGCCGCTGATGTGAGGTCGCGAAAGTTCCTTAATGCGTGTTACATCAAATTTGCAGGCCCGTTTCCTACTCGCTAAATTGAATCCATCTGCAACGTACAATTCCGCAAACGGACCGGCTCCTGGAGGAGACATCATCTTTACAGATGATGTCAGCTTGCAGGTGTTTGTGGAGCATCTCCAAAGGCTTGCAGTGTCGTCGTAATCAGTTCTCTCCAGTCTGGCTTTTATTCCCACAAGAGATGGGCAAAGGTATGATTTGGCCTGTGGAGATGAAAGTCTACAGGCATTAGACAATCGGAGCGTAGGATCCTCATGAAGACAACAAATCAATGACTAAAAGAGTTGAAGGTCTCATGGATTAATTTGTAAAACCCTTCGTTGTTAGGTTCCCTTGCCCAATAAAGAGAGGTCACATGTATCACACGGTGAGCGGAAGTGGATGAGAGAGAGAGAGAGAGAGAGAGAGAGAGAGAGAGAGAGAGAGAGAGAGAGAGAGAGAGAGAGAGAGAGAGAGAGAGAGAGAGAGAGAGAGAGAGAGAGAGAGAGAGAGAGAGAGAGAGAGAGAGAGAGAGAGAGAGAGAGAGAGAGAGAGAGAGAGAGAGAGAGTCCAGGCCAATGATAATTCCTGGTCTTCACATGGAGTAAGTTGGAGAGGATTACGAATTTAGATAGCTGAATCTTGCACTGTACACTGTCATTTGTTAACGACGGGTTTGAAGGGCAGTCTTGTTCCATGTGAGTCAGAGTAGGTACATTCAATTTCCTGATGTAGGACAGTGTTAACGAAGTGGTAGGTGCGAATTTAAACTAATTGCAAAGCATATGACCAGACCTTTTGCGGGTCCTTGTTTCTAAGCATTCTCAGGGTGAAAACATGGCGTCGAGTCATCTGGTGATGAGGACAACTCCGAGACTTGTTTGTGATGCTGCAGTATCGGCCTTTGTAGGCTAGGCATGAGTGTGACTTCGTATATATTTTGTGTCCTTGAGATATCACATCTTGTACAATCAGAGCTCGGAGCAGTTTTGTTCGATGGTTTTTTAATGAGGTTGATTGCTTGATTGCTTGGCATGGTTGGTCTCATGGTTTATTATGAGTATGCATGTCACGGGGCAAGGTTAACTTTTCGCATATCTCTAGATGTACACACCAAAGAGACGAATCTGCCTCGACAATTGCTAGATGAATGGTGAAAATTATAACCTTATCGATTGGATGGTTCTCGATCGCTACCTTAACAAATATGTCATTTGTAAGAATGTTAAATATGCTGCACATCTTGTAGTGAAGTGTTCGCGGTACAAGAAATATCGAAGTGCCAGGTATTTCTTGTGGGAAGTTGTTTTAGTAACCCAGGAGTGACATGCCACAGGGTTGCAGATAACAAAGAAGGTCACAAACTTGAGTTTATATAGCAGGTGTGCAGCAGAATACCCAAGAATGCTAATCGTACACGAAGTTTTCTTCCGAAGTTGTGATGTTGAACGTTGCAATCAGGTTTGATCTTATGGTTTTGTCCTTTGTCTTGTCTATGTCTTCGAGGGATGAGTTCGTGTGCAGCAATGCCGAACCCTGAAAAGGCATGTTTTTTAAGCCACTAGAAAGAGGCCAAACCTCGTGGTAAAGGGCCCAGCTTCTAGAACAATGGATGTCTCGGACCTAGCAGGTGGCATGTCACTCCTGAGCTACTATAATAACTTCACACAAATATCACAGGTTTATGGTCTTGAACAATTGCCTGAACCACTCGAAACCGTCGAATTTGAGGAGAGTGGAAATAAGGGGTTGAGCTAATACCCAAGCTTACCACTAACAGTGATCACTCAAGCAGTAGAGAGAGTGAATAGTAGAACATCACTATAGATGCGCAGGAAGGTGCACAGACCACGTGGGAAGTGTACATAGTCGAAATTTTTTGAGAATTTTCCATAAAGTGATCACTCAAGCAGGAGAGCGAGTGAGTGGTAGAACATCACTCTAGATGCGGAGGAAAGTGCACAGACCACGTGGGAAGTGTACGTAGTCGAAAAGAGTTGAGAATTTTCCATAAAGTAGTGAGAAAGGATAAGGGATAGTATCCAGAGTATACAGAAGGGAATCTCAAGCAGTTTGAAATGCTTACAAGTATCCACGTATCTACTGTGACTATTAGTGTATGTATAATAATAACTTATGTTTTTCAAGACACAAAAGAATCACCTCGCGTGATAAACATAACATATTAATCCAAATGATACTTTTGTAGATTAGAATGATGATTAGAATCATGTTCATTCCATGAACATGATTTTAGATGAGAACATGTTCGCATCGATAGTTTGATATAAACCCTATGATGCAGTAACAAAGAGTGGTCTAATGTGCAAGAGTAATCGGCCAGTTTGATAGAACCATACATGGTGTTTTTTGGGGAATCATGTAGAGATCAGTTTAACAACACCTGTTACTCAACAAGTAGCTCAAACTAGTCACAAATAAAGGTATGGGGAAGGCGCACTAATTTTCAAGTACTAGTAATCTGTGATAGTATTTTGATGTGGATATTAAAAGCATATATGTAAGACTCTTCTTATGGAGGGATCTGATGCAATTTCTTATGGAGTTTTTGCTAAGTTTGCAGATTTAGATATGTAGGATAATCTTGATGTATAAAAACATTTTTAATAACGTGAGATTTTCACATTGTCATAAACCCACGACCATAATTTTACAACGAAAAGACCAATCACACAAGGTCAGGCTTCATAAAATTTGGCATTCTATTTTTAGATGTCAAATTTGTCAAAAATAAAAACTCAAAGTTGCCAAAATTAAGTGGTTATTTTTATTTCTGAGTTTGATGCAAAAATTCAAATATCGAATATTTCAAAAAACTATAAAGATTATTTTATAATCTTTAAAAAAAGATAAATAAATATATTGAAATTTTTTTATATATTAAAAAAAGAGAAAAAATATAGCAAAAAATATCATATTAACAACATATGTAATTTAAAATTTGTCAAAAATTTTGAGTTATTTATAAATCATAACTTTGGTCAATTATGAAAAAAATTGATGATAAATGAATCAATTATATGAATTAATTTTTATTTCCACATTTAAAATTTATATTTGCGTATTAAATTAACTATTTTTGTAAAATTAATTTTTAATTATATAATTAAAAATCAAGCTCAATTTTTAAAAATATGATAAGATATAAATTTTTTAATTAATCTTCAATAAACTATAAACTCTGAATTTTCAACTTATATGTTTCAAAAGTATAATGAAATTCTAATTCAGAACTTATTTTCTATGCTTAAATTTTTTAAACCACGATTTTGGATCATATATATCTTTTATGCATTCTATTTTGATTTGCATTATTATTTGACATGTTCATCCAAAAGCTAACTGGGAATAGACATTTATTTCTTATTATTGTTAAAATTTTAATTTTTTCTTTGACTTATTCGAAATATCAATCATCTTGATAAATAATTTCAATCTATCAACCTTCATTATGTGACCTTAGGAAAATATATGTAATGTATTTTCTTTGCTAAATTTTCTTTCTTATGAGTATTCTGTATATCTTTCTTGTATGATTGAAGCTACTGATGACTCCATTTTTTATGATATCATGCATTTTCTGGAATATGATGATGACAACCATTGGAATTCATTCTCTCACATTAGAATACACACAATATCAAATTTGCCAAAATTACCCAAAGAAAATTGCCAATATTAAATTAATTTTGGCAAACTTGGCATTTGCCACAAACTATGAGTCCTGCACAAGGTACACATTGGCCATTTTCACACAAAATGGCAAATGGCAAATGTGTACTTAGCTCAACACACGGCCAATGTAATTTACATAAGAAGAACATGGAGTTAGTTCGAGTGTAAGGATTTGGTAAACTGCCGTCCAAACTCATTCAAAATTAGCTACAGAGCAAATGTACATGGAATCCGCGTTTCATGAAAGTACTTTTCTTGATGAACCTGTTTGATAGAGTTGCAGTGTTCACTTTCTTACTTCTCTAGCACCAAACATGCCAAAACGGAGGTGTAAACGTCAGAAGGTTTTTTTATAATGAAGACATCAAATAATCCGTTCAGAAAAATGGTGTAACAATGATCAAAATTGGTAGGTCTGCGAAGTAGACAGTAGACTCTGATACCTAATCCTATGAACAATGAAACTTTATACCTTCCTGGGTGATGGACATGGTTGCAGGATCATACTTCTAGCGACCAACATGAGACAAGATGTGCTAATCTGATCATATGAGAAGGAGTTTCCAACATGGGCTTGTGATCTGCTCACAACTTTAGGCCCTGAAGTACACAAGGGCACACATAAATTCATCATCTTCTTCTTTATGTTCACATCAATCCCAAATTAAAATTGTATGATTCCTCATATGAAACTAGGCTTATTGCATTTCATCTACAATGGCACTCTTTTGGAGTACCTGATGTTATTCTTATAACTTCACTCATTGAGAATCAAAGTTGAACATGAAGCTATCACCAGAGCTGGTGATAGGTTTTCGTCCTATGATTCCTAATGTACTAGAAGAATATTAATAATAATATTATTCTCGTGATTTCTGCATCTCAAATGCTTCATATGATGTTTTGGATAGCTTCACTCTAAATTACATTTACCCAGATTATTAGAAAAATAATTATAGTTAAAAAAGGGGATTTTTTTTCACAACTATATATCGAAGAAATACAATCTCCTTTTACTTCGTGAGTTATGAAATTTGAACTTATGGAATTTTTGAAACACAGTTTTAAGATTTATTTATTCTGTCGGACATTACGTGTATTCAATCTATGAATACACATAAATTCTATTGTATTCAGTTTGATTAAGTAATTACAGTTTTTTTATCTTCCAGATAAAATTTTTTTTCTTACAAATAACAGAAATATTAGTCTCCATGTGCAATGCTCTTTGGACTTCGAGGTCGAGAGAAGTCTGAAGAAGCATACAATCGGCTTTTCCTGCTGCCAGGGCGTTGAGGTCCTTATTCTCTTGGAAACGAACCTTGAGTAACACGTATTAAGTACACAATTTAATTTAATCATTAAATTGACTTTGGGTATGAACCCTGTGCGTTGAACGAGATGAGCTGAAAGGTCGAGAGGAGTCTCAAGAACTTCGAACGCCGCTTCTGAAATTGACCACCAAGTATCGTGTGTGCTACTTCTGCCTTGAGAGAGAGGGAGAGGGAAGAACTACTCGTTGTCAAGCTTAAGATCCACAACCTCCACTGAGGTCTCAAGGAGTCAGTCAATTGTACGACAGGTGTACAAGGTTGAGTTGAAGGTTCGAGGGAACTTTCCATATCTACGAAGCTCTTTTGGAAGGTCAGGGATACTCTCAAGCTGGAGGGAGAAGTATCGTTCATGCATTTTGATTAGTTGCCAAGAGGGGTCGGTACGATTGTGGCGACCATGAACGTGGTAAGTACGCTCGGTTGGAAGGTCAACACGTCGTTGAAGAGGAATTGTCAGAGTGAGAAACCCACCCAGATTTGCTCGTGTTCGATAGTAGCATCTTGTGTGTAAGCTTAAAAAGGCTCTGTATGCATCACATGGAACCCGATTTACGCCTCTTCGCTTCGCTGAGTCTCAGACTTCTTTACAGGAAGAATGCCGATCTCATGATTTCCAATTTGCAAAATGGTGCAAAACAAGGTGTCTTTTGCTCTGTATGTCGATGACACTTCAGTTACAGGTAACAACGCGGAGATGATTGACAAGATTTGATGTGCACTTACCTCTGAGTTCGATATGAAGGAGGTGGTGGATGTGCAGAGCTGTTTGGGTGCAGGTGGGCTTTTCCTCACTTTGCTGCGATCACTTGCATGTCTGGTCCTACTTGCTTCGACGTAACCGCAAATAATAGACTGTTTGTTCATTCATGGCTTCTACTCACAAGGACCTTCGGAGTATCAAAACAAAATTGTCCTGCTGCCACCCAATGTGGTCTTCAAGGTTCAGCCATGAATTGACTCACCATTGAGACAGCATGGGATATGTCCGGTCTTCGGGGAGTAATCTAGATCGAGCCTCGTACCAACTGTCTGAACTATGTTGTTTCCCGGACAGCTTCATTCAATTTCACAACTACAACTTAAGAACATCCATCTGAAATTCTCTGAACAACTTCTAAACCATCTTCAGTGGAAGTTTACGAGCTCATGGTTTACTTCAGTCTTTGAGAAACCTTTTATGCTTGTCTGTGATCGTTTCCCCAGACGCTGCTCCTCTAATGCTCGTGTTCGTGGTATGTCTATTCTCACATGCAACGTCGAGCTTCCAGACGAAATTGAGCTGATGAAGCTCGCCAGTAGAGCTTACGCTAAGTACAAAGTGCAACTACTGAACTTCGTAATTACAAGACCTACATCAGTAAAGAATGCTCAGAATGCTTGTGTGCAACGAGAGTGCTCGTGCGTGAAAATTCTGAAACTGGTGTTTGGGTGATTCTTCGAGAGAATCTGAGTGATGTCACTGCTTTGTGATTTTCTCCACGCCACGCCCCGTTGCGTGCGAGACACGGGCAATAGGTTCTGTCTCAGATTAGCTCCAGTCTAGTTCTGGAAGTTGGTTCGTTTGATCGTCTCTTCGACCGCCGAACAATACCGAGCAGGTACTGGTGGAAATATTCTGCATTTACTGCCCATCGAATTCTGCAGTTCAGATTATAGGAGGGCTATTTTGCAGTTGGAGATTGTTGAGAATGAAGTGCAGTACTCAACTCACGCAAAGGTTGAAAGGAGGTTTCGCTATAGCTGAAATTGTGATTCTTATGTCGAGAGGTCGACCTGCGAAGGTCTATAGATCACTGTTTGCATCTAATTATGACATTCTTCTTCGTAGTGAATGCAAATGGACCTCAAAGGAACATTAACTGTTATTCGCTGCTATGGCGCTGTAATGAAACGTGGATGAGACATTGAACGATCCTTTCAGAGTTACTGATGTTTACAAGAAGTTGGAGGGTTTTATGGAAAGATTGTAGGTGGTGGAAGCCGCTATCCATGCCTCTGCAGGTCAAATTCTGGCCAGCAGCTCATAATCACCGAATAATCAATTCTCTGCGGCAGCTCTTGGTGTAACCTACTTCCAACAATAGCTTTGAAGATTTCTCAGATGCCAGTGGAGATGCATGCAGATCGTATATCGGAAATTTCCTACACATGTATGCTTAGGAGTATTTATCGGAACAACCATCAAGGACGAACAATTATTGCCATGTCTAAACTTCGGGAGTTGATGCCTTGATCATGATATGAAGCTCAGGTCAAGTGGACCTTCGAGTGAATCTCCGATAAAATTTACAAACGTGGAGTAATGGCTCGTGAACGAGATCGATGCATGCTTTTCATGTGGCATGTGGTATATTCTCAGTAGTCTTTCAAATTCTATGGAGATTACAGTACTGACTCACCATACGTGCGCACGAACCGCCCCTCCCTTATGCCATCAGTGCACATCTGCACTGCGGATCCTGTTTCGTTTTCTTTCTCATGAAGCTCTCTCTGTGCTCATGTTCGCAATTGGTTCAGCTTGCAATATGTTAGCATCCCAAAGGGATGTAGATGCTGATCCACCCACCGTGCGTCATCCTGACTGCAGGCCCGAGGTCGGTGAGCGTTGTTTATTCATTCGTTGCAAAAGGGCGTTCGTCTCTGTCGAGCTTCATCTTCTGCCTGGTGCCTTATCAGATCGTCGCATTGCCTGCACAAACAAATCAAGGACGACACATCCAAAAGTGCAAAAAGCGCAACAAAATTCGCAACGAACGAATCTGCACAACCTTCGTTATACGGGTTCGCAGTCATTATATCATCCCCAAGGCTTTCTTCCATTTTCACGTCCATTGAAATTGGGTGGAAAATAAAATGATTGGATACGTACAGTACAGTACTTGGGCTTCAAACGGCGATTAAATATTTGTGAGGACCCACGACAACAGCAGTATTCGCTGTTCCTTTATGAGTCGTGCCATCCGACAATTTTGTTGCGAATTATATATCGTGCTCACGTTTGACGAATTGCAAGGATCAATCATCAGCGAGCAAGGAGGTCCACTGAGTGAAAGCAGCGAGCACATCGTTAGTTAGTACTTTAAAGAACAAGTAATTGTTTCTCTAATTGTGGGTATTTTGATTGCATTTTTATATGAGACAGATAAACTTATATATTAAGTGATTATGATATTATGAAATCGGTGATTGGCAAAAATGTATTTTCAACTCATCGAAAATTATTTTTTCTACAGAAATACGTTGATACTTTTATGCGATTAGCCACATGGTTTGAATTCCTAGATAAGTATAGATTAAAACATATTTTTTTAGGACAAGATAAGTGGATATGCCATAATAAATAACCTTTATTTATCTTCAGATCAAGAATAGATGAAATTCACAATCCTTTCTTCCAGGCGTTGAGGGAGCTAACTACACTGTTCACGTCACTCTCCGCAAGACCCTCATCATTATGTTCTTTATTAATGCCCAGAACTATTTGAACTAGATAAAATTCGATTTTATCCCATTCGACTTGCATTGAGTACTTCAGTCAAGAGGATTGCACCTGTTGCATGAGATCCTACACTGCACCAATATATAACCAAACTTCATCTCTTTGAAACGCTCGCAGGGCACGACTTTCTCAACGTAGATGCACTTTCTTCATGTATTTTTAAAGTGACAACTCTCCTCGTACTTCTGTAAAGACCTAAAATTTTATCATGTTCAGTTTTTAATCGGATGGAATAGAGTTAGCGTAGGCTAGTTTAGTTCGAGACCGCTGAGATCTACTCATTCCCACATTAAAAAAGCAGATGGATGTATCTTTTCACATGAGACGAGAATGTAGATCCCCACTTCATATTTCCTTCACATCTAGAGTGTTTTTATTTTTATTTTTTAAGATCAGGCTATACTTACTTTATCTATATATTTGGCAAAACCCTTAGGGTAAATACCATGTACGAATTTCGATTTCTCCCTCTTGGAATGGGCTCCTGGCGGGAAAGGGGCAAGCAATAAAGAGAAGAGCTTGGAAAGCCACATCAGCGCTCCTAGTTGGACAGGATCCCAACTGATAAAGTAAATCCAAACATGCCTTGTAGACGTGAAACCCTAAACCGAAGGGGTAACATGTGGCTAGACCCCAGGTCTAAAAGCTGGTCATCATGCACATCCATAAGATTTTAATATATTAGATTAAAAAATAAATTTCCAACATCAACTACAAGGCCAACAGACTCAGCTCAACTGCGCAGTCAAGGACCGACCTGTTCTACTGCTTCCTGCCGATTTCCAAAGTCAAAGATACTGTAGGCTGCTCACGCTACTATTTTAACCACGAACGATGGACTCTGTAAAGGGAGAGAGAGGCCCACCAGATGCAAGTAAACTCATTATAATATACTGCAATGGTCAGAGATCTATTGAGGGCTCGTCTGCACACTTTTTTTAAGAGCGCCAACATATCAATTTAACGAAAGTATGTTGTTCCCAAGTGGTCAATAAGATCCCATTGATTCTTATAAGAATGGTGACAATTGAAGCACAAGGTGTAACAATGAGGAATATGCACTTTACATACTAAGATATATAAACTATTTGTGAATGGTCTAAATCTACAGACTCCCATATTCTTAAATTTAAATTGATTGGTATAATATGAATGTTATATTTTGATGTTGTTTGAAAGTGAATTTACTCTTCTGGCCTAGAATAGTCACTACATTGACTTAAATACAACTAAGAAGAGTTATCTACTAAACTCTGGTACAATAGACGCGTGCATTTTCTTGCCAACAAATTCGCGCAAAATTCTATTTGATTCAGAATTGATACAATTATATAAATATATGTGAAGAGGTTGAACTCCTTGCGTAAATTTATTTATGAATATCTTGACTGTTAATACTTCATTCTTGATTTATGTGATATTGTGCTATCCCATGATTAATATCTTTCGGTCCCTTGATATTATAATGATATCATAGATCAAGATTATTGTTTATCTCGAAGATTAGGTGATAGAGCTTCAATAGTTAGAAACATATTGACCTAATAGGATATTGATAAGGCTTCGAGGATTTTTTTTTCTATTAAAATAACAAATATAAAAAGCATGCTTTAAATGCAAAAAATTAGTACAGTAAACCACACATGTATTGTCATAGTTTTTAAAGACATGCATTTTTGGGGGTGGAATCCAGTCCAGTGTTGCTAGCTAATGGTTTAGATTGAACATCATTTTAAACAATGGTGATGATCCCCTCAGCATCAATTACCCTCCCAATTACTTTTCAATGGCGCAATTTGAAACCTAGCAGTAGAATTGATGCTTTTCGGACTCTACAAAATTCAAACTTGCAAATGGTGACAACATTGAAGCTTTGTCTACAATTTATCAGGAAATGATTCTGTTCGATCGTATATAACATGCTACTTTACCTCATTGTGTCTTATTGGTTTCACCGTGTTGATAGACTTTTACCACCGTTACTTTGTATCCACATGGTGTGATATCTGATTATAAACTCCTTTTTCGTATTAATTAAGTTTTTTTTTATATTTGATCGATTTGGATTTGGAATTGTAATTTTTTTTGTACTACAAATTTTAGCTCAATAAAGAGTAAATGAATGTACAGGGTTGTGGTAAAACATCTCAGATAAAGCTAGCATTATCTGTAAAATGTCCCTTTATCATAATGCATATCTACTGTCACTCCTGAGAATTCTTCAGTCTTGTTCGATAACAACCACCACGGCTAGTAAAATATTGCGTGGCTATTCTGAACATCAAATATTCGCAAAGAGGAACATCGAATAGCATTTTTAAAGTAGCGAATCGCAGAGTCACTTTGCTTTGTTTCCCAAAGGACTTGCATCTCATGCCATGAACCCCGCCGAGCTGAAATGGCAAGCAAGCCATAAGAGGATACGGGAACCACGACGAAGCCAAGCATCGAGAGACCCAGCAATAAAATGGTAGAGAGATAAGCCAGGGATCCCAAATGTCAAAAGATAAAAAACACATTAGATTAGGAAAAAGATTCTTGTATCAATAATCTTTTAAATATCTGAACTATGAATAATGAAGACATTCATATAACAACCTAAATCATAATCGGCTAACTGTAATAAGTAATAAATTACTCTTTATTACGAAGCATCTCCTGTGAACGAGGATTACCCTGTTACCTTGCGAGCAGTCGAGACCGTCCAATGTCAAATGGCTAATAACTGCACTCGCTGCGCATAATGTCAAAAGACATCAATCAGCGATCCAATTATCACATGCACATAATAATCGACCGACAAACCCTTCCGATAATAGGACAAGTGTTTTCTGTGCACGGCAGGAGAAACAGTGTCGTCCTGTCCGACGGATCGAAGCTGGAATTCCGATTATCGGGTCGAAATTGCTGAACACGGAAATCAGTAAATGGATGGCGCTGCTGGATGACCCGATCGAGGGCAGCCTGCACTGTCAGCGCTGAATTGGCGAGTCCCATGCCACGGTGGCGGGCCCCACGGCCCAGCCCAGCCCAGCCCAGCCGCGGCGGCAGAAGCTGGGTGTGGGCGAAGGGGGACGAGTGATCGGGATGACGGAGATTCTCTCCACTGGCCGCTCCTCCCCCCCGCCGTCGTCGTCATCGTCGTCGTCGGGAATCTCTGGAGCGGGGCGGGGAACAGATTCCGCTGCGGTCCCGTTCGGGTGCCCCCGTCTGTCTGCGAAAGTGAAAGCGCGATGAAGGGCTCGAGGAGGCAATGGATGCGAGGGCGAGGCGATTGATGCATCTTAAATGGGGGAGGGCGATTTTGTCGCTCGCTTTTCTGCCTCCTCGCCTTCCTCTGCGAGGATGGCTTTCCACGTCGCGGCCCGGGACAAATGCTTTCCCCTTCACCTCGCCGGGTAATTAATTGCTCTGACTCTGAGAGCGCTGCTCACGCCAGTGGGTGCAGATTGAGCCACCAGGGCGAATGATTCGGCCCCCTGTTCGGATAGTACTTTTCGCGGAGCATGCGAATTAAGCTTTTTTAGCTTCGTATCCACCTGGAATCGCTTCGAAATGTGGTCATGCCATGCCCCTCCCTGCTTGTGTCGTGAGCTTGAGGTCTCTACAGGATAGGCCTGCTCGGCCATCGTTACAAATTTCCTCTCGCGTGTAGCATCGAGCACAAACTGGGCGACTCTCACGTATATTCCGACGTTAAGTTTGTCCGGGGTCCAAATCTTCCGGGAGAGCTTCTATTGCCCACCCGCAGCTCGCTTCGATCTACCAAGGAGTCGGTCAGGCGGTCAGTCGATCGATCTCCTGCACTCTCCGCTCTCATCTCTTCATTGTCTCGGGAGTTCCCGGTTGGAGCTTCCTTCACGCCTTGCGCTCGCGTACGAGTGCTTCCCTCTCTCCTCTGCACGCCTGCAATATCCGTGCCTGCTACTCCTTGCTGCGCGATCTGCGATTCCACCGATTGAACTCTGGATTCGCGAATTTCGTCGAGGACCATCGTTTGTGATGACTAAGCTCATTGGGTTGTACTCCGCGTGTTGCGAGCCTCAGCCGCTGTGTGCTTCAGCTGCCCCGAGAATTCAATTCTGGTCTTCGGACAGTCTTACCTTCCGACCTGTGTAGCTGTCCTATCTCGCCTCCGGTTCAGCACCCTCCATCGCAGATTGGCCAGCAGGGATCAGCGCCCGAGAAGGCAAGATGGGATTAGCCTTGGCAGGACGTGCCGCTGGGCTCCTCTGGATATCGGTTTTGTTGGTCAGTTCTGCCACCAGCTCTGCCCTCGATTTCTCGAATAAGGTGCACGATGGATTGGACCGCGCAGGTCGTAAGAGCATACTTCAGTCCGGAACTCCCTCCGATCTCACGAGCTCTTCCGGCCGGAGCATGAAGGGGCGTGAGTATAAGATAGATCTGAGCAATCTGGAAAGGATTTTGGGAGTGAAATTGAATCAGGAAAATTCAGGGGGAGAAATCTTGAGGAAATCTAGGGCTGATACTGCAGGGTCAGCTGGGATATTGGGCACTCTTTCCGAGCAGGGATTGGTTTATGTGAAGGAGGTGCTGGTCAATGAGATATTGGCTGAAGTTACTCCTCTGGACATTCCTGACATTATCACTCGAGTGAACTCACCTATTGGGCGTGTCGACACTATGATTACCCAGATTGTTCTCTCGGGAGCCACTGTACATTACTCGGATATCGAATTGGGTCAGACTGGGATCACAATCTACGCAGCAGGCATCAAAGCGAGTCTTGTTATGGATTGGCGGTACCAATACACTGCAACTTATGTTCCTTTTCCTGTTCAAGACGGTGGGCGCGCTGAAGTTGAGGTATGCCTTCTTTGACACTCCCCTGAATGCCTTCCACACAAATGTTCAACTCGAATCTTGTTGAGAGAGCTATGTTTGTGTGATATTTTCTCCTCTTCTTCCAAGCAGCTGATTAGCCTTTTTGATCTGTGTTTCCTTCAGTTCTATCAACCTGTGTAAACAATTGGTTGTTTTTTCCAAGTTGCAAAACTGAACGTGGTTATAAGTGTCCGGGAATGACACTACTCTTGACCATGAAAAGTTGAAAAGGGATTAGTCTAAAGCTTGAACGGATTGACCAAACTCTTTGTGATGACCATTCGATGAGGTGTCATGCCATACTACTTCAATATGTTTGGAAACTGAACTGTAAGTTAGGGCTCAATCTTTAAGTTTTGACACTCATCCTGTTGGAGGTTTATCTTCGTGATCAGTCTACTCTTGTCTCTTACTTTTGATACTCTTTCCCATATGCAGGTGACCGGAATGCAAGCTGGAGCTACTTTCAGTATGTCAGAAACGAATGGAACACTTACCTTGCACGTTGAAGAGTGTGGAACATACATCGAGAATCTGGAGATTACTCTGCATGGAGGAGCATCTTGGCTCTATCAATGGCGAGTGTCTGATGCCTCCCTATAGATAGGAGTCAGAGTAGATTGTGTTACCGTTGGAGGGTACTCTGTAAGTCAGTCATTCGTGTGTCAAACTTCATGCCCCGATTGAAATCCTTTTTATCATAGTTCTGAACTCTTATGTGGTTCTTTTTTTGGAAAAAACCCGTCATCGATTAAGACTTACATATCACTGAAGAATCCTTTTTGTTTCTAAGGTGGTTCCATTGCTGCCCATCAGCATTGAACATGCATTTACCGTTCTTTAGTTTGTTTATTTCACAGGTTCGTTTACGCATTTGATGCCCAGATTCGGACTTCTGTTGAGACACAGATAACGAAACAAATGACAACCGGTGCTGAGCAGCTGGACAACTGGCTTTTGCATCTTCCTCGACGTGTTCCCATCGATGATACCTCGGCTATTGATGTGACAGTCGTTCACGATCCCTTGCTCAGCCCTACGTTCTTGAGTGTGGGTGCGAAGGGCGAGTTTGTCTCCTTGGTATCACCAAAGCCATACCCGGAGCCTGACACAGAACTACCTGCAGGGCTTTTTTGCGACCAGTCTGTGAAGATGTTAACGATAGCCCTCAGCGACTATGTTCTAAATTCAGCTGGTTTTGTCTACTACGATGTACGTTTCTCTTAATAAATCTCGTATAGTTTTAGTTAGTACGTCCATAATTTTCACGATAATCAGTATTGCATAGCAAAGAAACAAGTGCAAGGGCAGTTTGCTTCTTCTACATACTTCACTTAATTCCGTACGTGTTTCCTTGCGATACAGTCAGGTTTTCTACAATGGGACGTCGATGAGCTACCTGGGAAAAAGTATTTGAATACGGCTAGCTGGAAGTACATTATTCCTCAGCTTTACAAGAAGTATCCGAATGAGGATATGGTACTGAACTTTGCAGTCTCAGCACCTCCAAAAGTCGTTCTCAGCAGGGACGGTATCTCTTCAGTGACTTCAGCAGATATGACCATCAAAGTGAAAGATGCCACCACTTTGGAACAGACTCCTGTGGCATGCATCAGTCTGGTATGTGGTTTCGACCTTTTTGTGAAAAATGTATTGGGTTCATCGGTGACTAGAAACGGTGTGGTGTGCTTTCGTTGAAGTCGTCCACTTATTGGTAATTGAACTGTAGACCTGGAATTTACAACTGATTCCCGTATACACAGGCCATCTCCATGGATGCTATAGCAGATCTGGACGAGGGCAACATAACTGCACAAGCCACGTTGAATGATCTAACTGTGTCCTTGAAGTGGAGTGACGTTGGAAACTTCCCGGTGTATCTTGTTCAGGTGCCATTCAGCTCAAACTGCCTGTATCAGAACTATGTAGACCCGTTTGAAAGTGTTGTTGTACATCGATGTCGAATTGTAATTTTGTTTTGTTGGTAATACATTGCCAACAAATAATAGGTTCAAGTTGGCATTATCCAGTACTTTCGATTGCTGGCCCTTGTGAATCATGCATCTCTCTGAAACACGACTTTCACAATTTTGGCAACTACATTGTGCATGTTCCTGCAGTGATCTTCATCACAGTGGGGCACTTACTGATTGTCCTCGCTGTGCATTTGTCACAACCAAGCCTGCCTCTACATTCATATTACTCTAGACAAGACATCAGTATCTCAAATTACCGCTAACTATTGCCGGCTTCTTCTGTATCGTGGAGCGAGTATCGTTCTCTTTCTCCATACTAACGTCATGGCTGTGGCTGGCTTTGATCAGGCAACGGTACGAACTATCGTGAAAGATGTTGTCGTACCTCTCCTCAACCTGAACTTGAGGAGAGGATTCCCACTTCCAGTTGTGGCTGGTGTGACGCTACAAAACTCGGATCTTAGATACGAGGACGGTTACATTATGGTGTGTACAGATATACATTACAAGGGTGGTTTTTTCCACTTGAAGAAGCTTGGGGAACAGAGTGGAACAAGTAAATTAGTCCTCGATCAGTAACCGTGCAATTGCAACTCATCTGCCACATCTGCGTGTGATGGCATGCGATCAGGTTTTCAGGCTTGACACAGAGTGCAAATATTTGAAAGGGTGTATCTGTTGGTGCGCAACTGACTCGAGGATTCTGTATTCTAGAAGTCGCTGAAGTTGTGCAAGGCTTGAAGGGAATTTCGTCACAACCTCGCGGATCGCAGAAAGCTCTCGGCTGGCCGCCACTAATAATGACGAGAAAGATCAGTAGAAACATGTGGATCTTTGCATCAGAGAAGGTAGCACACACTGCACGCTTTACTGTCTCACGGGTCACATCCCCCTACACCATTGTGTATGCCTGCCCTCACTTCAAGTTGGTGTAAGATAGGCCAGACAAGAGAATTTAGTAAGCATAACTTTCTCCTGAAGTCAGGAGCTGGTATTTGATGACATATTCACATTGGAAGGTTTGCAGACTGTAAATAGAGAGGGAAACCCCTACACAGCAGATGTGTCCAATGCCAGAGGGTCATCCTGTTCGTCTCTGCAACGAATGAAAGTTTACTGCTATTAGGTGGAAGAAGCTTTCGAGTATACTATCGTGTAGATCTAGAGCCTTGTTAAGGTTCTAGGCTACGACGTGTGGACTGTATCATATTGGGCAGTTGTTTTGAAGGTCTACATATTCGTTGTTTTCAAGCCTGGGTTAGTATAACAGCCGGATATGAAATTGGATTTGAGGAAGGAATTTGTCGGGGCTGCGCCTAGGCTTTTGAAATAGTCAGCACAACAGAATGTAGATGTGGAGAGCGGATTGTCAAGCCAAATATATTTTGTGATTGCTTAATTTTTACCTCGGAGAAGAAGGAATCTGGCAAGTGGCCTACTTCACGCTGTGTTTGAGCACGTACTTGTGTAGATTGGTCATGCGCTTCATGATTGGCACCGAGAAGGTTGCCTAGGCCTGTACTTTCTCTGCCCTACTTGAGCCGTAAACTGGGAAACTTGCACGTGCGTTCCTTACAGGGGGAGAGACCAAAGATAAAGGAGAAAGCAAGAAGGAATAATATCGTGGAACAACAAGCAGGTAGGTCACGCAAATCTGCATCGCATGTTCATCAAGTGATCGGCTGAATACAACTAGTGTTCGAACTGTAACACAGTAGTTATTGGATAGTATTGTCTTCCTCGTAGGAAATGCACCCAAAATTTGCTGCAAATTCTTCATTGGAAGGTTCCTCCACGTGGCCGCGAAAAGACTTCTGTAGTCATCGTCTGGAACTGCATCGTGAACTGTTCAAGTACCCCCGTTCCTCGTCGGTGAACAAAACCTACTTGGCGAGTAGTAAAATAATTACCGTACACACTATGTAATTATTAGTCGAAATTATACTACATCCTTCACTATATATTGCACTATAATGTCTATCAGAGGCCAACATTTCGCTTCAAATCTGTACCAGACCAGACCCATCAGCAGCGATCTATGCCCACCTATTGCATTTCCTGTGCCCACCCATGGAAAAAAAAAGTCACCCAAAACCGATGGGCATGGGTATGGGCACCCAATGTTGGGCTCTGATGTCTAGTTCTAGCCAATAGGTAAGATGTAAACCCAGTTCTCAAATATTTCATGCACTGAAAGGAATAACACTGAAGAAATGACATTTCTCCTGTAAATCAAAATTGTCAGTCTGTGTCACAGTCAGTATATGTCTTGTGGAGTCTTACAAGAAGACGAAAACTAGCTTCAGACGAGATTAGCAGTAAGCATATGAACCCTTTTTCCCAGTACAAAGAGATAATAAGCACTTATTATCTCTTTGCACTTGTCAGAAATACTTATCGCTTGTTCATGACCAATGCTTACGCTGCTATTATGTATTTTCGTTAACATTCTTGTCTATACAAAACAACTGGATACAACAATGATTTATTTTATAATAAATTCTGAGTACTGTGCGTCTTTCCTTGTTTCGCACTAAAGCCCATAGGAACTGGTAAAGCTGTACTAGAATGTGGGGAACATAGTACATTGTTTCAGAGGAGAGGTTCACACAGTTAATTTTTGAAAGCTTTTAAGGTGTTTAGCGGAGTATAAATTTCACCTTCACACCTGCGAAGCTTTAGTTTCGCCTCTGGAAGTCAATGATGAGATGTGCACATATGGATCCTTAAACAAAGATCAGATTTGCTTTGCGAAATTTCAAAATGGGCACGACTGTGTATCAAGTCACATGAACAGATTTTAAAATGCTCTATCTGGTGCTAGATGTAGAAGCACATCGGAGGGAATTGCATCTAAAACACCTTCAAGTGCGAATGTTTCATTTTTATGTTTGTGCGATGCTATTATCTCTCCGGGTTAGCATTTTGGTCTACTTAGCTATGGACAACATAAATCTGCCTTCTGATTATCGAACTACAGCAGGGATCGTCATTTGACTTCGACTCGTCATCAGAGAAACATTTCCCGTTAAACCGAGAAAAGTTTGTGAGAGTAGACTATGCAGTAGCACGTATAGTTATCAGCAGTCAATGCAAGAGGACATTCGAGGAAGTTACGGAGGAGGTCCCCGAAGATCTTTCTGCAGGATAGCATCGAGCTCATCCAGCTGTCGAGCTCTTGCTTCAATCTGCTGTGTGACGAAAGCGAGTTGCTCTTTCTCCAAGCTCTCTTCTTGTTCCAACAGAGCCAGAGCTTCGGCGAATTCTCGCTCTCGTTCATCCTGCATGAGAATGAATTTCCGGGCTGAAGAGTCCAGGAACGACGCCAGTGTCTCGAGTGCCTTCAGCTCCTTAACATCAAGTTCTTGTGACATGTGGGCCGTGGCTTCCTGGTTGGCCAGCCTGGCGAGAAATGCTTTCGTCATCGCTTTCCTCTTAGCAGCTTCCTTCAGCTGCAAAGAATTCTGCCTTTCCCTCAAAAATTTCATTGCTCTCTGGATTCCCAGCATCATCTGCGAGCTTTCCTTACGATCTCTCGTCCTCTTTGTCTCCGATCCGTTGCTCTGCTGCACCTTACACCTGTCAATAAACGCCAAGATCGCGCTACCGTTCTCTTCTTTGCCACCTTCCGAATCGAGCACTGTCCTCTTGTGTCCACAATCCTCCATCGCGCTATCGTTCTCTTCTTTGCCACCTTCCGAATCGAGCACTGTCCTCTTGAGTCCACAATCCTCCATCGCGCTATCGTTCTCTTCTTTGCCACCTTCCGAATCGAGCACTGTCCTCTTGAGTCCACAATCCTCCATCGCGCTATCGTTCTCTTCTTTGCCACCTTCCGAATCGAGCACTGTCCTCTTGTGTCCACAATCCTCCATCGCGCTATCGTTCTCTTCTTTGCCACCTTCCGAATCGAGCACTGTCCTCTTGAGTCCACAATCCTCCATCGCGCTATCGTTCTCTTCTTTGCCACCTTCCGAATCGAGCACTGTCCTCTTGTGTCCACAATCCTCCATCGCGCTATCGTTCTCTTCTTTGCCACCTTCCGAATCGAGCACTGTCCTCTCGTGTCCACAATCCTCCATCACGTTTTCAGCCAATTTCTGGGACTGAATCTCAGTTCCTGTGCTGAGTCCGGATTTGGTCTCATTCCGATCATTGGCTTGATGGGAAGGACACGAGGCTCGGTTACTGTTGGTGTGGGTCGGCTCTCTGACGACGATGGCCGAGGAGGAACGAACCTCGGGCTCCTCATTGCTTCTGCTGGGATCTTTCACAGCTGTTTTGCGCGCTCTCTCTGCCAGAAGGCTGGCGCATGCAGATTCCAAGGGGCTAAACCAGTATGGCTTGCGCTTGGTTTTAGGCAGCGGCCCTTGCTGCTGTAATTTCTTGTAGCTGACCACGATGGTACTGAATCTCCTGAACCAGTCCGATGCGCTCTTTTGGTACCCGAGCTGGTCCATCCTTCGTTCCAGCTCCTTCCACAGGTGCTGAGAATCCAGCCCTCTGCACCTGTCGTGCAACAGAACACGAATCTTGATCAAGGCCAAGGTTTCATCTCTCACCGTCTTCGTGTTGCGCGTTCTCTTCACAACTTTCTCATGAGGGCCATCGCTCTTGTCTCCCGGCGTTCCTCCTTTTCTCGTGCTCTCGGCCTTGGCTTTCGGTGGAGCTCGGCCACGTTTGCCTCTTCGCTTCTGCGCTTGTTGTCCTTGATTATCTCGAGTATCGAGTGCCGGCGTTCCCGATGGCGTTTGCTGCGAGAGGGCAGTTGCAGATCTTTGTTCACTCTCCGGCTGCTCGACCTTGAATCCGTGATCAGGATTCACGTGACTCACCTCCTCCCTGAAAGTTCCCGTGGCGAGAGGAAGCGTAGGGAGGAGGTTGTGGCAGGAGATTTCGCTGGGAGGCTTCATTTCATTGTTCTGATGAATTTCTGGGACGGGCTGTAGTTCTTCAACCTTTATGTGTTGGGAAAATTCCGATGACGATGAGGAAGACGAACCTGAACTTGTGGCATGCATATCAACCATCGTCGTCAGCTGTTATCGAGGACTAACTGTCACTGAAATTCGCTATGAAAGGTCCCGAGAAGTCCACAGCTTCGATCAAAACTTAACCTCTCTCGTCAAACTTCGTCAGCACTTCCTGGCCTAACACATTCACAACGAGCATCTTGCTCGTGAGATCTAAACTCCACAGCGGAATTCAACTGTGAGGACAGACCATGCCACAATTAAACAACAGCACCACCTTTCCATAGAAAGAAAAAGCAAAATCATACGAGCCTCCCGGTAGTCGTCACAGCAAGCAAGAGTTCGCGGAATAATCTGGACACGAGAATTCTCTCGAGTGAGTCCCACGACAGAACTCATCGAGAGCATGCATGCAAGAAGCTCAGCTCGTGGACATGAACATAAGTATCAACCACCAGATCCAGAGCGACGGAAGGGCTTCCGACCGGCTGTGATGTGATGTGATGTGACGTGACGAGACGAGACGAGACTCGACTCGACACGAGTTGTTACTGTCAGGATGTCCCTGGCTCTTCATTTAGACTGGCTACTGCAGAGTAGCGGCTGGCAAGACTAATTCCTGATTGAGTGGTAGATGATACCTCAGTCACCGGGAAAGCCAGAACTGAATTGCAAAGTCAGCCTCATCAAGCTCTACATGGATGAACCCCAGAGAGTAACGTAATGCAATACGTTTTATACAAATCTCAGAGGGCTTAAAAGACTCAAAAGTGTATCTCGCACGTACTTTTGATTATTTAAGTTATGATTTCTAAGGATGTTCTTTCATTATTACCGAGGATTATTTCCTCTTGTGACTGCATAAAGCCAGATCAGTGCGATATCTGACTGGTTGTAATCTACTAGCGTAGCTTGAGAGACCAAGTCCCGTCAGTACAGAGACGTCCTCGGTCTTCGAAACATAGAACTCTGATCGGAAATATATCTATCCAGCATCGTGATGTCTCCTACAGACCAAATCAAATTTTGGATTCTATAATGAACGCGTGCCTTGGCATTGTTTTCGGATTTCTATACAAGACTGGTCCCTTCGTTCATGTTCAGCTCACACTTCATTCAAGGAAGCTAGACATGGTAGCTTTTCATTTGCGCGAGTTCTCTGCTAAATCCCGTCAGTAGGATAAAGGGCTTCTGAAATGTCGGCGATACACACAATGTTTCAGTGATTCATGGCCACAATTTACTACGAAGGGATGTCTAAGCTCACAGGAAAATGACTTCACAATAGCCATCGATCCCTTCACTGTGTGAGAAAAGAAATGAATCAGAAGTTTAATTGTGATTGTAACGACGTGTTTCCTTCAACAGACCTGATGTACGAGTGCACAATCCATTCAAAATGCAAGAACAAAGAGTGATTCAGAAAAGTGTGTCATATCGGCCAGCTGAAAGGAACCAAAGCATTTATTACAGCGCGTTATTTTCGAGAGGCGAGGAGAGAAGGAGAAATTTCTCGACCGCAACCTCCGTCGACTGACTGACAGACAGACTGACAGTCTCAGACTCAGACTCAATGCGGTGCAACACTTGGAGCTACGGTACAATCTCACAGGAGAAGGCCTCGGCGGGGCCGCCCACCGAGCTCTGGTCGGCCTTGAGCTTGTAGCTGCTGCCGGCGTCGGTGCGAACGAAGAGCCCGTTGCTGGCGATGAGACCCGAGGCAGCGTTGCCCACGTCCACCTCCGTGAATTGCGAGGTGACGCCGGGCGTGGTCTGGTCGCAGAGCAGCTCGTTGTTGAGGCTGCTGTCGAAGCGGCAGTACTTCTGGCCGCCGCCATTGTTGCCATTGCACTTCAGATAGATCTTGCCGCTGCCTGCGTTCTCCACGGAGAACGACTCGTACTGCCCCACCGCCGCCCGATTCGCAGCCAGCGAGTTCGTGTGGAATGGGCTCGCGTAGTTGTTGGCCGATACGTAGGTATCTGCGGCCCAATCCCACGCACACACAATCATCGATCGATCTCAATTTCACAAGATCGGAAATCACTGATCTACTCTGATCTACTCTACTGATCGGTTGCAAAGCATTGCAGGGACGTGTGTCCCGCACACATATGACTTACTAGCAGGAAGGCGAGTTCGGAGCGCGACGGTGTTGCCAGGCTCGAGTCGTGGGGCTCTGATGATGGTCACGCGGAAGGCGATGTCGTTGCCCGTGCTCTGACCGCAGGTGCTCGTGAATGCGTTGCCGTTTGCGTACGTGTTGCCGCAGAGCTTGTAGTTTCCAAAGTTGGTGCTGGTGTGGGTAACGTAGATGAGGTAGCTGGTGCCCGGGTACAAGGGTGCAGCATTCTTGTCCACGAGTCTAAATGGGTACCTGCGCAGATAGTGTACCCACATCCATCATCTCCCGTCAGCTCTGATCGAGCAAAACCTCTCAGACTTCGTCCTGAGTGTGAATGAAGGTGTGCAGTAATTCTCGGGTGACAGACTATCTGACCTGCACATGGATCTTCACTTCACTCTAAACGTATTCTATGCTTTCAAAATGCTTTTTGATTCGGCTGTCGGTCGCAAGAAATCTATACTGAATGATCGATGGACCCGTAAACTATTCATTATAAGGGCTCTGATTGTTTTCGAGCGGAGAATCGAGATCTGAGACCGCGTCGCTCGAGGTGTTTGTTCTTGGAGATGGAGATGGAGATTCAGAAGGAGCAAGAGCATGGGCATGAGCATTACATACCAGCCAGCTAAGCCACCCTGGTTTTGAGCAGGAATGTTGGTAATGAACGATGTACCAATGGCGGTGGTGCTGCATCCCGAGCTAGCAGGTACGTAAATCTTGATCTGATACGAGGTGACGGTGGTGGGGTGGGGCTCCAAATAGATGTCAATCGTGTCGATGGTGGCAACTACGCTCAAGCCTGTTGTAAAACTCTGCCCGAAGCCATTGCCGATGCTCTGACTGCTGCAGCTCGACCCGCCGTTGTTGATGATCTGCTGCGAGACGGCTGAGACTCGCGTTCCTATCTGCAGCAGCAGCAGCACCATGGCTGCGAAAATGCGCGTACTCTTCGTCATTTTGGAATTCGATCAGGACTGGATCAGAGTGTGTGTCTTTGCACCTTCTGAGCTCGATGAGAACATATACGGATTATGGCAGGAGGAGGGAGTATTTATTCGAGACAGAACGCGAAATCCATCACCAGCGTACTATGGACCCGGAGGCGACGAAGCTGTCCGACGTGCAGATAGGATGCATATGGATCAGAGTGTTGCAGATTCGATCGTGCCATATTTTAAAGTTCTTCAGAGGTCGCCTCACAATATAGCCGCACTTCTGGAGCAGATGTCAGCTGAAATCATTAGTCCACGTCGGAACCCTTCACTGCCCCTCACGGCTGTACAACTGTTAATCTTCAACGTGGTCAGCTGCTCCACAAAGACTGCGAAGACCTGGATCCTCTCGACTCATGACGCAGAGATATTAGCTCGCACATCTCTCGGACTGCAAGCCTTGCCTCCCGACATGCAGGTCGTTCTTTTAAAGGCGGATCTGAGACCGGATCTTCTCGGCCACGGCCGCTCCTGAAATTTGTTGGAGAAAAACTCCTTGCTTCGGAGACTCGATCTGGTCTACAGGTTCGCGTTCAGAGTACTGTGATGTTCGGAAAAGAGTACCGACACATTCAGCCCAAATTTTAGTGCGAGGGGCTGTCAAAAGTACACTATCAGTCGCTAAATTGTTGCAGCATATACCTCACCTACCACACGTGCGCCAGTGAATCTTGGAATTCAGGTCTTCGGACCTTCAAGAATTCAGTAATTAGTACAATAATTACGCAGCCCTCCAGCCGAATTTGCGCCAGTATCACACAGGACGGAACCACGCATAATGTGAATTGTACTCGCCAGAGTATTTTCAGGACGTCATGTTCCTCGAGAGCTAAGTCCTCAGGGATGACGTCTATAATCAATCAGTAGCTGGAGCTGGAGTTGCAAAGATTGGATCTCTCGGCCTCAATTCCTTGAAGCACCGGTTTTCTACTTGGGTTCTGTCTTCGTTCAATCACCCGAGTGCTTATGTCTCTATGACGATTTGTTTGAATATCAAGGTCACGGACTGATGAGCCGCATTTTGAGTCTTCATGTTACGAGCAGGACGCAGCAGAGCGAGATGAACTGCAGGATCCCTTGCAACATAAACTCAGACTAAATTCTCCCACTTTACGTACCAACCGGTGCCCCGGATCCATTCTCTCTCTTCGTGCCCTGAGCTCGAGGCCGGCGAAAGTGAGCCGCACAACATTCGCGACATGCAGTCAGTCACTTTTGCGGAGCTTTTTGCGAGGACGGTGTACCGACTGGTCCGAGAGATGGGGCCTGAGAAGCGGCGGTGGTTTTCCTCCTCACTCCACTTTCAGCCAGACAAGCAAGATGGTCCGCTGTCAGTCTTATAACCGGCATAACTGACTATGGGGACAGAACCGGCGACCTCAACCTCGGCACCTGAGAGTCGAGGTTTCAACACCTGAGTCAAAGCCCACGATGTTCCACGTCTGTTTGTCTGCGAGGATGAGTAAATGTGCCCTCGTAGCATGTCCACGATTGCACGCTTCCTCTCTATGTCCACATGGCATCACGTGATCATAACTATCAGTTCTCCACAGTGCAATCATATAAAATCCTGATGAAACTCATACAGTTGCAAAGCTGAGTGAAATCTCAACACCTTGTCCAGTCAGGATGTAGTTCTCGTTCTAGGACTCACCGACGAACGCCAGGTAGCATTGTGACAAGTGGTGATACTCTCTCGCTTCCTCTTTGGGGTACATAAGTCCACGCTTCACTAGTCAGCAATCTGTCCAGTGACTGCTCCTGCGTATGGCGAGATCTCAAAACCGCTCGCGCTGTATCAGTAAATCGTTGATCAAGGCTTTATAAGAATGTGGCATTTCAAGTATTTAGAGAGTGTCCATTGCGAAAGACAGGTATGCTGCGGCTTTGAAATTATCCATACTTTCTCGAAGCGTAGTGATGAATACATGAAGGAAGACTCAGATTTGTAGATCAAACTAGAACAAGGGAACCCGGACGAGAAACGGGGAAAGAAACATTAGTATATGCAGATCCACGAGAAGCCCGCTAGACCGTATCATGTGTGTCTCTATGGAAAGTATTTCTGCATGATATCCTAAAGCAGAACTCATCGTGCGACATGAAAATGTAGAAGAATAATCCGGCTCAGCCATCAGTGTCTATGTAAATGAGAGCTGAATGTTTTTTATGGAATGTGAACCAAACCATGTGAGTTCAAAAAGTGTAGAGGGATACGGAATCCGACCATGGAGTGTGACATTCCATGATAAAATATCACCGTCAACCCCTTGCTGTACTCTTGGGTACAAAGAAGAGAGAATCTTCCCCTTCCGTGTCAATGTTTCTTTGGAATTTGCAGCACCGTCGAGCATCATCATAACTTCATATTTCTCTCCTCGAAGTTGCTGTCATCTGCAAATCAATCGATGAATTGAAAATATGTCGATAGATCAGTTTTAGTGGCAAAGTCTGGACCTCTGTCAAGGTGCAATGAGCTATAATGAGGACACAAAGCTCAAAGCTATACGAAGCTCTGGGCTCATAAAGTTCCATGTGAGCTTTGTTCTTGAGGAAGGCTCTGGCAGTTATATGTGATGAATGGCAACCCTGTAGTTCAATTCGCCTTATCATTGGAAATACATAACAACAGCAGACCTCTTCTGAACTATGAAATGTGCTCATATCGTCTCTTCGTGGAGAAATCACATGTCCAGCAAGGCCCTCAAAATCTCGACTCGATCATTCTCTGCATGTGTTGAGGCTCTCTTCCCCCCCTCCTCCTCCTCCTCCTCCTTCTTTGATAAACACGAGTCTCTCTGACATGAAAACTAGAACTTGAGGATTGAAGCGAAATTGAAAAATCTAAATCAGCATATTGGATCCTTGAATATGTCGTAGCGGACGCCTCCACTGTTTCCGTGCACATAGTTCATTGTATAAAAATAATAACATATCAAAATAGTCCTGGACAACAAGCGTTTGTAGTCCAACGGTTAGGATAATTGCCTTCCAAGCAATAGACCCGGGTTCGACTCCCGGCAGACGCATGGCGATGAAGAAGCAAGCAGCGCGGGGTGGCCTCCTGTGCCACCATTGCTCCCTACTGGAGAGACCTCGGCGCTCTACGAGCCAAATTCTTGTTTTGGTATTCTGATGTCCTGATTTCGCATTTGCCTTGAAGAAGAGTCACATATGCCTCACAACGCCGAGTTTTAAAGTACTGAACTAATTACCTTGACCAGAAGTCAATTGCTGATCTGATGTTGTGAACAACTCTTCGTCACTCTAAGCAAGAGTACAGTAGTCTCCCGACTAAGTAGGCAACTTGATATGGGAGGATGGTGCGTACTTAGGCGAATCAGAACCCTGAACTAAATTAACTTCGCTAAAATTTCGTCCTGGAATCTATTAAGAATCCAATATTAGTTCCGGAGAGCGAATAGTAATCCAAGTTCTCCTCTCTTTAAGACGAGGCATAGGACAAACGTGCCAACAATAATTATTTAATTTATGAGAGTTTCATATATAACTTTTAAATCTTTTTCTTACTTCAAATTGTAACAGCATTGATACGCACATTACCTAGCATGTCTTCAAATTTATTATGACACAAAATTAACCTAATCAATTTCCATATAAAAGAAACCATAACTTTATTATTTAATGATTTTTAGCGATGTGATTCTTCCAATAAAAGGGCTCTAGTTCGAGAGTAAGACATTAGTGAGGCACATGTGAGAAATGTGTTAAACAAGCTCGAGCAAATTTTGAAAAGATTTGACTTAATATCTGAACCTAAAGAGAGTATCTTTCTATCTTGTTGGTTGATTCATTGAGTTCAAAGAAATGATTTTCATTTGGATTGACATGCGTAGGGTTGCAAAAGGTGATGCTTATCGAAGAGGGAGCTGAAGTCATCTTGTATTAGTGAAAGCTCTAGACGGTCTGTGTTTATTGCCCATATTATCTGAAAACGTATACAATATGATCCATACCGCCTAGTTGTACCACTACCGAAATATACCTCGTAATGCCAGACGAGGAAACATGAACCAACAATTGGTTTCCAAACATAAAAATCTTCAAAACTTGCATAAAATGATTATTTATGATATTTTGAAATAAATAAATCTTGATACCTCATTTATTGAGTAAAATTGTGCGTACTTAACCGGGAGGTTAATATGTACTCACAAGTGTCCCAAAATGTCGCTAGTTCTCCATCGTTACCCTTCTGGTTCCTATCGACTCACCATCCAGGCCTGAAATAGCACAAAGAGGAACCAGACTGCGAACACTCTTCATCCTTGTGAACTTGACATACGAACGGCATCTGTTCTGCATCTGGCGTTCCATATGCAGCAGATACAATACAAATCTGTGAACACAGAGGTGCACTCAGTACAAGCCCTAGTTTTCCTCGTTATATACTGTAGTCATTTCAGCCTTGGATATTCAGCATTTGAGAGAGTTCGAAGATTGATATTCACTGCTTGACGAATTTCAACGTTAGCAATGGGCAATCTCTGTGAGATGTGACTTGTGACTTGTTTCTATCTGATGAAAAGCTCTTTTTGGTATGCACGCACTTCAGGTAGTGGTGATGAAGTACACAATAAGAGACAGGACAAACGGTGCGAGCCTTATTTGACATCTCGCTGGACTACTGTAAAACCACAGTGGTCTTCAGTTCTTCAGTTTTGCTTAACTTCAGTGGTCACTTACATGTAATGGTTTCATAGAGTACCTAGGTTTCTTCGAATCGTGAAAATGAGTTACTATGGCCTTGAATGATCCTCTGCTCTTGATTTTCTAAGCTGTGTGATGCGATGACGTCGCGTCATCAGATATTGCTGTTCAGAATCACCTGCGTCCATAACTCTACAACCATACTTGGGTTCAACCCCAATGACACGTAAAATCAGTAGCTCATTCCCCCTGAATGTGCTGTTATTTATTTGTAAATCCCGCTCCCCTTACATATGAAATGTAACCCAATGTCGGCACCCTTGAACCCCTGCAAATTGTTAACATCGATCCCGCAACGAAGATTAGCAGAGAGGCCAACATTTTATTTCAAATTTGCACCCAGACAAGACCATAACCTTCAGCAGCGACCTAACCCAACCCATAGCATTACATATGCCCACCCATGCTATTTGTATTAACCGGTTGCACCAATTCTTGGTTGGATCTTGACAAACGATGCCAAGAGCATTACTTGTGACCACCCATGGGAAAATAATATCACCCAAAACCCATGGGCATGGTCACCCAAAGTTGGGATCTGCTGATTAGTGTACAATTGACTTCGATCATCAAGTGGAACAACCATAACCTTGAAATCTCACTCCAGGTCCCTTGCCTTGGGCTAAGGATTTGATTACCTGGACTGCGAACACGCCAGGTTTCTCTGACTAATATCTTCTCACTCAGTTATTTACAATTGGCCTTTGCAATAACGCAAGACCTTTGTCGGCTTTGTAATTTCGAATTGAATTGTATCAAATCATCCTTCCATTTCACGAGCTGTATTTTATATCATCATTTCATAAGTTCATTCACGGTTTTTTTCATATCCATATAAGAATATTTGATAGAGAAAAATAATTACACAACATTAAGAATCTTCTCTTGAAGCAATCCAAGGATGTTGTTTGCTCGTCGATTTTCTCATTCATTGTAGAGCATCTAATTCTGACTAGAAATGTGATGGTGGATTATCTAGAACATATATTTTACATATTCATTTTGCTTGGCCGCATGAACTTAGTGCCACAACTTTCAAGTCATCAAATTTTCTTTTATTTTCTAACTTGTTACTACGTATATAAATTCTAAATAATTAAGGTAAATTTTTTGAATTATTCTTCGATTTATTTATTATATGTGGCGCAATCTCATATACATATGTAGTTTATATACATATATAAATACAGATTTTTTGAATTGCCAGAACTGATATCAAAATAGAAGTAAAATCATGTGACCTAGTTTCTCATCTTTTCAAAATTGTTACAGATTTTACAATCGCATAATTAAAATGATATGTATTTTATCATAAAAAATGATTATAATTACGTAAAATCACTGAGGAATAAAAAAATTAAATTTAAAAAAAATCAATAATAAATATAATAATATCAGCTTACAATGATAACAAAAAATGAAATGAGAAATCTTCTTAAAAGAAATAAAAAATAATGATTAAAGAGACTTCATTTGAATGGATATATCTGAAAACGTTGAGTTACTTATCAAATAAAAAAGAAAAATTTCAAATATACCTGTTCAATTGATCATATTGGAAAATTTTTTTCCTATAAAACTCTGGTATTGATTTTTTAGTCTTAGAATATAAATTCATAGATTGAGATATTGTTTTTATTTATATGTTCTAAGATTGTATTTTTTATGCTAAATTATATAAAAAAAGATTGACGAATGAAGACATGCTGACCGATGATACTAAAGTAATCTACATATCTATTTTGTTATTGACGCAATAGTTTATTGATTAAAGTCTAGAAGGAATCTCTTACTTGAATCAGAAGGATACGATTCTTTTATCTCACATTTCTGCAGGGATTGAGATATTTGAATAATAACCCTAGTTTTTTCGATTTATACTTCTTATTTATTGACCTGAAATTGTAGAAACTAATTTCATGATATTATTCACTTGGTACGTTGGACTTTCGGTGCGATATAAATGGTAATACCGTGATGTCATCTAAACTTTTTAAATGTATCAAAAGGGTAAACAAAACATGTAATACGAAGATAGTATTGATATCGGTTTCTTAGTACCTAACATCAAACTGGTACAAACATTGAATTTGAGAAGAGCTTAGCTATTTGAATCTACATGGACCTTCATTTCATGCTCAAATGACTAGGAAGTGTTAAGGTCTTCTCACATATGTAGTGATCACCAACTGTATATATGAGACTATTTATTGAATAGAAGACCTATGTATGGTCTTGAACTAATGTACTCCATGTAAGCACTAACTTTCCTTTTTTGAGTTTCCAAAACTTTAGGAAAGCAAAAGTATATGTTATTTTGCATGGGAGGTGTATACCGCATTAGTATAAGATGCACATATACGTTTAGAAGGAATATATAGTAAGGATATAAATAATTTTCTTCATACGATTGTACTTAATATCACTTAAAAATGAGAGTTTATGGGAGCAATCACTTTGAAAGATTTTTAAACGATGTCAAATTCTTATTCTTTGTGCAATCGGGAGCGAGCCCATGAGACATGATTGTTTTATTCCTCAGAAGACTTCTGGTATCTTATTATGCTTTTTGTTATCTTATTGGGTCAGTGATCCCTAATTACGGCTTTCGATATCGAGAATAAGATAACCAAAATCGTGATGTCTTCGTTATCTTCACACAGATGGAACTTGGTTCTTTTGGTCCATGTGATCAATCTTTTGGTGGTGTTTTTCGCCATCATAGTTTTTTGGCCCATGTATGCAATTTTTCCCTTTGCAAAAATTTCATCTGAGCAGTATGAATTAAGATGTTAGTTGAGACGGCGGTCCCACTTAAATTTTTTTACTTCTTCAAAAAAATTTCATGCCCTATAGATCCATGATTAGGTTGAGAATTTCATGTACCGTATGTTGAAGAACCTTGCACAGCATTCGGGCCAACCCTGATTACCATGGTCAGCATTGGACGAGGATTTGGAATATGGGAGGTGTTCGTGCATTATTATTATTGTTATGAGAAGCGTCTCCAACCAGCACGCGGAACTCCGCCAAAACCCAGTGTCGATTCTTCTTCAAGATTCCAAGCACCAATGGAACAAGTTATGAGCAGAGGAAGCTATACCATCTCTTAGAATTATTCCCACTTCCTTTAGTAAGCTCATAAATAATATAAAACGAATCATCAGGACAAATATTTATCTTATAAAGGTCAATATTTAAAGAACGAAATAAATCAACAAATCCATAAGCTTTTTTCCTTGGAGGAAGCCAGCCAGGCCCGTCGTGATCAAATAGCAAATCTGGAAATTCCAGATTTGTTCTCTATTTCATGCTTTGCAAAAATATCTTGCATATCTATGCTATGCTATGCTATGCGCTGTTCAGGAAGCAACAGCTTGTATAGGTCACGGCGCGGAGAGAAGGAGGGCGTGCTCGATGCCAAGGTAGCAACGTGGCGTGGCATTTCATGCGCGACCTCGTAAGCGAAGCGAAGCGGAAGTTGGTGTAGGCGACCCAAGGGAGCAGCTGAACATTTCGCAGCAGTATAGCGATTGAGCTCGAGAATCGAGAGTCAGGTGTGAAGCCAAGCGAAGCGGCGGATCGCTCGAGAAATGTCGAGGAGTATTGTGCAGCCCGTGGGGCAAAAGCGGCTGACGAATGTGGCTGTCGTGCGGTTGAAGAAACATGGCCATCGTTTTGAAATCGCCTGCTTCAAAAACAAAGTGCTCTCGTGGCGTTCACGAGTGTACGTTTTCGCAGATTTCCTGTCCAGGCCTTTAGATGGGATCTACAAATTGACAGACGTACAAGAATGTCCCGCTAGCTGCGCTATGTCCAATTTGGACCTGCGTACTCTACATTCTTAGTTCTTCAATTATTATTTTCATTTTATTAGCGACAGTTGGATTAGGATTCCAACTTGTGTCGCATCTACCTTCAGAATTTCAATACTTGGATGGATTCGTAAATTTCAAACTCCATCAATCTTACTTGTCGCTCGTATTTTTGATTTTGTACGGAGCGTTTACCGAAGGCTCTGTCATCTTATCTTCCCATCCGGGAAACGGCTGAAATTAGTCAGTATCATGAACGTTCTCAAGTCTCATCTTCTCTCGTAGGGTTGGACAATAACGTCATAGATTTGAAGACGAAATGTTTGAACTCTCTTCGATCGAATGTTAAAGTGTCCCGTAATCAGGGGAAATTTTTTTTCACAAATTTATTAACCCAGTTTGCACCTATTGATTGCTGTATTTGTTATTTTTGCAGGGAGAAGGATATTGATGAAGTTTTGCAGACACACACAGTTTTTTTGAATGTTTCGAAAGGAGTCCTTGCCAAATCTAAGGAGCTCATTCAAGCCTTTGGTACCGATGATCATGAAAAGATTTGCCTGGAGGTAAATTTGTCACCTTATTACTCCTGCATTACAACCCGTCAACTCTGAAAACTTTGAGAAGTATAAGTTCAACAAAGGATGGAAATTGCGAGAGAAAGTGATTACGAGCTGCAGCTTTGTGTAGTAAAATGAGGTAGTGCATGTGCTCGATTGCTGTGAAAGCTATTAAAGGAATATATTTTTGCTATCGTGTTCTAGACCATAGATAGCACCTGACATTGACTTTTGTGATTACTGTAGTTGTGGTATGTTTCCACTTTTGAGAGGTTGCTAAGTTGACATCCAAATACACTCAGATGATGATTGAGTTTCTGATTCCGATGAAAAGAAATAGTCACGTGCGTGGAATAGTCTTTAGAGTTGCTCAGACGTAGTCTTATATAAGGGTTAGCTCTGCTTTGTGTGAAAAGCAGATCCTGGAGAAGGGCGAGTTGCAAGTTGCAGACAAAGAGAGGGAATCCCAACTCTCAAGCCAGTTTCGAGATATTGCGACGATTGTGATGCACAAAACAGTAAATCCTGAGACAGAACGGCCTTACACAATCAGTATGATTGAACGCTTGATGCGGGATGTTCATGTCGCTGTTGATCCTCACAAGAGCTCCAAGCAACAGGTGTGTTGCTCTCTACTTGGATACGGCATGTTCCCTTGTTTTCAGAGTCGCTTTGTTTCAAATGTTGAATATCGAAGTTCTCCGGAAACTTGTGCAGGCCTTAGAAATCATTAGAGAGCTAACGAAGCAGTTTCCTATCACGAGGGCACGTATGAGATTGAAGCTGGTAGTAGCTGTGAATAAAAAGGCGTCTTTGCTTGAAAGGCTAGAGGCTTGGAGTTCAACTATCGAAAGTGAAGAGGAAGCCAACAAATTGTTCACTGTGGTACGTTTTACCATCATAAGTAGAACCTTTTTCTTCAGCATTTACATCATATCGATATGGATCTGCTCAACAGCTTTTAAAGTGTGATGTAAAGTTGGAATCAGAATCGATATTTCAGCGCTTTGTACTTCCATGGCTTCATAATTGAGGAGTATCTGATTGCACAGTCGTTGTCTTTCAGGTGTGTCAAATAGAACCGGGTCACTTCCGTGAGTGTGATCTAGTGGTTCGAGATTACGATGGGCGGCTTGAGGTTGCCTCTATGGCTGTCCAGAAGGAAGGGGATGGGACAGTTGACGAACTTATTGATGCCGAAGATATCCCTTCGAGCACACCATCTAAAATTGGTGCAGAGGATGCTGGTGAGGCTTCTGTAGTTACGAAGTTCAGCGAATCATTTTCACTTGACGGAGCTGTCTTTGGAGGAGTAGGCACTGCATCTAGAACAAAATCTGTGGATGGAACTGGGATGGATAGTAAAAGCGCGAATAATGTAGCTGTAATCAAACAGCAAAAATGCAATACATGTAACGCCGAAGTAGGCGATGCCAAGCAGTATCGCGAGCACTTCAAAAGCGATTGGCACAAGCACAATTTGAAGAGGAAGACAATGAAGTTGCCACCTCTATCACCAGAAGAATGTCTTGCTGATACTGATATTATCGAAGTAGTAAGTGATCTAAATGAATACTCTCGCTAAGCGTTATTTACCGTTCTTTCTTCTGTAAATTTTTTACTTCGTAGCTGCCCTTCGATGCGGTACAGACACAGAATGCGCCAGACAGTAGACTAGGACAGCAGTTATGTAGCTGGTTTTACTTCATTCCCTACAGATATCGAACGTAGACAATTCGGGACATGTACTTTACTATGAGATTCGTTTTCTTAGTGACACCCTATCCTTGTGATAGCTGGGCAAATTTTGAAGACTTCCAGTGTGTTCCATCTTCCATGATGTAATTTGCCGAGGTTCTGTAGTCATGGTTGCTTAAATAATTAAGAACGATTTTCTTGGGAACTGGACAAAGTCATCTATGTATCTGTTTATTAATGAATGTATTTTTGTGAAGAAAGAACTTCAAATTTTTCATGTTTAGAATTAGATCCCATGTATATCAATTGAAGGAGAGTCGTCTTTCGATGACTACGCGGTTTCCGTCCAATCTTCTCTCTACATCTTGAACCTCTAATCATCAGCTTAGACACATCTTATCAGGTTCATGGTTCCACTCTTATCATTAGGTCATCGGATCCTATACAAAGACATCAAAAATGTAAATCAAACAACCTAACACAGTCCAATATGTTTTACGTCGAAAAGTTCCAAAAGCAACTTCAAACGGAACAATCAAAGCAAGACTCACCGGTGGATCCACTTATCAAGTTCCACTAGAACTTAGTTCTACACAAGGAAAGAACTCGTCGGGGAAGGGTAACAAAGTGTTAGTCAGGTGGGGACAGAAGTAATCTCTTCTGCAATTAGATATTTTCAAGTTGCAAAAGTTCCCATCAAATTTTCAAATCGACGCCTTTTACGTTAAGTAGCTCTGTAGAAAGCACAGCACGATGTACGTTGTAGCCTGTGTTTTGGGGGGTTTTGTCTATCAAGGGCCAATCAAAGTCTATCAAGGGGGGCATTGCAATCCGAGTGCATCGTATCTTGGTGGGTTGAAAGATGATAGATTATGCAATGATAAAACATCTGGACAATATCTGGGTGATTGTGTGATGGCATAATATTCCTCCGCGAGGAAAAACATGTAAGAATAAAAATAGAAAAAGTCCATATTTTACTAGCATGTAAGAACGTTCTGATGAAATTTGTGTCGATAATAAAATGCATTGAAATGTCAATAAACCAAAAGATTCCAAAATTTGGGATAAAATGGAAAGTTTTTAGCTAAACTTTTTGCAAATTGCTAATTGTGTGATTTATACTTGTATAAAATTGCGTCAATTTGATGAAAATATAATAATAATAATAATAATGATATCTCCTTAATTTTAAATTAAAAAAATCTGCATTAAAAAAAATTCAGTAATATTTCATCGTTAGAATATAAAGTTTGATCAAAATATTTAGAAATATACTGGCCTTATGGATCAATATAAAACTTGATTGTAAATTTAATAAAACCCTTATATATAAATGTTACAATTTTATAAAGTCCTTTTAACCATAAACACAGGCTTCATCTTTATCACTTATATCAGATTGTGCAGTGACCTAGGATATTTATTTAAATTTCAAATTGCATAGAAAAAAATCATGTATAATCCATAACAATTTAAAATTTGTGTAGTACCTGAAGATATTGTTCTTTTAAGTCTCTCATCTTTCTATTGACGCTATTGATATTCCTCAAGCAACCTCAACAAAAATATTGAATGTTTGTAGTGCGGCATGATGTAAATGATTGACCACAGGTTTGGCGTCCATATTACTCTCAAGTCTACTCGAGTTACATGTTCGCCTCTGTTGGTATATTTTGGCAATCACCAAAAGGATACCCAATATCATTGCTAGAACACATAGTAGGTTTTACTCCACACAACAGATTTCACGAGCTTCGATGGATGAGAGTTGAGAACAGTGTATTCTTATCCTTAATTGCATTGCTCATATTGATCATATAGTTAGCCTTCATGATTTATGCTCATAATCCCATGTTGCTGATTGCTCATATGCAACTGATGGGGTCAAAAGATAATATCTGCACGCGTTACGAGATTGGACCTCTTTAGAAAGAAAGCTATCGCCTTCAATATACATTATACTATTTCATTGATCCGCACCCACTGGATGAGAACGAGATACTTGCAACACTAAGAACTACTGAAACATTCCCCTATCGCTTTTCACCACTTCCAAAGACGTCAATATCCTTTTGTTGATTGCAGGTCTCAACCCTCCGACTTAGTGCCACTAAGCATTTCTCACTCTTCTAAGTTTATAACAATGAGAAAATATATAAATATTTGCCTGGAAGTATGAATAAAATACAGAAGAATAATAAAAAAGATAAACTACATAAAGAATAATAAATAAGGAAAAGTTCACATCTTTGTGACAGAAAAAAAATCGACGGATCTCTGGGTAAAATATCAGGTGGAACTAATTAAAAACACCACAAACTTTCAGAGATTGAATTACTCGTGATAAGTATATTTGTTCGTTTCCTGCAGAAACTTTAACTGGTGTGTAATCGGCTACAACGTCCCAAGTCCCTATTACATTGCGTGATGCTTTCCACCCTTAATCAGGAAAAGGCATTATTCCACAAGAAAGAAAAATTGGCATGGTTCATGATACTAGTAGATCACTTTCATTGCATATAGATCCCAGAATTGCATTCACAGCATAGATTAGAATGACCACAAAATTATATGTCAACACGCATGAACTGTTGTACTTTCAACCTTCGCATTCATATTTTTATGATAATTTCTGCCGTAGTTCTTCAAACATCTAAAGCACTCTCCACTGCTTTCCATTCCGAGCTGACAGGAGCACAGAGCAAGACACCAAGATGAGCTTTCCACATGGCTTGGTGACTCTATTCTACACGTCCAAATGTGAGGAACGCTTTCACGGATGAGTAAACAACCCATCACACACGATTCAATCACTTTTAAATCGCACATGACGGGCGTTCACGATGGAGATACATCTCCGGAAAGAGTTAATCTGAACTTTTGAACTTGCTCACACGGAGAATTCGAATCTATTTGTGAGGTCACTAACAAAAAAGGTGATTCACGTTTCCTTTCTCATAAATTGTAAGATGAATTTGAAGATCCATCGTCGTGAGTATGGCAAGGCAAGGCAATCGAATGAGCGGACTTCCAGCCCCATATCTAATATCAGACAGAGAGCCGTTTTCCCAGCTAGGCTTCGGGATTTCGAGAGAACCTCGTTAGTGCTCTTTCGTCGTCACTTCTCGATGAGCAGTTAGCTCATCGAGAAGTGACGACGGTGGATCTCCTCCTGCTCTTCGGCCTCCCACGACAGCGGGTTCTAGGGCTAAGAAGGCCTAGCCGCCACTTCTGAATCGACAAACGCTCGATGACAAGACTTATCGTAAAGAAACCGGTAGGAAAAACACTCTCTAATTCAGTCACTGATCTATCACCTTCTCGCTTTGGCAAACTTCGGCTTGTTGGCCTTTCTCTCAGCCTTTTCTCTTTTTTTCCTCGTTACCTCGTTCTCCGGCTCCTCCTGCACAAAGCAAACGAGCCCACGGGCGTGAGGTAGATCAAAATCTGTGTCCCACAATCTATCTCGACACTGTACATACAATTAAGAATGAGGTGGAGAACTTGTTTGCACACGATCCGTCATCACCACTTGATCTACACAAAAATTTCCTAACCGAGAAAGTCGTGTCCCATATCTTTAATTCGCTAGCTGTTTCACACTAAAACACTCAACAATCGTGATGGAGATGGTCTTGAGAACTTAAAATCTCGTACATCGAAGTGAATATCAAGTCTGCATGGTCTTCCAGAGTCTTGCAAGTATATGTAGGATGCATCTCCGCTACTCGCACTTCCGCTACAAATTAAATCATAACCGGGCTCATGTGCACTAAACCTGTCAATGTTCTAATCTCCTTTTCATCTTAAAAAAAATAAACTCCTCCGCGTTCAAAAATACTGTTTACTGGTGAGCCTTAAGGTCCGCCATATACTCTAAGCTACTTTGTGATATCTTGATTGAGATTCCATACGGTGATTTTCTTTCGTGACTAACCCCGAACCTTTAGTTAGAGACCCTAGCCCTACCAAAAACGAAGCAGCCTTTCACAGAGCAAACAAAGAGAGGTTTCACAAACCTTTGCAAGTACAGTTCAAAAGCACAATCACGTGGAGCAGCGCGGACCAGCATGCTCCCAGAAAGTCAAGCCACGAGAAAATTTCAGATATCAGAGTAGAAACAAACCTTCTGACTCAGGAAGAAGTACGGGTACAAAATCAACGTCCATAGTTTGTAGAAGGCAAAAGCAGGAATCTGCAAAACATCCAAGGAAGATGTCAGGGGCACTTCTACTCGAAATGTGTGTCATGTCCACTGTCTTATCTGCAGGATCATTCCTGCAGATAATCCCATTTGTCACATCAGCATTCTCAAAGCAGCTCCACTTCCTGCTTCGCAAGCACCTCCTTTGTAAACATGTACTTGATGTACACTGGCGAGAAAGCAACTACAAGAACTACATTTGATTGTCTTGCTCTTAAATATAACCTGGAAGTGCTTTGGACGGCATAGAAATCGAGGCTTATGTCATGAACAACCGTACATACCACAAAAAACGCATACCAGAACTTGTCTGAAAATATAGAGCCAAATTGTACGAATGCTGTGACGTACAGAACATCATGAAGATACCTGCGAGGAGAATCAAACAATTAATTTAAAAACTCACGCGTGATGAAAACAGACACCTAACATTTGCACATAGTGATAATGTTCATTCGCCTGCCGATCCCAGCCTACAGATGCAACAGAGTAGTTGAACCCAATCCAAAGGGAAGAAAATGAGGCTCGAAATTGTTCAAAGGGATGAAAACATTGAAGCACACAGTTGAAAGTCAGGTCGATTGAACCAAGCAGTCAATTACGACGTAGAGGTGCTTGTACGTAGTTAATATCCTCCGCACATGTTCTACCACGAATTGGGGAGGGAAATTGAATTATCGTCAGACTGATTGCATCCTCAGCGTAGCGCAGTGGTTACGGAGGTCTCACAAGCCGTAAGCAATAACTTCAGTCTCGTGTTCACCCAAACTTCCCCAACACTGAGAACAAAACGACCCTGCGTACGTGACCTGAAGGTTGTTGGAAACTTACGAGCAAAGACCAGGGCTCTTCAAATCGAATCCACCGTCCGTGAGCTCCCCCTTGTCGTCATAGGTGGGCAGAGATAAATCCTTGATCCAGTTGTAGGTAACATGATACACTCCGGACGTCGCAATCATCCCAATGTAGTGCTTCCATGTAACCGATGAATTGAAAATTACTATTCTTCCCAAAATGTATATTGCCTGCAATTTCAGTCCAAATAAGTGTCAATTCCACGGGTACGACGAAGAAATCCTCTTCAGAGTCGAGGGAATTCCTGCCGATCAAAACAACACTGGGCTGACGTTGCCAGCTCACAGTTGATGGAGAAAAACAGTGAAGAAGGCGTCGAGAGTGATTCAAGGAACACGCAGATGATAAGATTTGAGCGTTCTCCAAGTTTCAGTCACGGAAAAGCAGCTCGACGAGTCCAGTCCAAGAGCGAGACATCACTTACGTTAGAACATAGCACAACCAGTGCTAAATTTTTCATGTGTTTCAGATTCTCCTCGCGGCGCTTCTTGGCTCCCTGATTGGCCATGTTGTTGAGCTCCCTCGAATCGACTCGACTCTGCGTTGGGCCTTGATCCCGGAGCTTCAGTTTCTCGCCCAGCACAGCAGAGCAGACCTGAGATGAAACAACTTACTATCTCTCTCTCTCTCTCCCTCCCTCTCTCCGTCTCTATCTTTCACTCTCGGGAGTGCACCCTAATCAGGTCCTGGACGGGGCCACTTGTCGTGCGGCATTCACTGCTCGACCTTTCAATCGCAGCTGGGCTTACATTCCACGACTGCCATATGCCGTCGGTCCTCCGCGTCGTGGTCCTCGTTGACTCTTCCCTCGATCCCTCTCTGCCTCCCTGCCTCGAGAATATGCAAGCATTCCTGTCCCGCAATTTGCTCTCGGCTCTCGCGCAGGAGCTTCCGAATCTCTCTCTTTCTCTCTCTCTCTCTCTCTCTCTCTCTCTCTCTCTGAGCCTAAGGCTTCAGTCGGCGACCCATCCATCCGGTCAAGACGGTCTCAGGGCGGATGAGCGTATTCGAGACTCCGCAGACTCCCTATTTGACCACGAGAGTTGCGTGCAGGCAAGCGAGTGTGCAGTCGGTCAGGGCGTCGTGGCTGGTTGACAGGATTTAAAGCTTATTTAAACATCAGAGTGCAATCAGAACTAGAAGCTGGTCTATCTACGAGACCGACCAATAATGCTTCAAAGTTGACTTTCCACAGAGGACAGGCGGCACTTTGCTGCCGTCTCCTGTTCCTTGCATTCAGGAGCAGCTCGATGCCGTTTGCCTTTTCTGCAACTTCTGGTCGAATCCTCTCCCTAATGTCGGACAGAATTTGGCATTACACGGTTTCTCGAGACCGCCCGACGCTTTGGTTGTCTGTACACGGTGAACACCGTTCGAGGTTCATGGGAATTTCTCCCCTTCAGATTTGAAGTCTGAGCCGTACTCATTTAGATAGTAAGCATCGTGTATGTGTACTTTAGTTCGTTGGAGCTCAGTCTCGTGTCACAAGGGCTAGTCTCATTTACAGTTGCCATGCAACCTTAAAAGTCAATTATTGCTTGACTTTAGTTCCAGTTTTAAGGCATACATTCCGACAGGAGGAACTCAATAACGAACATTACGGTCATTAGAATGTACCAACAAGAATGTCGCGCATGACTGGCAAAATAGAACAACGCCAAACCAATGGTAATGCCCCGGGGCCGCTTCATTTAACGTTCGAAGCAAACGAGACCTTAAGCCAAAGAGTACTCTGTGATATGAGTCTGGTCGTGCAATCTGACTTTTTACAACGTATATTGATATATCAGATGCACCACGCGCAGCCTGACTTATTTAACCAATGAACTACACATTGGCTCTCGAAAGGCTTCAAAAAGCTGGTGAAGGCTTTGGAGTGGATTGAGCAGTTGGACGCTCTGTACTTTCAAAGGCTTTCGTGTGTGCTCCGTTCCACTATTGTGAGTTATCTCCCTTGGGTGTTTCAAGTAACCATGAAGAAGGTTATCCTTCGTGCATCGATCCCGGTATGCGTGATGGCTCGTTCAACTCTGTTGTCTTAGGTGTGTGCTGTAGGTGCGACGCTCGTCAGGAGCCAGTAGGATGTGCTTCGTTTGCCACCCATTCATCTCCATTGCAGCCAAAAGAGCGTCTACATCAGCCAAAGCTTGTTGCCTACTTCTCTCGACCAGAATCAGCCAGCCTTCTTGAGAAATTCGAGGAATTCGTCGCCGGTCCGTTGCGTCATGAATTTCCAAATGTGGGTCAGAACGTTTCGTCGCCTCCTTGTCTTCAGGTTCCAACTTCGGGGACCTAGAACTACCTGTCAAGTCCCTCAAGTGTGCCACCTGATACATGAACAATATCCCACCAACAGAGACTGAGTTCTAGGGTGTAAAGGTTAATGTCAGAGAATGGTTTGTATTTCTTGTTGCACGTTGGGTAAGACGTTGAATCTCGTTGTATACAATACGGTCAACTGCATTGAAAGTAGGCTAGTACGTTAAACGCAATGACATACCTGTAGTGCACCCGTGATGACATCCCTTGGGGTAAACTCATCCTTCAACCATAATAGTAATCCTGTCTGAGAGGAGAAAAAGTATGAGATTGAGTTCCCGTTTGCCCGTAAAAACTAAATCATCAAACCAAGCAGGTCTTTTCCGGCTCTTGGAGTATGCGAATAAAGGGAGAAGTCCCGGGACTATGAGACAAATAAGGGGAAAGAAGACGACAGGACTTAGAGAATTAAACGTTCATTCATTTACAACACAGGCTTGTGCGAGACTACAGCAATAGAATCAGGTCAAACATCTACCTGATGGAACAAGGGTATAGAACTCTGCGACTCTCGAAATAGAGCATACGGTTGCTGGGATTGAGACTGGAACACATGCAGCAGATCATCTGGATTCCAGCCTGCAGGTTTCAATGCTCCAATCCTCAAAGGCAAGGTAGTCTGAGCTGCAAAGAACACGGTGCACCTTTTGAGCACTCTTAAATACAAGCTCGTCTTTTCATGATGGATGAATATCAAGCACGTTCAATACAAATTTGGTGGAATCGTTACCAGGAAACTGGAAAAACTGTGAGCCTTCTATAATGCTCACTTCTTCAGTTGACGGTACGTCGTTTTTCCTTAGCCATTTCTCAACGATGATTTCAAGCCGTACCTGCATTCCAAAAAAAGATAAGGCCTCAAAACTTCATCACAACGTTTCACAACGTCATATCGGCCCTGATACTGAAAGACTTGACAAAGATAATCAGCAAACGGCTCAAAGACTCGTTCAGCGCGTAAATGAGAAGCTAGAAAACTTCCACTGAATGAAAGGTTTCTCTATCTCATAAACTAATCCCAACATTCTGAACTGCAAACTCCCACATTCCCGACTCAGTAACCGTTTCTGGACAACATAATCAAGACCAAATCCGAAACTAAGACAAGTGTACCTTGTTCAATGTTTGTAGGTGGACTGCTTGAAGCTCGTGATAGATAGCGTATAAATCAAGGCCAGTTAAAATGGGAAACAAAACGAGTAGCAGATACTCCAACCTGTACAAAAATACACAAAAATTGAGAAAATATATCTACCAGGAGCGTATATACACCTATGCTAGTAAATTTGAATCCACAGAAGGACGACTTGCAGCTCACAAAATTCAGACAAGCCACAAAGAAAAACAGAATATGCTTCACCTTCTATTGGTTCTTATAACGGTACTCAACGCGCAAGATACTGCCAGACCAAGATTATCAGCAACCACTGTTTGCACCTGCCTTCAGCAATCATGTAAACAGAAACATACGTAACGTAGGAGTTCTAAGTCGCTTAGCTGGGTAAGACGTCTTAAGGTGAGATACTGAGGAAAAGATTCTTCTAAATATAAATTGAGCTGCACTCTTTGTATGAAAAAGACATGGAAACAGAACTTCGCACCTGTCCTTTTGCAGCAACATCTGCAAGGTTGTCTCCAATGGCAAAGCTTTTGTGTATAGCTGACTGAAATCGTGCATATTTTTAGAAGTGAGAGTCCAAGGAGACGAGTCACATTTATGGCTCAGATAAAAGGACTACATCTAGAGCATATGAACGTTGTTCGGTTCTATTGTCAAACATACGCAATGACAATTTTGAGCAAACATCCATTGACATGTAAACTTTCAGTATTATTTTGCCAACTGTACACAAGACGAGAATGACAAAGAGTGGGGGTTGACGTAATTACACTAGTGGCCAGATAAGCAGCCAAAGCAATTGATCTGCCAATATTTGCCACCGTTGCAAGAATCAAAAAGTAGGAGGGGAAGTACGGTGTCAACATCTCCAGGCCCAGGCTCAAGCTGAAGAGAATAGATGTTGAAAACCTCACTCTCTGAAACTCCAATTGACACGTTAGAATCATCATCTTCGCAAAAACAGCAATTGCAGCTCTTAATCCCTGTCCGGCTCTCTATGAAATCCAAGGTGCAAAGTCAAGCCGTTCGGGCGTCATTCAACCTACTCTTGTGTAAAATAATACACGAAAGATTTAATATCATTGGATTAAAGCTGAGGACCTTCAAATTGGAATCAAAAGTGGAGCCAAGAGAACCGGAGTACGCAAGACGTCCCAGTCGACCAAGCCCATCCTTCAACACCCAGTTCAACCCCGCTGCTGCTGGTAGAGCCCTTCTTGCTCCTATTCCGATCGCCTGCAGCATTGCCTGCCTCATTTTCCAGTTTCTCACGTGTAAGAACAACACGACAGGCTCAGCCGGAGTCTGATGAACAATCTATAGACTGCCCTTCAAAAAGTGTACATTCAACAAAACGGGAGAAACTAGCCGCAGGAAAAGGTAGCAAAAGCTGAGACGAGAATGTTCACCTGCGTACACTGCACTTGAAGTACCGAGCTAAGAACTCGGTGCATGAATTTCCACCTCATGTAAGACAGGTAATGTGGGCGGACGTGCTCTGGAACGAAAGTCTTGCGCAAGCTCCTCCTCATTCTTCCCACACCAGACCAGTAAAACTGATGTTCCCTACTCGATCCTCCATCGTCCACTTTTTGATCTGCAGGTTCCATGAGCAGGGATTGTCCATCCCAAGCAAATTGCAATTGCTGTCCATCCTTGTAGAAAAATATTGGGAGCTTTTGAACTTCTGACCTCCTAAATTTCCAGCTCAGTATCTGACAAACATGCTGAGCTAAACCTCGCCCACTGTTTGCAAAATCGAAAGAAGGAACTTTCCCAAAATTTCCACAATCTGCTGCTATAACGTCCTGTCGCCTTCTTTTTCCATAAGAAACACCACACTTGGACCGATGTAGGCAATCCAGACACCTGCCTCCACCCCATGGATTGCTCCCTCCTGCACGCACAATTCTCAACTCATGGTGGCGAGCAGAAACGGCTGGAAAGCCCAGCATAGGCTTTGATCGAGATAATTGGCCAGTCTGTGGGCCTTCGGCACAAAGGAACAGTTCTGCGAAGATGGAGCAACTCCCTCGACACAAACCCCGAATTCACCGATTTGCAAAATTTCAACAAGCAAAAACGTCGAGCTATTGCTCGCTTTAAAAGTCTTGAACAGGAGTGTCCTGTCAAAGAAGTCTTAATTCCAAGAGCTAACAGCACCAGTAAGACGAGAGACGACGTAAACAGGAGCGTTACTTTAAACCCTCGTCTTCCCAGCGTCTAAAGCCCTGCTTCTTCGAGCCCAGCGGAATCTGCCACATATCAGAGATATGTAGATCAATTTCAGAAAGTAATGGCAGGGGCGCCTAGTGCTCCACCGATAGCGACGACGAAAACATATGGTGGTAGAGTTCCCGAAGAAAACACTGGGACCGACGGCCCTTCAAGAATCGACTGTCGTCAATTTAGATTCTACCATCCTCGTGTGCTTTCACCACGGACGGAATATCGCAGATTCCAGTGACGCAGTGACTCTCGGCAGCGGACGAGTTTCCGACTTCAGGCGAAGGAAGGAAAAGACGTCGCTGGGTTCGTCAGCACGATGAGAAAGTCCATCAGCCCTAAAGTTGCCGCAAGTGTGAGACAGTGCGTGCGGTAGTTAGACTTTCTCGGTGACGGGATCAGGACTCTGTAGCAGCAAGGTTTACCGAAACCGTTGGAATCGGGTGACGACGATCACACTGGAGGGTTGTTTCGCTCTGGGGCCCACTCTCCACTGCGAGGAAACACTCAGGCAACCGAGTGATTCATTCATGCGAGACTTTGTGGCTGACTCACATGTGGCCGCGGGCGGAGCGACTCTTCGATATTCACGTACTCATTACATCACCTCCCCCCCCCACCCCACTGACGGCAGCCATGCCCCTCCGGGATTTATATAAACTCGCCACCCCCGGCCCCCGCTATGTCCGCCCTCTCACTACGCCCGTAGAGAGGATGCAGGTGATGCAGACGAAGATATCTGCGCCGTCTCCACCCCGAGCTTTGGGTGTCCGTCCATGTGAGCCCGATATATGATTCTCTCACGTCGCATGCGACCCTAAGCTTTGCCCGTCTCCGGGGGAACTTTCCTATTTCTGACGTTCCTTCGCTGTTTGATAATTCAGAGTTTCACCGGTTCGTGATTTTGGGTATTCGTTGCGTTATGGGGAAGAGTGTTCATGATGCGCGCTGCGGACGTTCTCACACGGTTCTCACCTTCCTCTCTTGCCGTATACAGAAATTCCATGGTTTCGCCGACTTGTGATTCGAGTTCTGGCTCTGACCATCGTACTGACGATAGTAAAACGCAGTTCTGGAATTCCCCGCCACTGCGTTTCTTCTACTCGCCCCTCGAGGCCGAGCCTTAGTGCCAAGCTGAGGATCAAAGAATTCTGCGGGAATGCTCCACGGGTATGGTCCACCGATCGACAATCACAATGAGTCGGGTGTGAGAGAAGTCGGGCGAATTCACAATTGTACAGCTGTCGCACTTCCATCATCTCGGACGCAAACCATCGTGGGGGAGGGTAAGGTCTTACGTACAGTGTGCACTCCGGTCAAGAATCGGTTGAGAACTTTTCGTTTCAGGTGAAGGGCGACAAGTGATCTCGGTGCAAGTGGTAGATCTTCTCGTGAGAGGTCCGGCCGTGAGGAAGTCAAGCCTGAGATACAGTAAGTAGTTCGTCAATCGTGCACACTGGGCTGGGCCGCCCCACCTATATCAGAGTGGGCTTCCCCTGAGCTGATCTCGACGACGATTGACTCTGCACCGTGTCCGACAAAGCAGATGTCCCAGAGCATATGTGCACGTGCATAGGAGGGATCCACATTCATTGATTCGAGATGAGTTCAGCAATCCGTGACTCGTGATTGGTGCAACTTGGACTTCCCTCATACTACTTCCTCATCATCACGTCCTTCAAAAGCGGACAAACAAAATAAGAGGGCCTTGAATGACGACTCTGATCCAAGTAGTGTACACAGAGACTCCATTGATGCGCCTTGAATGAGTCCAGAGACATCTCTCTTTGAACATGAATATTTGCGAGACAGGGGCTACGCTACATTTAAATTGATTGATACAGGGTAAATATTCTTTTCACTAACATTTAACTGGAGAGACCTAAACCGGATTTCACTAGTATAAAACTTTCTCCTTCTTGACTAGAATCGGAGGGTCGATGTCTATCCCCATGTTGGCGGCCGTTCCTGCTATGATCCTCATGGCAGACTCGATTGATGTACAGTTCAGGTCTTGTAACTTCTCTTCCGCAATAATCCTTACTTGGTCCTTGGTCACTTTTCCTACTTTCTCCTTTTGAGGACTATTTGATCCCTTCGCTACACCTGTAAGTCCAAAGAAGAATTAGTCCCGCTCGAACTGTAATCCATCAAGGCGTCAGGTTTCTTTGACAACGTCGCTTCTATAAAAGAAAAATAAGACTGTACATTAGCATGTGAACAAACCTACCGGCAGCTTTCAGCAGAAGAACGGACGCCGGAGGAGTTTTCAGAATGAAAGTGAAACTCTTGTCCTGGAAAATAACGATGTAAACGTCATCAAACAATGACTGGATAAAAGCTTAAACCTATCCACAAAACCCTCTGAAACAGAAACACATGAAGTCGATCGACAAATCAAGCAAGCCAGCTAAGTTTCCAAGCATAGTCACAAGATTTCCAAACAATCCCCGCCGCATGGTTTCAGTTCCGAAAGTCTAATTCGAGTTATTCAAATAATGGAATTGAACCAGCAAATGACAAACCGGTCGTTCACTTACGTCAAAAACTGTGATTTCGACGGGGATGATGTACCCGGGTTTATCAGCTGTCTTGGCATTGTACTCCTTGCAAAAAGCCATGATGTTCACTCCCTTGGAACCCAAAGCTGGACCGACTGGGGGCGCTGGAGTGGCCTTACCCGCTTCCAAGGCAAGCTTCACAATTCCGACGACTGCAAATGACAGCACCAAGAGCAATCCCCACTGATAAGGGTCGATGGCACTCCCCATTTGCTTCAAATTAAATTCCAATTACTCTCTCGGCCCACCCGCGCATTCAAGCATTTGCTGCAAACAAGATGAAATGGCTGACCTCCATGGAAGTGCAATCTACTTGGTTAATCCCTAAAACAATCCTATTCCCCTAACGCACACCAAATTGACAATGCGAGAAGGGGGAACATACCTTTCTTGGCCTTCCCGGCGGGCTTGGGAGGAGCCATAGCCAGCACTTGGAATGGCTGCCTCGCGGCAACGGCATTCGCGGAAGCCGTGCCGGCCATTCTCAGCGACGCGCAGTCGCCCCTCAGACTCACGCATGACGAGAAGCTCACAGCGCCTTGCTTGGACGTCGAGCATGGTCCCAACCCTGTCGGTGATGTTCTCAATCCAGCGGCCCCGGCCACCACACTCGAAGCGCACGCCGCTGCCATGGCTACAGCTTTGCTGCTGCTGCTGCTCGGCACTAATCCGCGAGAAGCTGCTCTTCGTGCTCGCTGCGCCTCTCGTCTCCTCTTCCTTGCTTCCTTCCTTCCTTCGTCGCGTGCTTCCCCTCCCTCCGCTCCACTGTCAGCTGATTGATACTAGTCTATCGTCCCGGGCAGAGGATAGAATTAGCAGGGCCACAGCTAAAGGGATGCCACGGGAGCCCGCCTTTATCTTATCGCATTTAGCAGGAACTGCTGGAGGAAGAATCTCGTTCGGTTTTGTACGAGGTCCGGTCGCCGGAGGAGCGGGGAGCCTGGGACACTGCATTCACGGGAGATTCTGGGTCGCGACCGTTATTTACGCGGCTGCAGAGCACCGTGACGGTACGGTGAACAGGTGACCGCGAGCGACGGGGACTCGTCGGAGAGCGACGAGAGTTCCGAGCCAAGCCTCAGCCGACAGAGAACGAGAGATCGCCATTGGTCCATCTCGACGACAAGCTCCATCGCCTGCCACATCGGCTCTGTCGCCCCCGACAGTGGCGCGTGTGAGATGATTAGTGGTCACGAGCTCTGCGACTTGTACTCCGTGACTTCTGTGATCTTCAATTCTTCAGGAAAATCTTCGCTTGATCGTACAGGTTAGAGTTTGTTTAAGGTTTTTGTAACCATTGCCCACTCCAAATTCGAAGATTCCTTCGAAATCACATGGGCCTTTGATTTGCTGTGCAAGGGCGACGTTTGCCCCATTTCGAAGCCTCATCATTGAGCCCTCTGAATTTGAACGGATTTTCTATCGGTGAGATAATGATGGTTACGAAATGTATGCAAAAGGGAAAAATGTACAGAAGACGAGTTTGGATATTTATAGTTCCTTCATACTTCTGGGTATGAAGGTAAAATCATGGATATATCAAAGTTTCATGACACTCTCAGTTCTCAAAGGTTACTGACTTCCCCATGCTTCTGTTTTCCATGTATTATACCATTCAATACTGTGGGAACTAAACAAGTGAAACAGGAACAATGGCGATAACTTATGGAAAGAAGTATAACTTACACAACCTCAGGCAGCTTGTTCTATCCGTATAAACAAATTGATGCATATGTATATCGAATATTGTAACTATGTAACCATTGATAACTATGTACCTTGATCATAAGATTTTAACAACTTTGTTCCACTTTCTCTTAAGAAATATCACATGTCACAATCAGCTAGTCTTCAAACTATGTGTCGGATGGACCCATCACAATAGAGTGAATGCTATAATTTAAAATCCGACTAAAATATAGAGAGACTTGTTACTATGGACTAATCAACATCTATTACACATGTATGTGAAAAGAAACAAGACGTCGTAAACAAGCACCTCGTTTCCCTTATTTGAAATAAATATTGACTCCCTTGGTTGCTAGATTTCAATTAACATCAATTGATTCAATTTGCAAGTTGCAAGACAGTGAAAAATATATGTTAATTTTCTTCGCACATAGCTTTTCCACTAACATATCCAAAACGTTCTACTTCGAACTTAATTTTATCACCATTCATGTCGAAATACAGAGGGTAGGTATAAGTCATATAATTTAGCAATATACTCCATGTAATATGGCTAACATCTGACAGACTGGTGATAAATATGAAAATAGCCCATCATTATAATAGAACGTGACGAAAGAAATTTCAAGAAGTTTATGTTCATGCATAACAAAGGTTTTCTATAATCTTCAATTGGTAAGAATTAAATATTTTTTATTTTTTATTTTTGAAAATAATTTTTTTTTCCAGTGGATCAGACTTATATCCATTTAAAAAAGCAATCGATTTGAATAATTATGAGCTATAAACCATATGGTTTGAAAAGTACAGACTAAACCCTTCTTATGGGATATTAGCTTCTAAATAAGAATGATATTTACATAAATTGATACTATATGATGATGAGTTTGACATATATAACATTAAAGTAATAAAAGAAACTCATTGGAGTCTTACATAAAAACCGAGATATATATTTGGAAATAGTTGATGATGAACCTTTGAAGGAATGATCTTCGTTAGCTGAGGTGACCATACGATTTTGTAGAGTAACATGGAAAGGAAAATGAAGTTTACAAGGCTTTGTGGGTGGATTGTCATGTGCGTCTTTGGTTAAAACTTTATAATGTGATGTTTCTTTAGCTTGCATTTTAACATAAAACAACGTGTACAATGTGGCAAGGATCGGAAAAGATATACGAACAAGTAGCATGAAATAGATCAAAGTGAAAATTTCCCAAAAGCTTTGAGTGGAGAACCTCGAAACTTGTGAGATTAGAGATTTATAAGAAGCTTTGTCGTATAAAACTAAGTGGGTTAGAATGATATCAAGTATATAGTTAGATGACAAGATGTGCTTTTGTTTATACACATATGTATGACGTGTAACATTCGAGATGACCGACTTCTATTCGAGTTAGTTACACAAGTTTAGGGCTCAAGTCAAAGTTCATTGGAATAGCACCGCCCAATGAACGGGATTCAGACAAAAGAAGTTTGGAGGTATAGGAAAGAGCAATTTGAGCATGACTGTGTGTAATTCTGTGGCATGAAGTGGAGAAAAAATAGAGAAGAGGAAGAAGAAAGAGAAAAAAAAAATTTAGACCCTCGTAAAAATTATAATTCAATCCAAGCTCTGTTCAAATAATTCATTTTCCTCTATTTGATGGAATTCCGTGCAAAATACGTTCAGACACAGCATAATCTCTCTAGATGCAAACCGATTCAAAACTATCGACTTGAACCGGTGAAATGTTACGTTCCCTGTGCTGAAAGGCGTGGTAACATATAAACATGTTCCCGAGGGATGTAAAAACTAACTCAATCATGTTGCAGGTACTGCAAAATAGAAGTAAAAAACCCGAGCAATGATATACGTAATGAACTTGGACATGTTTACGGCCCTTGACCCATTTAATGCTTGTAGATGATTATGTTACTTCGAGCTTAGAGCGTTTACGACTTCATATAGTGAATCCAGGACAAAGAATGATAACTTTCTTTTTCCTTCAAAGAAATTGGCAAACTTGCCTTCTTGATTTTCGCGCTTTTCCAGATAGTGACACCAAGATGAAGCCGGAGGCACAATATGGGTGGATCTGTATAGATATCAATCTATACGTACACACCCTTCTGCCCTGTCACGACATGGGCGCTTCAACTGGTGGGTAGGTCGACGAGCAGAGGATTCAGAGATGTCAATCGGAAGCAAGTGGATCAGCCATGGATCGAGACAGAGAGTTCGACCAGCGGAGGATCGTTCTTGAATGGCTTAGCGCGAAAGAGCGAGAGATGCAAGAAACATGCAATTATCAAAAGTATCTGAAAGGACAAGGAATGGGATTAGAGAGGCTGGGGCACGTACAAGAATGCTACTGTATGCGAAGAAGAGCATGCAGAAAATGGAAGTGGGGTTGTGTGCAAGCAAAGGTCGCCAATTGACAACGTTGCTTGCCAGGTGGGCGAAGAAAGCGCCGGTCCAATCCGGGGAGGCCGGTCTTGTTTCTTGTTGCATGGACATATGCCACTGTGGGCTGCCCTATGGGCGGGATTAGAACGATTAATAGATTACTAAAAAGCTGGAACCAAGAGTCAACAGCTGAGATTGAATTAGATTCGGGGGAGCCCGGTCAATGGCCGGAGGCGAGCGGGCGACCGGTCAGATGCCGAGGAGTGGGGGCTGTTCGAGGCGGCGTCCAGGGGTAGGTGGCGGAGGCCGTCGCACGGACCGGTCGTTCGAACTCGGAGTCGTCCGCGACGTTGGCTCATAGTGCGTCTGAGGCGCGACCGAGGCGCTTTTTGGTTGGGGATCAAACAGAGCTGCTGGCGCTGGCGCTGCCCGCTCTGCGGCTGCTCTCGTCGGACAGACGGACAAAATGCGAGCAGTGAAGAGCAGCTCCGTGCGACAGCACGCTGGCCTTTCTCTCAATTGCGCAGAACAGCGCGTCTCTGCTGCCGCTGCTTCTCTGCCGGGCGCGATTGAATGAGGGAAGGGAGGACGGAGGACCGAATGATTCAATGAGGGATTGAATGAGGTGAGCGACACGCTGCTCGCAGCTCGCGGCGACGAGAGTCCGAAGGAACGTCGTCGAGGTCCGGTCGAGCGAGCGCCTGAAGGAAAAATGGGAGCGAGCTTGCCGGCAGCAGAGAGGATCTCTTGACGCCTTCGAACGATAGCGGGCAGACGCTGTTTGTCAGTGTTGTCAGAGGCGAGCGAGCGATTGGGAAGAGTCGACGAGACAGTGAGTAAATTGAGGGGACGCAGAGAATTCCAAGTCCGGTCCCATATAGACGAGCGAGGCGGCGTTGTAGATCTTTCGGAGGCCTGGTGAAGGTGGCGGCGGTACGGAAGCGGGAGGCGTGGAGGTGATGACGTAATGAATTAGTGGAAAGGAGAGAATTAATGGGTCAAAGATTGGGGAGAGAGTCGGGCTGCGGCCACGACAGAATTGGCAGCTCTCGGGGCCAAGAAATTTCGGAGATGAATCGCGGAGTGTCAGAGACGAAGTATGGACTAATGACATTCTGTATCGATGGAAGGTGGTGAAGTAACAGTGACCAAGTTGAAGATTGACAGCAAGTCTGTAGGAATTGAAAGTCGCAAATGGAAGGGGACGCTGCGAAGGGGCAAGCCAGACCCAGCAATGGACTTGTTGGAGTGGTGGGCGTCACTAATCGTCTCATCAACAATCGGGTCGAACTCCGGGATGAAAGCCAGAGAATATCGGGAAAAGGAGTTGACTGGGATAATTGCCGACGCAGTGCTTTGGCCAAAGCCGAAGACCTCCGACTGGAGCGGGAGTGGAACAACAGAGACCGCGTTCGCGATGCCTCCAGGGATCGAGAGAGGCTGAGGGAGGAAATGGACAGAAGGAATGCAGCTAAAATGAAAGAAGACGACGCCAACAGAGCTCGGCTGAGTTCAGTGGCTGGACTGTACGATCGAGATGATCGGAGAAAGAGGTTCAGAGACGAAGATGATCATGACGACAGTGGACGGCTCAGAGATCAAGCCATGGACAGAGGTCGAGCTGATCGGAGGCTAGAACCTGCCGAAGCATTCAGAGACAGGGCTCGAGATGAAATAAAAGTCGAGTCCGCCTTCATTGTCAGAGACAGAGTTAAGGATGACCCTGTGGATAGGACGAGGATTGACCGAAAGCCCGAGCTCCCAGAATCGTTCAGGGACAAGAGAGCCCTCCCACCTTTGGACTCTATGCGAGAGAGGGGGGATGAAAGGTTAACTGAGCTGAGAGACGACAGGAGAGTCGAGTCTTTGGATGGCATCCGGGGTCGAAGTGGAGAGAGGAGCACAGATTTGCAGGACCGATTTAAAGACGACCGGAAACCGGATCTTTTGGAGGCGCCCAGGGACAGAGGGAGAGATGATCGGATGTTAGGCTCTCCGAGAGACCGGATATGGGTGGAATCCCGCGAAAGGATGAGGGACGACAGAAGACCCGAACCCATCGACATGTTTCGAGACAGATCGAGGGACGATCATAGGGGACGAGACGATAGAAGAATTGAAGCCTTGGGTCGTGGGCGTGACGATCGTGGCAGAGTTGAGAGGCGAGAGCGGGACAGGGATCGAAGAATGGTCCCATACGAAAGAGATGGTGGCGGAAGAATTGTGTACAGGTCCAGGCTACGGGAGGCGGACAGAGAGCGCGAACGAGCGAGATTGCGAGAGAGAGCTGAGGAAAATAATGCCCAAAGAAATGGAAAGGTGCCTCCGCCGCAGAAAGAGAGAGCAGGTGAGGAACGTGCTCGTAAGTACCAGCTGGAAGTTCTTGAGCAAGCTAAGGTGAAAAATACAATTGCCTTTCTGGAGACCGGGGCAGGCAAGACCCTCATTGCTGTGCTTTTGATGCAAAGTAAGTACGAGCTGATGCGCAAAGAGCGGAAAAAAATGTTGGCAGTTTTCCTGGTCCCCAAAGTTCCTCTTGTTTATCAGGTATGTTCATTCCTACTTTGTCTTTACTGTTCTCTGTCTTGGCTTGAAAATCCAACCCATCATTATTGTTCGTAGTATTGGCGGAATAATTGAAGGGTCAGGTGCCCATAGTCGAAGAGTGTTATCTACATTTGATATCTCGCACATCTAGCAACCTTTACCTGTACATAAGTGACCTTCAAATATTTTCTTGAACATCAGCAAGCAGAGGTGATACGCGATCGCACCGGTTATGAGGTCGGTCATTATTGTGGAGAAATGGGACAAGATTTCTGGGATGCCCGGCGGTGGCAGAGAGAGTTTGAGAGCAAGGACGTAAGTTTTCAGTGTTTCTCGCTCATTTTGCTTGGTCAATCATCACCTAATCACGTTATGTAATTTAGTTAAGAATGCATCAAACTTATTGAGATTGCTCATAGTTGTATATCGTTGACTTCTCGAATCACAAAATTCAATGCATCTAAGTGAAATTTTGCCAATTTCCAGGTGCTAGTGATGACAGCACAGATTTTGCTGAACATTCTGAGACACAGTATCGTGCGAATGGAAGCTATACACTTGCTTATTCTTGACGAGTGTCATCATGCGGTCAAGAAACACCCTTACTCGTTAGTGATGTCTGAGTTTTATCATATAACACCAAAAAACAGCAGACCAGCTGTTTTTGGAATGACGGCTTCTCCTGTCAACTTAAAAGGTTGTAATTCCTGACTGCTTTATTTTCATGCGTTTCTTCGTCGATTTTTTTTCCGTTTTTCTCCCGATTTCGAGTAGTGCCTAGTTCAGAACATGCAGAGCGCATTTTGTCTTCGTCGTGGGCTTTTCTTCCTGTTTCCTTGTTTTCATCAAGTCTGGTGACAGATGTCCGGGACGTTTGGGATGCTGTTTAGCACCTACCTGACATTATCTACGGAGGTGATGACAACCTTTGTTGTTCAAGGTGTCAGGGGCAAGCATCAGACTATGATTGGAAAGTTTATCGGAAGTTTGATTTGATTTCATCTGATCTCTTCGCAGAGCCTACGTCCTCTTCATTGTAGTGTCTTTTGTCTGGCACAAATTACTTTGAGTTGATACTTGAAGTTTTAAATTTTCGTAGTTTCTGTTTATTTTTCTGACCTGATCCCGTGAAAGAATTATTATTTTTTGTGAACCTGACTTTATTATTTGTAGCTTTCAACACCTACAAACCTGTTATACATTATAATTTCGGGTCCCTCTTTAGATTTGAGGATGTTTGTTCGTAGCACTGACGACTGTATTGTTTACTGTCATCGCACCAGGAGTCTCTAGCCAAGAGGACTGTGCCATCAAAATTCGGAACCTTGAAAGCAAACTCGATTCCATAGTCTGCACAATTAAAGATCGTAAAGAACTTGAGATGCACGTTCCTACTCCCTCAGAAAGTCTGGTAGAATACGATAAAGCTGCAACATTATGGTCTTTACGGGAGCAGATTAAGCAGATGGAAGCAAAGGTCGAAGAAGCAGCGAATGCAAGTTCAAAGCGTAGCAAATGGAGGTTTATGGGTGCAAGAGATGCTGGTGCTAAGGAAGAACTACGACTTGTATATGGTGTTTCGGAGAGAACAGAAAGTGACGGAGCTGCTAGTTTGGGCCAGAAGTTGAGAGCCATCATATATGCACTTGATGAGCTTGGTCAGTGGTGTGCTTACAAGGTGAACAGTTTTCCTGTACTCAATAGCGAGTTGAAACGAATTTCCGGAAAAGGAACGTTCTTATGAGAAAATTCTCTTCAAGTTACAAATGTGTATTTCAACACCTTTGTTTTACTAACTGCATTAATATATCTAAATATGCACCTTGCACCATGTTGAATAGAATGTCATAGGTACATCTGTTTATGATGATTCTTTGCTAAGAACAGCAAATGAACTTAGTTATTAAAGCTTACAATTAGTTTAGAGTCCTTAGCCAACTTGCAAAACAATGTGATGGTGTGATGTTCCTAATGAGGACTTACACACATTTCGGTGATGTTCTAAGGGATTTATATATGAAGATTTTGCCTTGCAATATGTTTTATCAAAAGATTACGGAAGAGTTGCCATGGATTGTCTACATCCCTATTTTTCATGTCCAATTGAAGTCGATCAGAACTGCTTCTACTAACGGATCCTAGGGGTTTGTAGTTTTGTGGTTTGATAATGTGAAAGATACTATCATCTATTGCTTCTCACTTTGTCAGTAGACCTGGAAGATTGAGAACGAGTGTTGTTATGTGATGTGCAGGTGGCAATGTCGTTTTTAACAAGCTTGCGAAATGACGAGAGAGCCAACCATCAGTTGGATGTCAAGTTTCAAGAATCATACTTGAAAAAAGTTGTGGTTCTTTTGAGGTGTAGATTGTCCGAAGGAGCAGTAGGCAGTAAAGATGGAGTTGAAGGTGATGTAATCCCGGAAGGTGATAAGGAAGAATTGCCTGAGGAAGTTGAAGAAGGGGAGCTCCCAGATACTCATGGTTTGTAACTTGCAACATTTATTTCCTGGTTATTTCTTGACCAGATTTTGATTGAAGAGTAGGCAACAAATCCTCGAACTCCTGGAATGAAACTTGCTCCAAATAAGTTTCTTGCTCAATCTGTTGTGAGATTTGTTATATGTTTACACAGTGTTTAGTGCGAATATGCACTAAGTTCATATTGTCACTAAGATTAGATCCGTAGTTGCCTTACGCGGTCCCAGACATCTCATTAAAATATATGTCTCCAGTGGTTTCCGGTGGCGAACATGTGGATGAAGTTCTTGGGGCAGCAGTTGCAGATGGGAAAGTTACTCCGAAAGTGCAGTCTTTGATCAAGATTCTCCTTGGATATCAGCACACTGATGATTTTAGAGCTATCATATTTGTTGAACGAGTGGTGGCAGCTTTGATATTGCCAAAGGTAAATTTCTGGATTCCGCCTTTGTTCACGAATATGTCTCGCATCTAAGCTGTGAGACTGCGGAGCTGCGTGACTCGTAGCACTAGGTTCCTGTAAAAAACTAAATCTTCAAGAAAATGTCAAGTTTGACGTTTTCCTCCATTTCAGGTTTTCGCCGAGTTGCCGTCACTCAAGTTTGTGAAGTGCGCGAGTTTGATTGGGCATAACAACAACCAAGATATGCGCACACGGCAAATGCAGGAGACTATCGCAAAGTTTCGGGATGGACGGGTATCTACAATCAATAAACTTCACTACTTTGCTTTCAAATAGGGCTTCAATTGATTAATAAAACTTTTGTTTTTAAATTCATATCTTTAACGACGATTTTTTTCCATATCCATGGAAAATCCTTGAGTCAACACGCATTTGAACTGAAAGCAGCAAGAATGAAAGTTTATCTTATTGTGGTTCAGGTTACTCTGTTGGTCGCTACAAGTGTTGCAGAGGAAGGTTTGGATATCAGACAGTGCAATGTTGTCATTCGTTTTGATCTTGCGAAGACTGTTCTTGCTTACATACAATCCAGAGGTCGAGCACGGAAACCTGGTTCAGACTATGTGCTCATGCTCGAAAGGTAATCAACGAAACTCCTTTCGTTGAGTTTGTAGCACACAATCAAGAACGAATAGCATACACGACAAAGATTAGCATAAGGCTACACCACTCCACATACGATTTGAAATTTAGAGCCAGATGATTTGTTCCTCATAATATTGTCTGCCCGTGCGCTATTTGCTGATGACATCCTACTGGTACAATGTCATTGAGTAAATGTTAACCGTTTAACTAGATTGACTTCGTTCTATTGTAATGTTATGGGGAATTTGTCCTTTTTGTAGCCTAGGCCTGATCTTCCTGCATTATTTATCTCTTATGCATTGTTGTTCACCTTTTCGGTAAGTTTTCATAAAGCTTTCGTGTTTGGTCCTTTCACTCATATATCATGTGCTACATAAACTAAATAATGGCTGAATATTGCCCCCTGATAAAATTACACGAGACTTTAAGCTCTTGAAAGGAAAGGTTTAGGAAGTATTCGAATGTTTAGATTTGTGTAGATTCTACATTTAGAGGTGGAGGGTTTATGTTGTAGATACGTGTGTAATGGTCAAGAGAGGAACCGAGAGTCGAGAATTTGCTGAATTCTAAATTTGTAATCGCTATGAACCTTATGTGACACTACATACAGAAAAAGAAATTGAAAGCGAATTTAAAATTCATTTACCTAGAATATGGTTTACCCAGTCTTTCTTTATTCTCGTTGCTACCACATTTTCCTCGAGTTTTGAATAAACTCATACTCTCGTCAGCATTATGAGATTCAGTTTAAATTTGGTTAGAGTGCAAGCAGACAAGAAATATACATCAGGAACGAGATGATACTACTGCAGTTGCTTTACATTCTAACATCTTACCACATCAACAGTCACCCTGTTCTGATTCAACCTCTGAAAGGGCGCTAATATAGTACTTTGATTTTGATGCAGGGGTAACACCACTCATGAAGCTTTTTTACGAAATGCAAGGAACAGTGAGGAGACTCTCAGAAGAGAGGCAATCGAAAGAACTGAACTTAGTGTGTATAAGGAAGCTGCTCTATTGGCATCTCTTGAAAGTTGCGATGGAGAAGTTTATCAAGTTCCTTCTACCGGTGCTATGGTTAGCCTAAACTCCGCAGTGGGTTTGATTCATTTCTACTGCTCTCAGCTTCCTACTGACAGGTGATTAACTTCTACATCGATATATACATAATTTGAAACGGTTTTGAACCTGCTAGTCGTGTGAAAATGAAAGTCAAATTCACTTTGTGCCAATGCTAGAATATTTTCAATGCCGTGCAGTGTTTAGTCTGTAAAGATCAGTGACTACTTAACAAAGTTTCTTCTTTTTTCCTGAAGTCTTTAAAGTTGCATTATTTATCGAAAATCATTAGAACATAGGATGTTAGTTGCTATGGATCAGTTTTTATTTACTCCGTACACTACACTCATCTTTTACCGTTTCTGTGTATCTTAAGATAGCTGAAGATGTTCTACAAGCATCGATGTTGAGATCGAGGGCAGCATGGAGCTCATGCACGATTTTTTAGTGATTGTCGTATGTCTAGATTGTCAGTTGCTAAAAATTGAGACTCACTATGTTTTTCTTTCCGATGTGTATCGTCAGATATTCCATCTTAAGACCAGAATTTATCATGAGTCAGCATGATAAAGAAGGGGGAACCGCGAAGTATTCATGCAAATTGCAGCTTCCTTGCAATGCACCCATTGAAACCGTGGAGGGTCCGTTATGTTCTTCGATCAGAGGTGCTCAGCAGGTATAATAATACGGTTTCTCCTCCATCTTAATTTAAGGTCATTTCTATCTACAGTGGATATGTCTTCAAGATACTCTCAAATCTGTTGTTGGTAGTATTGGACTTACACTGTCAATATCCCTTGATGCTCATTATTTTTTACACTTAAAATGCAGGCTGTGTGCTTAGAAGCATGCAAGAAACTGCACGAAATGGGAGCATTCACGGATATGCTATTACCTGACAAAGGGACAGGAGAAGAAGCTGAGAAGCTGGAGGAGGGAGAAGAGGGAGAGCCACTACCTGGAACTGCCCGTCATAGGGAATATTATCCGGAAGGCATTGCCGAAGTGCTGCAGGTAAGCATGGTATTAGCTGAAGTATTTTGTAGACAAATTGGACAAGGAAGAAACCAACTATGGGAGCATTGTTGCTTCTCGGTAAAGTACTATGTGGAGCCAACATCATCTGGTACAAAACATGGACCATGAAGTCTCAGGTGCTTCCACTCACTCTAAGGTCACTTACAACAAAATTTCTTGCATCTGAACTGGGCTATGTCATCCCGCCGATGATATTCTTTAGTTTTGATGCACGTACTTTTATTGTATGTGACCTTGCAGCAGAGAATATTCAACTGCGTTTTGAGGTTAGGTAACCTCTTGATATGACGAAAGCCTGGTTATCGAGTTGGACTTTATGAGCTTTATGGTGTAGATTGGGCTGTTCAAGTAAGTTTTTATTCTTTTGATATAAGACTCGTGCAGTTTTGTCAAGGTGGGATGTTTTGTTGGTTGTTGCAGGGAGATTGGATCAAGGATAATCTGGATAGTGAAGAGAAGACTGTTTCCTTATATATGTACAAGGTGGCATGTGAAAATAAAGGCTTCTCCAAAGATACTCTTCTGACAGAAACGTCCGATTTCGCTCTCATATTTGGAAGACAGCTGGACTCAGAGGTGAGCTATCTTAAATACCTTTCTTCTGTTTCCTACAAAGAAGCTTCCTTTGAGTATAAACGCGGATGCCCTTAGAGTGGCCGGAGTCTGCCGATGGAAACAAGGATTTGCTTTTAAGTTTAGCAACTTTTCACCTTTGAAACCCAGCTGATGTTCAATGTAAATGTAGTGTTCAGAGGTTTCTGATGTCCAAAATATCTTTCAACGTTGTATAAAAATTCGTTTTGAGCACGTTGTTGGTGTAGGCTAGAAAGTATCCAGCAGGTTAAGAATTTAGTGTTTGTCCAATTCGAGATTCAAGTATGCCTAGTCCAGCATGTAACTTAGTAAATACACAAGCAGGACATTCTAGCAACTAGAGGCACCATAGGTGACCAGGTTGGTGCGGCAATCCGACCAATAATATCTGCAAGAATGATACAATTATAGATTGACGCTTCGAGGTTAGCTTGACTGGACTTTTATTGTTTCGCTGGAGATGCGAGCATCAGTTGTTCTTTCTCTCTATTGTTCACTTTGGAAAACTCAAACTTTCATCTGACATTTGCAGCATTCTTAGTTTCATACCCCATGAACAAACTCATTTTTGTTTTGACCATGTCCTTTACTCTGTATGGTACTGCAGGTACTTACCATGTCAATGGATTTATTTGTAGCTCGGACAATGACCACCAAAGCATCGTTAGTCTTCAGTGGATCTATTGAGCTTACGATGACTCAGGTATGAATGATAGTTTGAAAGAGTAATAGACCTTCCTAGATCCTAAACCTAGTAGTGTCTCGTTTTGTTCACTTCATTTGATAAAGTCCTCGGATAAATGTAGTCCTGGACTTTTGATATATGGCCAGGTTCGAATCGTTACTTTCCAGTCATTTTTGCTTCTCGGTTCTGATGGTGTGTCATTTGCTTTGTTATGGTTGTTTGCTGTTCCTATGCCCGTTTGATCTGATGCTGAAAGCCTTCAGAATTCACCTGAAGTCTGCAGGATTATGTTACTTAATTTACTTTGTGATTGGTGGCAGCTGACGAAGTTGAAAAGCTTCCACGTGAGACTTATGAGTATCGTACTAGATGTGGACGTGGAGCCCACAACTACTCCTTGGGATCCAGTTAAAGCATACCTTTTTGTACCTATCCAACTTCTGGCCGATGAGGAATCAGCCAAGCTCATACATTGGACTCTTGTCGACACCATTTTGGAAACCGAGGCCTGGAAAAATCCTTTGCAGCGTGCAAGGCCAGATGTTTTTCTGGGAACAGATGAGCGTGCCCTTGGTGGGGATCGTAGAGAATACGGTTTTGGGAAACTGCGGTATGGACAGGCCTTTGGTCTGAAAGCTCATCCAACTTATGGAATTAGAGGAGCCATAGCTCCGTTTGATACCGTCAAAGCTTCTGGTTTGGTGCCCAACCGTGAGGTTGTGGAAAAATTGGAAGAGCAAGAGCCTGTAGAGGGAAAGCTGTTGATGGCTGATAGCTTGATGGACATCGACGGGCTTGTTGGTAGAGTGGTAACAGCTGCTCATTCCGGGAAGAGATTTTACGTAGAATCTGTTCGCTTCGAAATGAATTGTGAGAGTTCTTTTCCAAGAAAAGATGGGTATTTGGGTCCTCTTGAATACACATCATACGCAGATTACTACAAACAAAAGTAAGATTTCAAACCTATCCTCCTACAGAGCAATTATACGCAAGATTGGAATATGAGTGTATCGCCCATGTTATTTGAGGATTTCTCAGCAGTATGATTTTCACTTATTTTAGGTATGGAGTAGAGCTTGTATGCAAGAAGCAACCGTTAATTCGAGGACGTGGAGTTTCCCACTGCAAGAACCTTCTGTCACCTCGTTTCGAATCCTCGGACGGTATGTCACACTTGACCATTATCATAACAATAGTTGGCTGTTTAAGTTTAGTGTGACTGTATAGTTCTTTTTTTTAACGGTTTGTTCGAAGTTTTCAGGTGGCATGGGCAATCCCGAAGAACCGTTGGACAAAACATATTACGTGATGCTTCCACCAGAGTTGTGCTTAGTCCATCCCCTTCCAGGACCTCTGGTGAGAGGTGCTCAGAGGCTTCCTTCGGTAATGAGGCGGGTGGAGAGTATGCTGCTGGCAATTCAACTCAAACATCTGATAAACTATAAGATACCTGCTTCGAAGGTCTGAAACAGCTCACTGATCTGGCTTGATGCAGTTTGTATATTCTCTTCTGCCTATTACGAATTTTGTTTGTATGTTTGTTCTGTTACTATTTCTACCGAGAGTCGATCTCTCATTTTGTTGTCTCAGTTTCCTCCACGCTCCCCTGTCTTTCAACGAGTCAGCAATTATTACCCTTTGAAATTTTCATTAAGTTGTGCAGGAAAGTTATATCACCTTTGAGTTTAGGGTATTCACTTCAGTAGAGCCGGAGATGGTGTAAAGAATCGAGTTAAGGGGAAAATAAATGTCGTCCTCAATAAAAAATAATTACCGCGGTAGTAAATATCAATATAAGTGGATGTTTACGTCGGGTGAGTCTACCTAAAATTCGGACTTTTTACGAGGGTCCCATGGTACATCATTGCGTGAAAAGTCCTAATAGAAAAGTGCTCAGTTTATTAGAATTTTCATGCGTTTCAGTGTGCACCTTCATCGTCCCCAAAGCTTTTTTCAGGCATTCTCATTAAGGCTACTCCGTGGTCACTTCAGGTGTTGGAGGCTTTGACTGCAGCTTCTTGTCAGGAGACTTTTTGTTATGAACGTGCAGAGCTACTAGGAGATGCGTACTTGAAGTGGGTCGTCAGTAGGAGGCTTTTTCTTACATATCCTAGCAAACACGAGGGTCAGCTTACTCGAATGAGACAGCAAACTGTCAGTAATTCTGTTCTGTACCAATATGCGTTGGAGAGGGGATTGCAAAGTTATATACAAGCAGATCGCTTCGCTCCATCAAGATGGGCTGCCCCTGGCGTGCCTCCTGTGTTTGATGAGGAGACCAAGGATGGAGATGACGTGGAGTTAGCTGACGGCAAGGTAGAAGATCCTCTGAAGGAGGAGGCTGCAAAGCCCGTGGAACCTGTTGTGGAGGAAATTATTGATGATGATTATATGGAGGATGGGGAGATAGAAGGAGATTCCAGTGCATACAGAGTACTTTCCAGCAAGACTTTAGCTGATGTTGTGGAGGCTCTGATTGGAGTGTACTATGTTGAAGGTGGTCAAAGAGCTGCCACTCATCTAATGAATTGGATTGGTATTCCGGTAGAGTTTGATCCTGCCGATGGGCTGCAAGCAAGAGTTGGCTGCACTGTGCCTGAGAGCGTTTTGAGAAGTATAGACTTCGATGGGCTCGAGGCTGCAATTGGACATAAGTTCAATGAGCGAAGCTTGTTGGTGGAAGCCATTACTCACGCTTCAAGACCTTCTTCAGGGGTCCCATGCTACCAACGACTTGAATTTGTGGGTGATGCCGTCTTAGATCATCTCATCACCCGTCACCTGTTTTTCAGCTATACCGACCTTCCGCCAGGTCGCTTGACAGATTTGAGGGCTGCTGCCGTGAACAATGAAAATTTCGCTAGAGTGGCAGTAAAGCACAAGTTCCATATACACTTGAGACATGGGTCGAGTGCTCTTGAAACTCAGGTAAAGCAGATTCTTTCATATTGGCACAATCTGATAAAAAAATTGGTATATGGGGCTTATGTTTATGAACATTAATATCTCGGCTGTTGCTCCTCTTAGATTCATGATTTCGTCAAGGACATTCAAACCGAGCTGGATAAGCCCGGTGTAAACTCCTTTGGTCTAGGGGATTTCAAAGCACCGAAGGTGCTTGGAGATATCTTAGAATCAATAGCAGGAGCAGCTTTCCTGGACACCGGCCTCAACACAGATCAAGTTTGGAAGGTCTGTTCCAGTTGTTTCTTTTGACCTCTGAGTATCGGGAGTTGTGTAGGGGCTGCCAATTTTTTTTTAAATTGAGAATGCAGTGACATCTCTGTCCCCTTATTATATCATGTTCTTCTGTTGGTACTGTAATCTATGTCGTTCTAAGCATTTAGACACTTATTATTACGTCAAGTTACTTGTTTATACCGAATCTAGACGATGCTGATGTATGTGTATTTTTCCCTGTGGGTTCCCGTTTACGTTATTCGCTGAAGTTACTGAAGACGTTTGTTGGACAGGTGTTTGAGCCACTACTACAACCAATGGTGACTCCCGAGACCCTGCCAATGCATCCTGTGCGGGAGTTGCAAGAGCGGTGCCAACAGTTAGCTGAAGGCCTTGAGTATAAATCTTCTCGTCAGGGTAATCTTGCTTTTGTTGAAGTTTACGTCGATGGGGTCCAAATAGGTTCTGCTCAAAATCCACAGAAGAAGATGGCTCAAAAGCTTGCTGCAAGGAACGCGCTGGTTATCTTAAAGGAAAGGGAATCCACCAGGGAAGCTGCTGCAAAAGCAGCCGCCCTCGAAAACGGAGATGTTGGAGGGAAGAGCAACAACAAGACTGCTCCATTCACGAGGCAGACACTCAATGACATTTGCTTGAAACGCCAGTGGCCAATGCCGCAGTACAAGTAATAACTATGCCCTCCCTCGTGTACAGTTCTATGTGAACGCTTGAGTTTTTTCAGGTGACACTAGTAGCATTCATGATTATATCACAGTTTAAGTTCCGAAAATTGTTGGATTGCAAGAACTGACCCCATGACATGTTTTGGTAGATACTGCAAAGCTGATAGATGTCTGTCCTGATCCATTAACATGATGTCTTGCTGTGGAACTTTACTTTGGTGTTAACATATTACATTCACCTTAACAGTCAGGTAGGACCTCTGCTACAAGTTCACATTTGTAAACTTTCTCTCTTAAATCCTATCTCGCATCCACGACTTTTGCACAGGCCAAATCTGGGTATACATTACTTTGCTCATTGCAGTATTACTGAATGTGGTGTCGCTGTATTACTCATTACCTCACTCAGTAGAATAGGATACAGACGAGCTCTTGTAGTCCAGTAAGTGCAGAAGATTTTAAGAATGCATTGTATGAAGGAAGTCATATCTGACTGGTAAGAGCCCTTCTGGATGGAATTGCAAACGCTGTTCCTTAACTTAGCCGATTTTTTATCTTCGATCACAAGAATTTATTGGTCATGTTATGATGATCAGATAGCTACGTGTGACTGAAGATCTCTCTGCAGGAATTGAGAGTTTCAAGCGTATCCATAACAAAGAATATGTCAATAACGAGCACAATTGCAGTATAGCGTTGCAGGACACCGACCGTACTGCTTATGGTAGTAAGCGTTGCTTTCGGTGCACTTATCCACTGCAGCTCAATTGAGTGTCTTCATAGCTATTTTCTCTTTGTCTGTTGGATCCTGGCGATCGTCGTCTTAAGAGTTGAATTCCTGGTGATGGAGTTTTCATAGGAAACAAAGGAGCTACTGGTTTTCGAATTGCAGGTGCTACTAGGTGCTGTAGTCATATTTCCCTTCGAGATACTTTTGGGGCCTAGCCTCTAGTTTGCTCTTTCGTTTGTTCTTTGTGCGGCTATATGGGTTCTTCCCATCCTTTTTTATCTACTTGTCCATTGTTTTTGGGTTCGAATTGCAGTTGTGTAGATCTCTTGCATAATCAGAATCAACGTTGACTTCCTCGTTCCATATCTTCTGATAAGTAATTGAGCTGTGCCTATCAGGTACCTGACGACTCTTTTGGCTACATGTCTATGGAGTTTCCGTCGGTTATTGGTGTATCTCTCCCAACATTTGATCTCTAAGCCCAAATTTGGTCCCGTGTGGGACCAAATTTGGGCTTAGCGGTTGGGATGTCGGTCTCCTATGGCCAGTTAGTGTGAGATCTGATGCATGCGATCCATCTGATCTCACACTAACTGTTCAGAGGGGATCAGGGCCGCCACTTGAGCTTGAAAAGTATTCGCATGGCTGAGGGCCGTGGTTGAGTAGTTTCTACAGTGCTATATATGGAAAACACTTATGCTGCACGTTCCTGTACGGGTTATCTAAGCCTACCTTATCTTTGGGTTTGCAAGAAGTACTTACTGTCAGCTGTATATTACGCCTATAAGTTTAGCATATTAATTCACAAGAAATTCGAGAAGTACAAGAATGAGATAAGTGGGAATGTCGTTTGGGTCTGTCATGGTCTGAGCGATTAGCACCATGCTTTGTGGTTTGTGGCATAGTTACAAACAGGATATCAGATCTGAAAATTCTGCTCTTGTCTGGGTCTCTATATAATGTCGCATATGAAGTTCAGGGAAACTGGCGAGAGTATGTCCACTTGTAACCGTCTTTTACATCTTGAGTTCGATACTTCCCTTCTGGATGCACAGATTGTTAAAGACTAGGATTGAAAATGGTCTTTGGGTCTTAAATTTGAATATTTGTCTTTCATAGAAGGTCAATGTCGTAAGTCTTCCATATATTTGGCTGACTAAGGTTGTTATAAATCACGTCCATCTAGTCCAATGGATTGGCTCTGTTGGATATCTATGTGGTCATGGAATTGCTATATGCCTTTACTGAGCCTTCCTTGTTAGAGAAACGCAATTAAATCTATGCTGCAGTCACAATCCCTTGAACAGTTCTTGAAGAGTATGCTTTGTAATGGGGTCGTTCCTGTGATCGTTCCTCGGGTTGTATCCAACCTTTGTTGAAGATTAGTATGCGGCAGTTGATGATAGTTCCTGGACTTTTGTACGCATTGGTAGACTAGTCCATCGCATGTTTGTTGCTGCAATAAATCTTAAAATGTTGCCATGCTCAGTAGTATCAGTGTATTTCTGCGTACTGTTCGTTCCTCAGACATAAGGTCTCTAGCCTTTCGTCCATTTACTTTCTATCATATGCATGATGCTCTGGCCTGGTCGTTTTGCCGAGCTACCAGATCCAAACTGTTCTGCAGTTTCCACTTGTGTTAACTCTCCTAATGGCGTTTTCTCATCATTCAAGCGCTCTTGTTGAATTGTCAACATTGATGCCTGTATCGGGTTTGTATTTCAACCCTGTCTAAATATATATTCTCTGCTGCAGGTTAAGGGATGAAGTTTGATCTGGTTCACAGGGAACACTGAACACCCTTTGGGTTTTTTCAAAGGTTAAGATCAACCGGAAAACTGAAGAATCGCTGAAGAATGACATCTGTTTTTTTGACAGGTGTGTCACAGAAGGTGGTCCCGCACATGCGAAGAGATTCACGTACTCTGTTCGCGTTCATACTACCGAAAGTGGGTGGACCGACGAATGCGTGGGAGAGCCAATGCCCAGCGTCAAGAAAGCAAAAGATTCAGCTGCGGTGCTTTTGCTTCAGCATCTAAAACGGTGGTAAGTAAACTTGATCGGCCTGTACCTGATGCTTAAGAGAACGTGAGTCAAAATTTTGCCCTTCACTCTAAATATGCTTTCCTATGAGAACATCGAGATGACCTCGTCACCGAAGGATGAATCCACAAAAGCCACTTTGAAGGCTGAGTTGAAGATATCATACTTCACCATGGACTCATGGCTGACAGCAGAGGTATCTTTTAACATCGCTTAGGGCAATCATTGATTACTGTAAACAATTCAGTTACGAATAAGATTATGGCTGCTTGCCATACCGGCTGTACTTTCAATTCTCATTCCAACATTGAAGATGAGGGATGACACGGATCAAATTATCCTGGGATCTTTTTCTTGGGAGTGCCATGGACATGTATCATTATTCTAAGGACATCCGTTTATTGATTAACGACGAGGTTACTGGCGGAGTAAGTTTTCCGCTTCTTCACTGTGTCTACAATAAGGTTCATGCTGAATCTCAGATGCACTGTCCTGTCCTTCCACCAGTTTCTATTGCTCCCCGTCATTTGTAATGGTTTTCTAGAGGTGGAATGTACTTTCGGCCGGTCCTCTCCGCACGATGAACCATACGACTATCTTGATTCACTGCGACGACTATTTCTAAGATCGAGTTCACTTCACGTTTGAAGATTTGATGTGAAAAAGGTCCGATCGAGAATGATACTCTCCAACAACTTGCGAGATATTTTCTAGCTTGCACTTTTTGAAAAAAGACTATTCTGTGACGGTTTAGGAGTCATCTCTTCCAGTGAACCAAAAAGAGAGTCATTATAGTACATGACTCCATTTCTACAATATTCTGTATTTTTTTGACGATTAACACTTACCCACGCAGAATTTAGAGATTGTTCTAATCTGAATCAGTAATAACATCGTAAGAGTTAAAAAGAAACGAAGTAAGAAACATTAGCGCTGTGGAAAACATTCAGAGATCTCATCTTACATCAGATGTCAATATGGTGGGAAGTAAAGAACACACAGAGTCCAGATAGGGAGTACTTGGTTACATCTTAGAAGACGAGAACTGACGATGGGAAGTCCCACCATGAGGCGGACAATCCAGACAAACCACAGAGATCTATACCGCACATCAGACTATTTATATGTGGAGATTGTCTTCTGATCTGTTTATGGAAGAGGCTTTGAATGTCATCAAAGAGCAGAATCGAGCTTGAAAAGGGCACTGCCCATTTTTCAGCAGCCTGTGGTTAGTGCGTAGTAACCTCAAACATGGACAATGATATTGGAAATTTACTGTTCTTAAATCCATATAAAGAAGAATGTAAGAGGGAGCGAGGGGTTAACAGGATCACACTTCAAAATACATGTCCTAAGGTAAAAAAACCATGTCATGTGGAAAAAGAAGATTAGAGAAAACAGTATATGAAAATTGTTAGTACTCTATGTAGCATTGCCCAACGTGACTATTCTCTTCTGCTATGCATAATTTAGTTCTCGCCATTAACTTGACTTTACCTAAAGTACACTATAAAAAACAAATTTCACATCATATGATATGATTTTTTGATAAAATAGACCATATGGTTATATAACTTTCAAAGATACATATTCAACATAGAGAAGAAGTAAGATTAGGGAATGTAGGATAATATGGTATTTAGAAACTTTGAGTACTATCTGTGCATATGACTGACAATTCCTGAAGTTGAATTATCAGTCCGTATCAAATTCTATCAATTACAAAATCAATAAACATCATCTTTAAAGATTAACTTGGAATATCTCTACCAATTACATATCACAATGTATTATTATCATTGAGATTATTAAAACATGTATTCCTTTGTAGCATCAGCTATATTGTAAAGATCATTATATTGGAAGTAAGATTTGGCTCCAACAAACAAGTAATTAAAATTGTCATTATAATGCATAAGTTTTTTTATCAATAATGCAAATTATCAACAATAAGATTGAGTACTTGTCTAGATCTTTCAATCTAGAAGAAATTTAGTTTATAATGAAAATAGGTTAGATGAGTAAAACTTGATTTCGATGTGTTTCATCATATCACCAATCATTTGAATTTTTGTGTCATAATATAAATGCACAACATCATAAATTAATGTCATGTGAGTGAAAAACTCATTCCATCAACAAATATACTATGCGTGCATTTTGTTCAAATTAGATTCAAAATATATCATAAGAAAGAATGCATATTGTTTAATAAATTATCAAACAAATTAACATTCTTATTCCATTTTATAGCTTTTCAATTTATATTCTCTTTAATTCACATATAACTCCTCATCTAAATCATAACTATAACAATATCAAGGATAATTAGCACTATTATTATATATAGATATGAAATTGTCAACAACATTAACTTGTAAAATATAAAACATATTTTTCTTTTAATTGTTTACTTTCAAATTTACAATTTGAAACTTCAATATGTATTGTTAAAAATAGGGATGAGCTAGTTATCCCTTAGTTTGGGATAATTATGGTAAATGGTAATAGATCAAGCCCGGGGGACCCAAAGGATCAAAAGGCTGAAAAACACAATACAAGCGACAGCCACAAACAAGGTAAAAGATCCCAAAGGCCAAACCTTAGCTAGTGCCAAGAGCACTAGAATGATAACTAATAATGTCCCTAATATAACAACCTAAATCAAAAGGAACTAACTGTAACAAAGAATAAAAATTCTCTACATCTATATTATGAGTCACTCTAATCTCTGTATATCTAGTACAAGTAAAAAATACATGCTCTTCATCCTCAACTTCTCTTCCATCACATAACCTACAAATACGTTCACTCCTATCAATATTAAGCTAACGTCCTTCCTCAATTCCAAGCCTATGAGATCCAGTTCTATGCCTAGCAATAATATGACGTAACGACGAAGAGATTCCTGCAAGTAGGTAATCCTGTTCACAATAATCAAGCATAGGATTCACATGAAGTTGATAAAACTGCATCTTGGTGCCGCGCTTGCTCCAAATGATGTTCAGAAACTCCTCCTTTAGACGTTCACGTAGTGCTATAGGTTGTAGGTCCCAATCGCATTCCGTCACATTCCACCTCAAAGACCAAGTTATTACATCCGCTAACCATCCTTTGGCACGTGTGGCACTCAAAGCCTGAGGAGTAAGGCGGGAAGCATCAAGAGATCTTACCCTTGTGATGTAAGTGATGGTCAAGTATAGAGCTTCAGCCTCTAGAGGTAAACCTGTTTCCGCAAGAAGAATAACATATGAGGTTTGGTTTCTCACACCCAATTCTTCTTGTAGAAATATCTTCTGCATCCTCTCCACACGGGATAATTATTACTCATCCTATTGAACAGAGCTCTTTGATTGGTCAAAGCTATCCCTTTGTTAACTAGAGCTCCGTGATATTATCTTCGCGGGCAAAGAAAAAAGTGGAGAAGTATTGCACATTAGCATAGGGTGAAGTATAATTAGCCCAAACTAAGGGTAACGAGTCGCTCACTTAAAAAAATCAAATTGAAAAATACAGCATGTAAATTTTTTTGTTAAAAATTGATTGTACTTTTTGATGCCAAGTTAGCATCACACAATCATTTTGTTCTGCTGAATGTCAAAAAATGGTTGAAAATAGTATGCTTATGGACATTTAAAGCTTAACATTTAAATATTATTCTTAAAGATATTGATTTGATGAAAAATGATATTTTATTCTTATATTATAAGCAAAAGATCATGATGATAAATATATGTATATATGTTAAATTTGGGAAAAAAAATCATTTATTCTCATAAAAATAATTTATACAAAGATATTTGTGATATTTCTTCATGGAGACTACATCGACATTGAAAAAAATGTTTTATTCAAAAGATCATAAATTTTTTGTAAGAAAGCTACCATATTTTATTTTTTTTTAGAGATAAATTGATTTCAGTTTTATAAACTAGAGCAAGAGTAACATAAGTAAACAAAATTTGAATAAACTATCCACAATCTATTCCTTCATTCATATTTTGTGATATGTAATATCTATAACCAATATGATTATTAAAATAAAAAAGAAAAACAAAATCATACATAAAAATATAAAAACTACTTATACATATTATTGATGCTCATTATATAAAATAGGAAATTATTCATTGAAATTTTCTACAAAAATATTTATCTTATCATTATATTTATCTAATAAATTGATTGAACTAAATCCATTGTTAATTTAAAATAAGGTAATATGTTTATCAAAAATTAAATATATGATAAAATGAGTTTTGATGTTGATGTTTCATCTTGCTATTGACCATTTAATATAGTGCAAAGTCTAATGTACTTTAATTATCACAATGAAGATAAACATCTTGTTTGAATCTCAATTGGATAATAAGTTCATTTAACCAAACAGACTATTTTGTTAATCTGAGATTCTACATATTGGAAATTTTTAATTAATATATAATCATTAGATAATTTTATTTATCATTTTATTATTATTAACATATCAAAATATGTTTTTTTGCAAAATAAATTTCTGATTAATGCATCCATCATTAAGTTCAAATACACATCAAAATGTAAAAAAATAATATTCAAATATTTATTATACTAAGAACCAATGTAATCCATCAAGAACTATTTGATAATGTTTACTAAATAATTAATCAAAATCGTATTTTTTAATGTTTTTAAGATATTTGAGAATCAACATGTATCTTACTTAGATTTCATGTGTGACTGTTCTCTTTCTATAAAACTACATTAATCTTAAGTGTAATGCATATTTTCAAATATATGAAACTAACCATTTTCTTGTCATAGAATGATATATATTTACTCTCAATTCATGTGGACATTAAACTATAAAAAACTCAAAATTTGTTATAAAAGATGGCCAAATTCCTTAATTGTCGATCATATTGAAAATATCAAGCATATAATGAGTAATTTTTCATTTACTTATCTAAATTTTTCTTAAGTTTAATAATCTATAAGTAATCAGATCTAATGAAACTCTCAATATATTCCAAATGTTTTGTGTTGAATGCAGATTATAATTGATTCCTACATTAATGAACGTCAGATTGATTTTTGACAAAAAGACACAAATCTCCTTATAATATAATCTTATGAATAAATATGTATAAAAAACATAATAGAATTTCTTGTGCTTCAATGAATTTGTCAACACTTGCATCTCGCTGGGTATGAACCTCTTTCAATTTATATAATTATTTCAACAATCTTCAAGCAAATATTTATAATTTTTTTTTCTGCCAACAAATCATCTCATATAGATTTTTTGCTCCAAAGAATTATACAAAAGTATGTGATTTCATTTATTTGATCCATTTATAACTTGACAATTTGCATCATAGTGTGGGAAGTTTCGCCACTATTAGGAGAGATATATGTGTTCTTACAGGAGAGGTAATATTTTGGTGACTCGTTTGAAGCCATGTCGTAA